AATAAAATTGATAAACCCTTAGCCAACCTTATCAAAAAAAGGAAAGAAAAGACTCAAGTCCATGCAATTAGGAATGAAAAGGGAGAAATCACAACTGACCCTGCAGAGATTCAGAAGATTATCAATACCTACTTTGAGAACCTGTATTTAATAAGATAGAAAATACAGAAGAAATGGACAGATTCCTAGATATATATGAATTACCAAAACTGAATCAAGAAGGTATAGAAAAAAAACTACAAACAAAGAAAAGCACTGGCCCTGATGGATTCACTGCTGAATTCTACAAGAAATTTAGAGAAGACCTACTGACACTACTCCTCAAACTCTTGAATGAAATTGAAAAGGAAGCCATACTCCCAAATTCTTTCCTGGAAGCAAGCATTACTGTGATTACAAAACCAAAGAAGGACCCAACCAAAAACAAGAATTACAGGCCAATCTCCCTAATGAATATAGATGCAAAAATCCTCAATAAGATACTGGCAAACAGAATGCAGCAATCATCAAGAAGGTTGTACACCAGGCTCATGCCTGTAATCCCAGCACTTGGGAGGCTGAGGCAGGAGGATCACCACAAGGGGAGACCCTGCCTCAAAAATCCAAAAAAAAAAAAGAAGTTATACACCATTATCAAGTGGGATTCATCCTAGGGATGCAGGGATGGCTCAACATAAGCAAATCAATAAATGTAATACACTATATTAACCAGAGCCAAGGACAAAAAAATACATGATCCTCTCAATAGATGCAGAAAAAGCATCTGACAAGGTCCAACACCCATTCATGATAAAAACCCTACACAAAAATTGGTATAGATGGTCTTTATCTCAATCTGATAAAAGCCATCTAAGACAAACCAACAGCCAATATCATATTAAATGGACAAAAACTGAAAGCTTTCACTCTAAAATCAGGAACAAAAAAAGGACATCCACTGTCTCCACTCCTGTTCAATATAGTTCTGGAAACATTAGCTAGAGCAATTAGACAAGAGAAAGAAATAAAAGGAATAAGGATAGGAAAGGAAGAAGTTAAATTATCATTATTTGTGGATGACATGATGCTCTATAGAGAACACCCCAAAAACTCCACCAAAAGACTTTTAGATTTGATAACCAAATTTGATAACAAAGTCAACACTCAAAAGTCAATAGCCTTCCTGTACACAAATAACAGACTCACGGAGAGAGAAATTAGAGAAACAATCCCTTTCACAATAGCATCCAAAAAAAAAAAATACCCAGGAATCAATCTAACGATGGAAATAAAAGATTTCTACACTGAAAACTACAGTATTCTGAAAAAGGAGATTGAAGAGGATATCAGAAAATGGAAAGATATCCCTTGTTCTTGGATAGGAAGAACCAACATAATGAACATGGCCATACTTCCAAAATTGTTAGACAGAGTCAATGCAATCCCAATCAAAAATCCCAACAGAGTATCTCACAAAATTAGAAAAAACAATCCTAAAATTCATGTGGAACCAGAAGAGACCGAGAATAGCAAAGGCAATTATGGACAAGAAAGGCAAGAAAGGAGGTATCACAATCCCTGACCTGAAATTATACCACAAAGCTACTGTGAAAAAAACAGCATGGTACTAGCAAAAGAACAGACCTGAGGATCAATGGAACAGACTAGAAGATGCAGAAACAACTCCAAACATACTTATCTTTGACAAAGGAGCCAAACACCTGCACTGGAAGAAAGATAGCTTCTTTTTGGGGGAGTACCAGGGATCAAACTGGGAACTTTGCACTTGCGAGGCAGGCGCCAGAACCACTGAGCTAAATCCCCAGCCCAAAAGATAGCTTCTTTAATAAATGGTGCTGGAAAAACTGGCTTTCAACATGCCGAAGACTGAAACTTAGACTCATATTTTTCACCACGCACTAACCTAAAATCTAAATGGATCAAAAATCTAAATATTATAACAGAAACACTAAATCTTCTGGAAGAGAGAATAGGTAGAACACTTGAGGACATATGAGTAGACAAGGACTTCATGAACAAAACCCAGACTGCATGGGAAATACTACAAAGAATCAACAACTGGAATCGCATCTTATTAAAAAGCTTTTGCACAGCAAGAGAAACCACCAACAGAATGAAGAGACAACCCACAGAGTGGGAAAACATTTTTTACCAGCTACTCAGATAAAGGACTATTATCTAGAATATATAAAGAATTCAAAAAAACAGACCCCCCCCCAAATTTAAGGACCCATTGCAAAACTGGGCATCTGAAATAAAGACACTTCTCAGATAAAGAATTAGAAATAGCAAATAAATATATGAAAAAATGTCCAACACCACTGGAAATTTGAGAGATGCAAATTAAAACAACACTGAGATTCTATCTCACTCCAGAAAGAATGGCTGCTATCAAGAAATCAACCAATAACAAATGCCGAGGAGCTGTGGGGAAAAAGGAACCCTGCTCCACTGCTGGTGGGAGTGTAGACCATATCAAGTATGGATATTTCTCAAAAAACTAAAACTAGAGCTTCCATTTGACCCAGCTATATCTCTTCTTGGTATCTTCCCAAAAGAATTAAAAGCATCATACCACAGCGATATATGCACACCCATGTTTATAGCAGCACAGTTTGTAATAGCTAAACCTTGGGAACAGCCCAAATGCCCATCACCTGATGAGTGGATAAAGATGTGAGTTCTTTTATACAATGGAGTACTACTCTGCATAAAGAAGGATGAGCTTCAGACATTTATAGCTAAATGGATGGACCTTGAGACCATACTCTTTAAGTGAAATAAATGGGACCCAGATGTTTAAATACCACATTGTTTCTCTGGTATGAGAAACTGAATGTGAAAATGACTGAGATGTATACTGGATGGTGGGAAATGGGAAGAACAAGAGAGGGAGAAAGGAAGGAAGAGACAAGAAAAAAAGTGAAAATAGAAGGAAAAAACGGAAACAAAGCTTTTGTACATAGGGAGGGGAGGGGACTTGAGGGGGGAATGTGATAAAAAAATTATTTTAATGAAAGTGAAACAAAGACCTTTTCAAATAAAAGAAAGCTTGTACAGCAGTCCTGCTCAACAAGAAATGCTGAGGAACACTCCACAGGCTGAAGGGAAACACTGCCACACACTCAGATTCCAGGAGGAAACAAGAAGAGAGAATCCCAAGACTGCTTTTCCTCTTCTTTTCAAGCACATGACTTTTCAGAGTTTATCTTATACAGCTGAACTGTGGAGTTTACAACATAGGGAGAAGTGACAGGTGAGAAAGACACAGCATGCACCAGGAAGAGGTGCCAAGTGCATGTGCAAAGATGAGACCCAGTGAATCCTAAGTGCTGAGTTCCCTCTGAGACTGAAAAGTCTGTTCTTATCCCTATAGCAGGCACTAAAAACATAATGCAAAGAAGTATAGCTTAAGTCAATAGGTATATTAAAATCAATTCCAAGAAATATCCAAATACTCCAAAAGATGTGAAAAAGGAATAGAGAACAAAAAAAGAAAAAGAGGGGACATATTGAAATTGATAGTGCATTCCAGCACTCAGGAGGCTGAAGCAGGAGGATTGGCAAGAGTTCAAGGCCAGCCTGGGGTACATAGTGAGACCTTGTCCCCAAAAGCCCCCCAAAAATAAAAATAATAAAAATAAAAATAAAAATAAAAATAAATTGATAGTGCTGAGCATGAGGGTGCATGCCTGTAATCCTAATATTCAGGAGGCTGAGGCAGGAGGATTGTCACAAGTTCAAGGTCAGACTGAGCTACATAGCAAGACCCTGTCTCAAAATACAAAAAAATAGTAAAGTAATAGACCTAAGTCCAGATACATCATGTATACAGACTCAGCATTATAATTAAAATATAGGCATCATCAAAATGGATTAAATAACACCTAAATACAAAATTGTCTTCACTTTTAATAGAGCAAAGGTAAAATGGATAACAAAATATACATGGATACTGGTATAACCATATTAACAAAACGGAAAGGAGATTTCAAGACAAAGAATATTACAGGAGAGGAAAGGGATATTTCATTAATAAAAAGGTAAAGTTTTCAGGAAGACATTACAATCATAAATATGTACGTCCATAACAGAGCTTCAAAATACTTAAAGGAAAAATTTCAAAATTTAAGGAGAGAAATACATGAGTCCATACTCCTTTTTTAATTTATCTGATACAATGGTGACCTGAGAAATACACACATAGGCAAATATTCAAGTCACCTAGGAGACTCCGTCTTTGGTCAACAATGCCCGAAAAGGTTATGTACTGCTGACTGCGGACTGCCGGTGGCCCTCACAGCTTTCTAGAGTTCCTGTGCTCTAACTAGCTCCAAGTCTTTACCAGTGCTTTAGTTCAAAAAGTAACACCATGATCAAACAAGATCATAAAAGCTTCTTGTGCAACCCTGTTCCGATGGAGAGCAGCAAGGGGTGACAGCAAAGGTCAAGGGCACACCTGGTCTCAAGCATGAAATGGGGAACAGAATTCAGTCGACACCCACACACACGAAAGACATAAAAACATCGGTTTGTGCCGAGTCCACATACTACCAAGTAAAGACCTTCACCTGCACTGGTATAGAACACAGTCCCTTCTGTCCCCATTTCTGATAGTGTGGTGGAGACCTGATCACACAATGGCTAGAAAGGGACTCAGTGTGCAGACTGTCCACAGTTGCAAAACAATTGCCAGGAAGGGCCTGGAGAAACTGGACCTCATTTAAGACACTGGCCTGAATGTCCGAGACAGCAGAACCTCTCCCTGGAGCCCTGGGGATGCGTGCCATCTCCGAGACGGAGTCAGAACTCTCACTGGTCAGAGTGATGCTGCAAATCACCACTGGCATTTTATTGCAAAAGCCAGTTTCAAGGGTCTGGGGACAGACGTCCTCACAAGCGTGACACGTGTGGCCTGGGGCAGACCCACCTGCCTGTGCTCATGTGGACCACAAGCCTCCTGGGGGCAGGGCAGACCTCACCAAGAGGGGACTACTCACACTCTCCAGGTGCCCTCTCAGCCGGGTCTCATGCTGCAACTTCTCACGTAAGTTTCTGTTTTCCATTTTCAAGAGTTCAATTTCCTCCTTGAGTTCAGTCTGAAGGAGGGAAAGTTTAAGCTTGTGCTCAGCTTCCAAACCCAGGACTCTGGCTGTCACCTGCGCATCCATCTCCACAGCTGTGTCCTGCATACACTGGGGCTGCACCTGTGCTGGTTCTGCAGAGACAAAAAAGCAAGGAGAGCAGTTACACACGGCGGCCCAGCCCCAGGCACTGCCAGCACAACAGAGGCCTCACAGTGATGCAGCAGCAAACGGCTCAGCTGTGAAGGTCCCAGTGCTGACTTGGGACACGAGTGGGCATGGTTCTCTTGTATCCCCACTGGGGGCTTGGCCCTGCCCTGAGAACAGGCATGTGCCCTCATCTGCACAGCAGCTGCCCGCCCCAAGCAGGCTGGCCCTTCCAATCACGCATGATGTGCACCCTGCCACAGGTCAGCCGGGTGAGTCACGCACACTCATCAGGTGCGCTTGTCTCTGGAGACATCAGCAAAAGGACCAGCCTGAGGTCCTAAGGCTGGACCTGGTGGTGGGTGAGATGTGGTGGGGACTGGGTCTGTGGGCTGGAGTGAGCATGAGCCAGGTCACAGGAGCAGCATGGAGTCTGGGGCCACAGTGCAACAGCTCTGGTGCAGGAAGGACAAGAACGGCGAAGGGCACGTGCATGTTGGCCCCTGATCCACAGGGGGCTGTGCTCCTCTTCCCTGGCAGTCCAGCCTGCACCATGATGTGGAGCCTGATCCGACTACCCCTAGAGGTAGAGACCTCGACCGTGGCTTCCTAACCTCCAGCACAGGATGCCCACAGGGTCTGGCGCCAGGCAGCATGAAGAGGCACTATCACCACTCTTCATGCCAGATGCCCACCCTCCTGTCAGGGTCCTCTGTACAGCACCTATGGGACCAGCTGAGCCTGGTGGGCTGGGCCTGTTGAAGCTGAGAAGGGTCCCAAGAATTTCTCCCTCCCAAAGGTGCGTGGTCCCCAATGCCTGACAACGCCTGTACCCCAGGGTGCTGTCTTAGCTGGAGAAAACCACCTGCAGACAGGACAACCAGGAGCATGCACTACCACCAGGCCAGCCCCACCCAACTCCAACCTATGCATCAGCACCTGCTCATGTCCTTGTGTGCAGGGCACCAGACCAAACCCCAGAGACCAAGCCTGTAGAACAGGTGCAGGACAAGGAACCACTGGTGGGAGATGGGCCACGTACCTTGGCTGTGCTGGTCTGAGAGGACAGCCCGGAACGGCTCCCATTCTAACACCTCAGGCCCCACGAGACCTCTGTCCGACTCATCCTCCTCACGTAGGACATGGAGGGAGGAACACAAATCTGATCCCAGCCTGTGCTTTTCCTTCGGCCCTGGTTGTAAGCACGCCACACTCCCCTAGGGAAGAACCACATAGCACACATGTGTTAAGAAGTCTAGCCCTTTGTTCATGGCCACTGCCCTGGACAGCACTTTCTGCTGTGTTCAAAGAGAATGTGAAAACCTCTCCCAATTCCCTGGGCCACAGTGGCGATCCCATGTGTACTCGCAAGACCACGGGCACATCCACTGCCTCTCCCTGTCTACGACTGGCCTGAAGAACCCACGGAAGCAGAGGCTGTAGCCTGAGGACAGGTGCCCCAGGAACAGTGTGGCCTGGGAGCCAGCACCCCTCCCCATGGTGCTAGGCTATCACAGCTCTTCTCACGGCCCCGTTTCCGCAGCACCCAACATGTTCCCTTCACCAACAGCCACTCTCAGCATCGTTGTAGGGTCCTCCTCTCCTGCCTTCAAGGTGCTCCTCAGTGTCTCCTGCCCTGCCTGGGTCTCTCCTCCATCTGGTCTCATATCTTGAGCCTGGGACTCTCTCCCAAACTCCAGACCCCTGTGACCTGCCACCCTGGCAGGCAGCACATGGGCTATGGGGGGCCAGTGGCATGAACAGACACTCGGGCAGTGGCCCCGGAGCCTGACCGAAACTCTGCCGTAGTGACACAAGCTGACTCTGCCACTGGACCTCATGCCTTGCTCTCTCCTCTCGGGCTGGCTTGCTTGTCCAGCAGCTCTGCTTGCCTCCCCTGGCCACACCCACGTGTCCATGTGTGGGCCTTTTCCCCACCAGTGCTTTAGTTCTGCTATCTGTTCCTCAGAGGACTCAAACTAGCACCACCCTGCTGCCACCCGCAGGGCTCCCCAGGTCCCTGCTGTGCTGGGAGGTCTCTGCCTACCCCAAATGCCACAGGCTCTCCTGTTGCTCTAGTCACGCCATGGGCCACAAAGACTCCCAACACCCCACCCTCTTGGGTCCCACCTCTGCAACCCCTCATTCATGCTCCCTGGCATCCTCTCTGCCATGTAATCCCCTCCACAGCCCAAGGCCAGGCTTGCTCAGATGTGAAACAAGGACATGTTTTGTGTCCCTGACAAGGAGGAAGCTCAGAATGGGTCTTTGCTTTTGAAAACAGGGCCCTCCCTACTCCAGGCTGCAGTGCACCCTTGTTGAAATGAATGAATAAGTCAAACCTCAACAGCCTCCCCAATCCCCTTGACACAGGAGGGATACTATCTTCCTTAGAAATCACCAGGGAGCTGCACCAACCTGAATGTTGAGCTTCTAATGAGCTCAAACTATCTTTAAAGCAAGACTTAAATTCTGCACTGTTGCAGAAATAAGCATCTTGATTGATGAAATGCTCTTGCTCCCATGACACTAAGAAAGGAGAGGGCTGACTCACCCTGAGAACAAAGGGCTGAGGACAAGGAAGGACAGGCCCAGATCCCTCACCCCACCCCAAAGAAAGAGACAGTCAGGCCCAACAACAGAAGTAGAAAAGGATGAACAGAGCAGGGAACGTTCACACCAAGAGCAAAATGGGCAAAGAGGTGAAAGCAATCAAAGAAATAAAAAACTCAGCCTTGTTAGTAATTAAAGATGCAGGGCCCGGGGATTTAGCTCAGTGGTTTTGCCGCCTGCTGCACAAGGGCAAGGACCCGAGTTCGATCTCTGGTACCAAAAATAATAATAATAATAATAATTAAAGATGCAAACCAGAAAATCGATGCTGGCCATCAAGCACACTTTTTTTGGATGAGGTTCTATAGGGCCAGGACAACTGAGAGAGGGCAGCATGGCCTCAACACAGCAGCACACATGGACTGCCCATCTACAGAGAACTCACACAAAACCCACCACCTTCACCTCCACGCCTCTGGGACACGTAAATGGTAGAGACAAAAAATTAATTTATAAGCCTATGAAAAAAAGAAATAGGGGAAGAAGCCATTGATGAACTACTGCGCGCCAACTGCCAGCAGACAGAGGCACAGGAGGCTGAGATTTCTGGCATGTAGAAAAGGACCAGGAGCAGGGCACAGACAAAGGGGGCTCAGGGCAGAAGGCGGGAATAAATGGCACTCTCTCCCAGTACAGACCAGGTGACACTGGGCACAGAGAAGGTAGTGGGTGCCACGTGCCCTCCAGCCACCTCTCCTCAGGTACTTATGGGCAGCAGAATCCCCCAGCAGGAGGCAGGAGAGCCATAAGTGGAAGAGGCTGGAGACCCCTGGGTGGTGGAAGACAGACACACGCAGCCCTGTAGCCAGCACAAAGCACACCTGAGATAAACAGGGCTCCACATCAAATTCAAAGACAGGCGGCCACAGTCACCATGCCATGCAGGGAACACCACCTCTAACCCCATACAGAGCAACCTAGGCAGACAGAAAGCAGAGACACACAGGAGGCAGAAGGCTCTGAATGCTGACAGTAGTCTTCGAAGAGGTGAGCAAAAGCACCCACCCTTGACACTGGAACAAGAGGATCTCGAGAACACAATAAAGCAAAGGGGAAAATTAAAAATGACAACACAATGAAGGGTTTATCTGAAAAACTAACAGAGAGTGGGAGAAAATGTCTCACTCAGAAAACAGAACCGAAGGAGCTGTAAGTTGAGAGAGAAAAATGTAAGAACACTGGGCCTTGTTCTGGAGATCAAGCAAGAACCTCAGAGAAGCTCCAGAAAGACAACAGAATCTGAGGGAAATGAGTGAAGTCTAAGCAATTAAACTGAAGCAAAAGGAAAGCCTGAGACTCCAAGGCCCCATTTGCTCCCAGCATGAAAAATAAGCACAGATGCACAGACAGGGTAGAGGCCTCAGACCTCAGGGAATCCAAGAGGGGACCTAAGAGCCACACAGGCAGCATTTAGAGGGACGTCACAGGGAATCATGAGACACGAAAGCAAGCTTGAATGTGCAAGGTTAAGACTGGCTCAGCCATGCTCACACATTCTACCTAAGGAACATGGCAGCAACACAAGGGAGAAGACAAACGCATGCACCACTCCCAGGCAGCAAGACCAGAGGGAAGGGAACCTGAGAATGGGAGTGCTGGGAGATCTCAGGAACCCCAAAGAGCAAGAGAGCCAGTAGAGAAGCATCCAGAGAAAACAGACATATGCAGCACAAGAGACACCACTGTGCTGGGTGCAGGCTCCACTGCTGCACCCCGTGCCACACCCTGGTCGTACCCACAAAGGCAGCTGCAGGGGCAGCACACCTGCAAAGAAAGAGGTGAAACAAAGTGGAGCTCCACACCTCATCAGAGCAAGCACAGGCCTCCCATTCACAGAGGGTACAGACAAGACCCTGAGGGATCGAGACCACCTAAGATGGGCCAAGCTGTATCATCCTCCCAAATTCACGCTACAGCCCTCATCTCAGAGCCCTACAAAGGGACTGGATTTAGAGGTGGGGTCTTTACAAGTAAGGTCATGAGGGTAGCCCATAAACTCATAGGACAGGTGTCCTTATGAGAAGAGGAGGACACACAGAGCCCAATCACATGATGACAAAGGGAGCAGACTCAGCCTGCAAGCCAAGGAGAGAGGCCTCAGGAGGGACCAGCCATGAGGCACCATGGACTCCCGTCTCCAGTCTCCAGAGGAGGAGAAAATAAGTGCCTGTGATCTAAGCCCCTACGCTGTGCAGTTGGCCCCAGCAACCCAAACCAACCAACACGCCCTCAATGACCAAGAGCAGCAGCCATTCAAGACAAAGCCGGTGTCCATGGATGTCGAATGCTTCTGCACACAGGCCCCAGGGCCAGGCTGAGGGCCATGCTGCCCAGGAAGGCAGGGCCCAGGGGCTACCAGCATTTCACCAAATGACTGTCAAGTAACCTTGGTCAACCCCAGTGCCCAGCAAATGCTCAACAGGTGTCCACTGCACTGTACATCGTCCCAGGAAGTTGTTTGGACAGTGCTATTCCACAGAGGTTAAAAATGACAGAAATCAATGGCATGGAGACCAGTTCAGGAAAGAAGAAACATGAAGGCCAGTGAAAAGAAATCCGCACAAAACTCGAGGCAGGAACAGCTCAGTCTGAGGACGGTCAGAGTCAAGTCTGACATAAGGACACAGTACAGAAGGGTGTGGGCAGAGGGGACTCGCTGACAGCCATGGCAACAGGGTACGTGGACAAGAAGGATGTGGCACCCTTCTCCTGACTGCCTGGGACCCACAGTCAGGCCAGGATGGCTGTGAAATCCGTAGAGGAATTTCTGAGATGGAAAAGCAAGAATACATGACACGTCAGTGACAAGGACGGACACGCGGATCTTACACTGTGATGGACAGCCCACTTCTAAATTAACCCTTCCTTGGATCAAAAAATCAATCAGGGCTGGGGATTTAGCACAAGGTCGAGTTTGATGTCCAGAAAAAAAAAAAAAAAAAAATCAATCACCTCCTGTTGCTCAAGTTGAAGGTTAAGTTGATCAGGATGTTCTTTTCCTTCCCTGTCAGATGTGTCTTCTAAAAATGCACAGGAAGAACTAAGAGAGAAAACAGGTTTAAAAGCTTTATATGCGCCCTTTCCCCAATGCCCATTCTACCCCAGGCCTACCACAAAGAGTACAAGCCAGGCTAAGGCATCCCTGTCAAGGACAGGATGACCCCAGGTCTGCACTTTGCTCAGCCACATCATGGCACAGAGGAGTGAGGCAGACAACAGGGTGCAACTCAGCAGGAACACACAGGACACACCAGATCCTAGGTTACCATCATCTCGTTTCCAAAGAGCATCTGGTAACACCAAATTCTACTGGTTTCCACTGGCACGAGATCATAAAATGAGATGCACTCCCACCACAAGGCACCTGCATTTCAGAAACCCATTCAAGACAACAGCTGTTTCCTTTACCTGATTTCCACAGATCCCGGGAGAGAATCTTCTTTGGCCTCCTGCAGCCGCTGCTGGAACAGGCTCAGGTCCTCTTGGTAAGTCTTCTCAGCATCTCTCAACTTATTCTCAAAATAGAGCCTCAATTGCTCCAGTTCAGACTCGTGCTGGGCTCTGTCTTGCTGCTGTTGCTGTGCAAATTCCTGCCGGAGGTGTTCCAGCTGCTCCATGTGCAGCACTCCAGCCAGGGGAGGCGGCCACGGCTCTTCAACAGGATAAAGCACTCAATCATCCACAGTGAAACATTTTCAAAACCAGGAGCTGGGGAGGCCTGTGCGGATCTGGGGACGAGCCCCAGTCCTGGAACCTGAGTTCCCCTCCTGTGCTCAGTACCTGATAGGGCCCTAAGCCAGAGCTTTCTCCGGCCAGAGCACCTGAGACAGCGCCTCACTGCAGCACAAGTGCAGGCCCAGTTGAGGCCAGCAAGGAACCAAGGGGCACTGATCCCACAGCACCCAGGAACTGGGTCCTGACACAATCCCAGCCACCCTGGAAGTGCATTCAGGGCAGCACACAGCCACCTACAGCTGGATTTCAGCTATGGGAGAGAACCTGGATAGAGAACCCAGACACACCCTCAGACTTGTGAGCTCGTAACTGTTTTTAGGCCACGTCTGTGACAATTTGCCACACAGCAACAGAAAAGCGACTACACAAGCCCTTCTGGCTCAGAAGGTGCTGCCAGCTGCCCACAGTGATTAACAGCTAATGATGTGGAAGGAGTGGGCCACTGTCCCAGAGGTTCCAGATCAGCGCTTCCTGTCTGGGTCCTCAGGTGGGGATGAACACCCAAGCGCAACAGGCCAGAGCAGCAGTAGGAGCAGCTCCGCCTCTGGCCCATCAGTCCCTCTCTCCTGTAGCCTCCAGTCAAGACAGACTGACCCCAAGGAAAGACCAGCCCACCTGCCTACCACATCTGGACACGGACAGAGCTCGGGACTGAAAGAGGTCAAATTGGGACTGGATACATGGCTCAGTGGTTCAGCACTTGCCATGCATGCACAAAGCCCTGGGTTTCACCCCCAGCACCACAAAAACAGAACAAAACAAAAACTCACACCGCCTTAGCTTTGGATGATCTGAATGTCTCACACACAGTCCTTACCATGCATTTCCTCTCTGCTGGTTTTTGCAGACTCAAGCTGGGACCACAGGCGCCTGATTTCTTCTTGTGACTGAGCCTTTAGGTCTTCATAGGATGCTTGAAGATTCTCTAACTGTGGGAAAGGAGGGCATCACATGGAGACCCCCGAGTGGTTCCCCCCAAGGCAGGGCTGCATGTTCTGTGCTGCTAGCTATGTTACCTGTCAACACCTCAGGGCCAGCATCTGACAGGTACAAGTCTGCAAGCATGCAGTCCAAGCACACCCCCCAAACCAGCAGCTCAGAAATCAGAACAGTAGCAACCAGAACAAAGCAATCACCACAGCTGACCCAAGTATGGACAAGGTCAGAGTTACTGCCACTTTTCACTATATATATATATTTTTTTTGGTACCGGGGATCGAACTCGGATCCTTGCACTTGTGAGGCAGGCGCTGGAACCACTGAGCTAAATCCCCGGCCCCTGAGTTACTGCCACTTTAAAAGAGTTACCAAGGCATGGTGGCATGCACCTGTGGTCCCAGCTCCCCAAGAGCCTGAGAGAGGACTGCTTGAGCCTAGGAGTTTGAAGCCAGCCTACGTAACACAGCAAGACCCAATCTAAAAACAAAAAGGAGCCAGGTGTGGTGGTGCACACCTGTAATCCCAGCACTCAGGAGGCAGAGGCAGGCGTATTGCTATGAGTTCCGGGCCAGCGTGGGCTACGTAATGAGTTCAAGGCCAGCCTAAACTATATACTGTAGTGAGACTCTGTCTCAAAAAACCAAACTACAACAAAACAAGACAAAAAACAGTAACTTCTGGCCTTGGCTATTTACAATAAACATCAGCATGGGCCATGCCTGGGGAGCTGCACAGCCTCCCACTCACTGCCACACTGCCACCCCAGTGCTGGTTCCACATGCGGCCCGCCCGTGAAAGGTCACACTCACAAGCCACTGCCAGGCTCAGGGATGGCTTTGGGACACTAATGAAGGGCACGCAGGGCAGTGCTGGGATTAGCCTGCAGAGTCATCTTTTGCACCCATTTTCCACGTTCTTCTGTTAAAGAAGCAGATTGCCTCTGACCCCCTGATAGGAAGCACCTTGAGAGCCCACAGACCCACACAATGAAAGATGGTGGGCTGGCCCCACCGAGGGACTGCTTCTCAGTAGTCAGGGACGATGCTACGACCAGGATTGGCAAGGAGGACCCCTGGGACAGACTGTCAGTGCCTCCCTGTGAGTGTCCCCCATGGTCAGGCCCTCCAGGATCTACCCCCCAGCAGCAACCAGAGTGGCCATTTCTAGCAGTGTCACCAACATGAGAGCTTGTCAGCACCCAATGAAAGGAGGAAAAAGGTCATTGTTTTTTCAAGTGTTATCTCATTGTACAGGACTGGTCTTTTACTTTTCCCTTCAGGAACTTGGGATTTTTCTTTCACAGTTCCCTGCACAGACCCATGTCTGTCACTGAGCAAGGATGTGACCTTCTCAATAGAGAAGTCAACAGAGAAGGCTCCAATGCAGGGCCACGGGCTGGGCCAGGAGGGCCAGGCTGAAGCATAAGCCTCTCAGTTTATCTCCTGAGGGGCGTGGCCTCTCTGGGCTCCAGCCTGCAGTGAGGGTGGCACTGGCCACTGGCCATGCTTCTGGTGGGCATCAGGACCAGACAGCGCTCACCAGCTCTATTCCTCCCATCACCAAAAGAGCCTGGCAGGATGCAGGACCATGGGAAGGGAGTATGGCCCAGCTGGGGACTGACTGCATCTTCTCAGGTCTTTAAATCTCTGTGCATACCACTACTAGCTTCAGCTTCTGTTGTGTTTTCTTCTTAATGTCTTGAAAGGACTGCTTGATTCTTAGATTCTTAGTAATAAAAGCACTTCAGGTCTCTGAATAGCATCTGGCCACATCACCTCCATTTGATATATAATATTTCACTAGAAAAGGGTATTAAAACAGCAGAAATAGGGCCAGGGATTTAGCTCAGTGGTTCCACCACCTATCTTGCAAAACACAAGGTCCTGAGTTCGATCCCCGGTACAAAAAAAAAAAAAAAAAAAAAAAAAAGAAATCATTTTGATTAACTTTTTTTTAGAAATTTACTTATTGGATTATAGTCGAAAGAATGTGGCCCTACACTTCTAGTGCTTGGAATTTTTGTACACATCTCAGAAATACTTGAAAAGAATATATACTTTCTGAGCACAAGAGAGCATAATCACTACATGACCCTCGCAGACTGTCCCTTCACAGGCTTTTTTTTTAAACCTAACATTAAAAGTTCAAACTTAGTACTTCGGTTTTAGCAAACAATAGAATACAAAGTGGTCCAGTTCCAAAATCTCTTAAAACTTCTCTAATACATCAACTATTTAAAAATAAGTAAGCTCAGATGGCACAATGGCACACATCTGTAATCCCAGCACTCTGGGAGGCCAAAACATGAGAAGCACAAATTCAAGCCCAGCCGGGCAACACAGCCAGATCCTGCCTCAAAATAAAAGAGCTGAGGATGTAGATCAGTGTGAAGACCCCGGTTCAATTTCCAGTACCAGAATAAACACATAAGCAAGCAAGCAAGCAAACTCTTTCTTACCTCCAGCTGCTTTTCCTTTTCCTTTTCTCTGAACTTCAACTCCAAGTTTTCTAAATACTGGCAGTGCTCCAACTGCAGATCCTCGCGTACCTTCCTGACTGCTGCCTGATGCTGAGCCTCCAGGCTCTTCAGTGACACTGGAAAGCAGCACAGTTCCACCTGGTTTAAAACAGATAACACTTCCTCCCCGCAGCCACACTGGACAGTGCATTGCCACTTGACGGCTACAGCTCACATGCGGGTCACTGTCTGCCCCTCCCTCACATGTTGATGGTGTGTCACACCACAGGCACAGCCAGAAGAGCACAGCTGAGCCACAGCCAGTGGGCTCTGTCCAGACCTCATCTCAACACTGCCCTGCTATCCCCCAGTGAAGAGGCAGAGAGGCCACAGCAACATGCAGACAGCATCACCTGACCACAAGGGTCACTACGGGGCACACAGCACCAGAGAATTGGAAGCAAGCGATCCCATGCCACTGTTTCAGGAGTAATTCAAGAACCAAACATGTAAAAGACATCTTTGAAACAAAGGTCAAGGGGCGGGGGATTTAGCTCAGTGGTTCCGTCGCCTGCCTCACAAGCACAAGGTCCCAAGTTTGATCCCCAGTACCCAAAAAAAAAAAAAAAGAGAGACCTATGAAACAAGGGTCAAGAAGGTTTAGGGACTCTGAGAAGCCTGCAGCCAACATGGAGGGCCCAGCCTGTCTCCCAAGGTTTTTCCAGCACTCAGTTAAAAAGGTTGAAAAGCACAGTGGGAGCTAGAAGGTCTTTGTTCCGGAATCACACAGAAATGCACAGCCCCTTCCAGACCTACTCAAGTTAAATGCTCACCTTCAGCCTCAGTTTTGTCTTGAAAAACCTTCTCCAACTCAGCTCTCTGTTCTGCCAATTCTTTCTGAAACTGGTTTTGCAAATCCTCCATTTCTGACTGGTGCCTTGCAGATAATTCTTTGCGGAGATTTTCCAAGCATAACTCTCTTTCAGATTCCCAGTCTTGCTTTAGGGTCTAATTTAAGAGAAAGAGTATAGTCAACAGTTGGTTATCTATTGTAAGGAAATTTTAATCTGTCAAGATCAAGAGTGGGCAGTCATGGCTCCTGGACTGAACTGCCACTATGGGAAAAAGACTTGATGGCCAGTCAGTCCATCCACCCACTGCTGAAAAGACAGCAGAGAAGCATCCACAAGCAAGCAGCCAAAGAAAGGGGGAGGCCACTTGTTGCTCTAACCAGCCTCTAAATGCAAAGTACATCCAACAGCCACTCTCAAAGGCTCACAAAGCCAGCTACTTAAAAGACCCAGAGGCCAATGGTAACTTTGCCAACCTCTGTCCAGGGGCTGGGTTCTGTTCCACGCATGTTGACAAACAGGTCTCCACTCTCCAGGTCGGAGAGGTAGGATGCTGAAGCATGAACCTCTAGCCCCAGACTGACCGCTGGACCCAGCCAATACACCTGACTCAGGAGGCGCATCCACTGACTGGAGCTGGGGGCCACTTACCCCACCACACAATCACTTTGGATGTCCAGGAACATCCACCCCACCCCACTCAGACACCCTAGCTACATCCACCTCCCACTACTGAACAGTCCCTGAGGACAGGCAGCATCCAGAACCCAGTGTGCAGCACTTCACATTCTAGAAACCAATAGGAAACAAGTCTGCTGGCAAACACAGCCTTGCCAACAAAAAGAACAACTCATCTTCCACCAACATATCCCAATACCTTCCACCAGAATTTACTTGTGACAAAGTGGGGGACAGGCAAGTGAGAAGTGAAGACAGAGGAAAACAATGTACCCACAGAACTCCAGTTCTAATCAGGTGTACATACCTCTATCATCTGGGCATTTTTGTCCACTTCTGATTGTAACTTCTCCTTCAGCTCAGCTGCAAAACAAACATAGCAAGCCATTCAGACTGCCAACCCACAACCTTCTCCACATGTCCATCACCCAGGAGACAAGGCAGGTCTGGCATCTGCTGGCCGCTCTGTGGATACTTGCCAGTGCTAACAGGGCGGCAAGATGTCTGCTTTAAGAAATAAACTATATCCCGGCCAAAACAAGGGGCACCAAGGTTTCTGGCCACACAGGACCTCCCAGAAGAGCAGGAGTGATCAGTTCCTAGGGTGTCCATCACCGAAACCTCAAAACCTACATAAACCTTCTGGCAAAAGAACCACTGGCCCTTCAGCACAGGCACCCATAGCATTCACGCCCAGGCAAGGTGCTGGGATTTGAGATGCAGGAGGCCATCCTAGGGCCCACAGCTCTTGTCTGAGAGAGAAGGAGCCCAAGAAGGAGACGCCAGCAGCACCTCAGCATCAAAAGCCTCCACAGATATACCAGGGGCCAACGGGGCCAGGCCAACAAGGGCAGGGCTGGAGAAGCGGTTCTGGGGCAGGGGTAGACTCCATCACATGGACACAAGAGGAGGGTTTACACCTAGACCTGTTGATGAGGCCTCCAGAAGCGGGAAACAGGGCTGAGAAGTTGCCACAGACAAGATGTTGCCACGAAGGGGCCAAAGGGCCTGGAAACCAGCTTCTGAGGAGCACATTCTACCGGAAAGCCACTAACAACCCAGCCCCAGCCATGGAAGAAACAGGAGCCAAAGGAGAGGCAGATTGAGCTAATGAAGAGAAAAACAGCACAAAAAGGGGCAAAAGACAAACCACATTTTATACTCAAAGTAAAAAGAGGGGCTGGGGATTTAGCTCAGTGGTGCCACACCTGCCTTGCAAGCTCAAGGTCCTGAGTTTGATCCCTGGTACCAAAAAAAAAAAAGAGGAAGCAAAATAAAAATACACCTTTGTGTTTCCTTGAAACTGAATGAGGCAACACAGGAGGACATCACAAGGAACTAGGAAAACTGGCTCATCAGGGTGCAGGGAGAGCTGCCTGGAGCAGGGAGCTTTCCAATACAGCACAGCTGGAACACCCAGAAGGCAGGCACTCACCAGGTGCACAGGCTCTCCCTGGATAAGGGCACACTAAACTCTGACTGAGGGGATGTCTCTGTAACGTGGCAGATTGTGTGCTATGTGAAATATATCTCCATACAACTGTTACTTTTTAAAAGATGCACACAAACGTAGTAACTAACAAAAAATGTATGAGAAGCTATTAAAAACAAAACATAAAAGTATATATTAAATATAAATAGAGGTCAGTTTAGGCCAAGAATTACCAAATTTAAAAAGTGCCCAGGGGGCCAGGGATTTAGCTCAGTGGTTCCAATGCCTGCCTCGAAAGCACAAGCTCCTGAGTTCGATCCCCGGTACCAAAAAAAAAAAAAAGAAAAGAACCTTGGAGTTGGAGTATGGGCTGGGGATTTAGCTCAGTGGTTTCACCACCTGCTGCACAAGCTCAAGGGCCCGAGTTCGATCTCCGCCACCAAAAAAAAAGAAAAAAAGTGCCCAGATCAGCAGTAGGTGGCGCAAGTAGAAAAGGCACAGCCCACCACACACAGGACAGGTCTGTGGCCCACCACCACTGGGGGCTAGTCTGACAAAACCCACAGACAGGCAGGTTCTATCAAGATACTGGTGGAGAAATTGCACCAAAGCTTCCAAATTAGTACAAATCCACCAGACTGAAATGGGGCAAGCAGGCAGCAGAACCAGGGTCTGGGCAGACAGAGTGCCGCCAGCCTGGGCCCAGCCACAGCCTAGAGAGCCCAGCTGCGCTTCCTTGTGTACACAAAGGAACCTGGGCCCTGACACGTCAGGAACCTGCCCACACAGAAAGGCTGGGGCTGGCATCACAGACTCCCGTGGGGCAGGAGCAGACCATGTACCAAAAAAAACGAGGGCAAGTGATTTAGAAAACAAGCAGGCCAGCTTCTCAAAGAGGTCCCTGTGAGATCTGTGAGATCTGGTTGCAGGCAGAATGCACACTAGCTCAGCCACACCTGTACATGCGACACCATCTCCTGCCCAGGACCCGTACTGTACCCATCTCCTGCCCACAGCGGAGTGCCATGGCTTCCTTCTCGCGGGCGTGCTGCTCCCGGACCAGCTCCAGCTCACTCTGTTGCCTGCTCTGCAGAAGGGCTAGCTCTTGTGCACGCCGGCCATTGAGCATCTCCCGCAGCTCAGTCAGCGCTGTCTCCTTCTCCTTCTGCAGGTTGGCTTGTGTCAGCTCCAGCTGTGCAGTGTGCATGTTGTTCAGGCTCAGGCGTAGGGCTTCCAACTCAAGGCTGTGAGCCGCCTGCAGGCAGAGAGGCACTGCTGACACCAGAGCAGTGAGGTGACACCAAGAAGCACAAACCGGAAACAGACAAGGAGGGAGAGCATGTGACCCAGGAGACTGCCTCCCACCATCTATGCTGCATGTCCCATGCTGTGGCTAGCACGTGTGCCCTTGCTGCGCCTTTGGCCTGGCAGGCGCCAGACTCCCATCCCCAGGCATCCACCTGTCTCTTTACCTGTCCCAGGGGAGGGTCCCACTCACCAAACACAGGGGAAGAAGGGATAGGAAGCTGTGGCACCCCCATCCACTCTGGAGCCCTCACAGCACCCAAGACCCACTCACCCAAGGCCTGGGTGAGAATGGCAAAGCCCATGCCATGAGTGGGTAAAGGCTGAGAGTGGGTAAAGGGCCGTACAGTCACCTGAGGCTGCTGCTGCTGGCCAGCTTTGTCCTCGGGTATACCCATCGACTCACAGTCTTGATCTTGCTCCTGGAGAAGGAAAGCAACATGGTCCAGGAATTTTATAGGGGGCAATTTCTAGGCGGTAACTGTGATACATCAGAGAACAGAAAACCTACGTCCTCACAAAAACTGCACAGCAGTATTATCAACAACCTCTAAAAGAGGGAAACAGTTACAATGATGCGTGAATGCTCAAACAAAATGTGGCACACAGTCATCCTGTGGCACCCTCAGGGGACAGGTTCCAGGGACCCCAAGAATTTGCCCTGGTTGTTCAAGTCCCTCATATAAAATAACATATTATTTGTAGATAACCTATGCACAGCCACCCATAGACTTTAAATCATCTCCAGGTTGTTTAATGTCAACACAGTACAAAAGCTGTATAAGTAGTTGTTACCCTATACTGTCTAGGGCGGTAATGGTAACCTTTTAGAGCTTTCAATGATAACAGCCTGCTGCAGCACACACGCCATAGGTTCATCACCACTGGTCTAGGGGGTAATGATTAAAAAAAAAAAAGGTCTGTCCACATTCAGTAATATGTGACTTTTCTCCAAATATTTTCCATCTGTATTTGGTTCAAATCTGTGGATGTTAAAGGTCCAACTATTCAGACAATGAATTAGCATTCAACCACCAGAAAAGAACACACTACAACATGGATGATCCACGAAGACATGCTAACGGAAGACTAGGCACAGAAGGCTACATATGCTGTGACGACATTTCTATGACCTGTCCAGAGCAGGCAAATCCACAGAGAGAGAACAGAACGAAGGTAGTCAGGGCCTGGGAAGGTGGAGGCAGCTGCCAGTGTGTGGAGGTTCCCTTCAGGGCAATGGATGTGTTAGGATCCAAATGAAGGAGGTGGTGAGCAGCACTGTGAGTGTCCTAACAGCTGCTAGGGCCCATGCTCTAACTGGTGAATTTCATTTCAAAAAAGAATTATAGAAAAACATTCAACATGTTGAAATGGCTTAAAGTTAGAAGCCCCAGATACAGAAGCTGAGCCTGCACCCCACCCTCAGCTTCACAAAAACTGCACAAAAGTCCACAGCAGTATTATCAACAACTGCTGAAGGAGGGAAACAGTTGCAATGATGGATAAATGGACAAACTAGGCACCACTGTGGCAGTGTTTGTTAAGAGCCTGAGAAACTTCTGCCCCGACACTGCCCGCTGCAGGCCTGCCTCGAAAGCCATAATCCCAAGTGGAAAGAAAAGCTGCAGGCCTGTCTCCTCCTCAGCAGGATCCCCACAAGCATCCCGTGTTTCCTCTCTGGGACGACTGTCTGTTCTCCCTGCAGCCTCTGCCCCTCAGCCCATCTGCTAGACAAGCCTCTCACTGAGATCCAGGTGACATGCTTGTCCAAGAACCACTTCACTTCAGACTCAATGACTGGAATCCAGTTCAACTTCTTGCCAAAACTGGGGGAACTCCACTAGGGACGGAAGGCTTGATGTGGTCATAGAGGCTAGAAAAATACCCTGAGATACCTGACAAAGAGGCTCCCATACAGTCATACTGTGCAGGAGACGATCCCGAGGACAAGCAACCCGAAAAGCTTAAGGGAATGTGACAAGATCCCCTCAAACTCTGTGCTCTCCAGCACTCTCTGCCTCAGTGAACAGTACCCCCAAGCCATGCCAGCCCCACCCTGGGTCTCTGCAATCCCATAAGCACAGCTGACTTGTCCTCCCCTTGACTCGTGACTTTGATGCTGCAGCTGCCCATAGTCAATCCCTGCAGACTATAGGTCAACAACTCACCTGGCCTGCCTACTCAGGGGGGTTGCTCTAGAGACCCTTCCACACCAAGCCTCCTTCCCAAGCCCAGCAGAAGCCACACACATCCATAATGGTCTTGTTGCTGTGGCTCCCACCAGAAAGCAGCTGCAGACTGAGCATCTCAAGACCCAGCACCCACACACCTACCTACCTGCCATCAGATGCACAGCACATTAGCATCATCACTCAAGAAAGCATGCACACAGGCACTTGTTGTCCATGAGGGTAACATCTGGAAATAGCTATTTCAACAGGAAAGGAAACAGGAAGTCCAGACCTAAGCATGCAGATATAATGTTCAAGCTCTAAAACTGCTGGCACTAACCCTAACCTAGTGGAAATGACCTATGATCTTCTAGAGGAGCTCTTCATACACCAAACAGGAACCTTCAGCCACAGGAGCCAGAGGTAAACAGACATCCAGGCTCTCACAAGCTTCGGAACCAGAATTTGCAGTGGGGAGATCAAGATGAAACCTCTGAGCTCAGTGTGGTGGTGAAACTTAGGAAGAACCTGGCTTCGATGCCCAGCACTGCAAAAAGAGGAAATGAAAACTGAACAAGCCAGGCACATGGAGGACCGGTGGGGTGGAGGAATCAAGGAAGCTTACTTGGCTCCAAGGGGGTAGGGATGGCAGGGCAAATCAGGGTCATCTCTTCTGACAAACTCAAACTGAGGCCTGCCACTGTTTACAGACTACACACACCAGGGTGCAGGGGTCCCAAGGAAAGAACTGACTCAAAACAAGTTTAAGCAAGGGAATATTTCTGGAATACCAGATACAAACACTGCATCCACCTAGAAGAGCTCCTGAGCCAGAATCAGTTGCACACACTGTGAACTACTCCAGAGTAACAGACACCTAGGAAAACAGGAAGCGTCCAAAGAACCCACAAGCAGGCCCACATACAGGACGCAGCTTAAGTAATCAAAGTGAGCCACATAATTCCAATCAACACATTTCAATTAAAGTGAATGGCCAACTATCCCTCTAAATGCCAGACGAAAGTGAACATCAACTCACTCATTCAAAGTAAGTACAGGGCCAGGGATTTAGCTCAGTGGCACTGTACCTGCCTTGCAAGTGCAAGATCCTAATTACAGTTTAAAGCCCTGAGTTCGATCTCTGGTACCAAAAAAAAAAAACTAAAATAAGCACAGTTTTGTTCAAAACTAAAGAAGCTCAAAAATATCTCCAGAAAACAAGAAATTATACAGAATTACATGACCAATTATTAAAGCTCCAAGTAGAATGGGTTAGATGAAATAAAAACAGGACAAAAAAATGAATCTGGGGGCCGGGGATTTAGCTCAGTGGTTTCGCTGCCTGCTACACAAGCACAAGGACCCGAGTTCAATACCTGGTACCAAAAAAAAAAAAAAATGAAGCTGGGCACAGTGGTACACATCTGTAGTCCTAGCTACTAAAACCCTGAGGCATGAGGATCTCCTGATCAATGAGGATCTTCAAGATCAGCTGGAGTAATATAGTGAGACCCTCTCATCTCAGAAGGGAAGGAAGAAAGGAAGGAAGGAAGGAAGGAAGGAAGGAAGGAAGGAAGGAAGGAAGGAAGAAAGAAAGAAAAAAAGAAAGAAAGAAAGAAAGAAAGAAGGAAAATAACTCAATGGATAGATTTAATAGCAAATACATATAAATGAACATAGGAAAATGTGAGCTGGGCCAGGGATGTAGCTCAGTGGCGCCCGCCGCGCCTGCCTGGCAACCGCAAGGTCCTGAGTTTGACTCCTGATATGGGGCGGGTCAGAACTTGAGCTGATCCAGTTAATACCATCTAACGTGGAGCAGAGAACAAAGGAACTACAGAAAATGGGATGAGATGGGTGCATTCCAGAGGAGGGCCAGAAAACACCTGCAGCCTCAGAAGCAGTGAGTGAGAAGGGCACACCTAGATGGCCAACACCAGCTCTGGGAGCTCTACAAGCCAACAGTCAAGAAAAGCCTTGGGCCGGGGATTTAGCTCAGCGGTTTCGCCGCCTGCTGCACAAGCGTGAGGACCCAAGTTCGATCCCCGGTACCAAAAAAAAAAGAAAAGCCTATCCACAGATGCCAGAAACCCACAGGGTAACAGGACCACAAAAAGCCAGAGCAGACACAGAAAAGCAAACTGCACATCCACAAAGCATCCAGAACGGAAGTGAAGTGTGGCAAAGGAACAACAGAAGGCCCCGACCGAACATGACAGAACCCCAGTGTGCAACACACCTGCCAGACTATCTTTCAAGGATGGAGGGTGGCGACATCTGTAGTTCCAGCTACTTGGGAGACTGAGGTAGGAGGACTGTTTGGGCCCAGGAGTTTGAAGCCAGCCTGGACAACATAGCAAGACACTGTCTCAAAAACAAAAAAAAAGCAAACTGGGAGCATTCGCCCAAAGAAGGGTCCTGCTACAGGAAGTACAGAGAGCGTTCTTCAGACAAAAGATGGAAAATCTAAAAAGGAGAAATGGGAGCCAGGTTCTCACTGGCTAAAAAGGAATGTACAGGGAAGCCAGCATGAACCCTGCGGGGTGAGGTGCTGGGTTAGAACTGAGAGACCATGATGCACACATACGTTCTTCAACATTCACATACACATGGACCAGAGAGAAGTAAATATACTTGTGCATGCTGCACACCCATCTCCTCACTCAGTCCATGGAGACAGCCTAGAAGATGCAACATGGAGCCCAGAATTGACTTCCAGCACCAGACTCTGACAGCAAGAACTAGGGCTCCCAAGAGAAATGGCTAAGCCAGAGGAGCCTGGAGCACCTGTGGGGTCAGAGGCCAGGCACGCTCATAAAACAAAAGATGGGGAACATCAAAGGGAGACTAGTGCCACCTGAAAAAGCTCCCAATGGCCAGAGCTGGAACAATCTGAGCAGCAAAATAAGTTATGTAGTTTGGGGTTACAACCTCAAGTACAACATAAAATAGAAATAAGGCATACTGACACAAAAAGATGACTAAATAAATGAATTAATGGGGAGAAGAAACAAATCTTCCTTCAGCAAACCCCACAGGGCATATCTGTAAATGCTCTTCCCTCCAAAAGGCAGATGGCACTTCCCTCCCCTCAGGTGTAGGCTGGACTTAGTGACTTGCTTTCCAAGCAGAATGTGGAAAGGAAGGGAAGTGCATTTTTGCCAGGCAAAGTAGGCAAACCCTACTGACACTACATGATGAAAAGGGAGCATTCTTCCCAGAAATCCCTAACTTGGGTTCAACAACGAGAAAACAGTTAACAAATCTGACAAAGTCATCAACAGTAAGTCAGTCACCATTAAAGTCCAAGAGGCTCAGGAGAGGAAACAACTAAAAGTAATGGGCTACCTCCTAAAGAGAAAAAGAACACTAGCCAAAAAAATGGCATAATTCAGACGAAGTCTGTGTTTACTCAACAGCAAAACACAGCCAAGTCAGTGTCCTGGTCCTCACCACGGCCACCCTGCACAGGGGCTGAACACAGCGTCTTCACAGTTAGCTACATCCCAGCCCCTACCCTTGTAAATTTGTTTTATTTTGAGACAGGATCCAGCTAAGCTGCCCAGGCCAAGCTCAAACTTGTGGTCCTCCTGCTTCAGCTTCCCAGAGCGCTGGGATCCTGTACAGCCCTGTGCCAGCACACCTAGTTACTATCTTAGTTTTGACAGATGTACAATGATGGTGTTAGACATAACTAAAGAGTGCTGGGAAGGAACCTGGGAACCATGCGAACTACCTGTACATCTTTTCCACACACCTTCCAAATTCTTCCAAAATAAAGCTCATTGAAAGATAAGCAGAAGCTGGATGGATAGGTGGACTGTGAGATTAAGAAACTTCGTGTGGGAGCAGGGATTTAGCTCAGTGGTTCCAGCGCCTGCCTCAAAGGCGCAAGGTCCCAAGTTCAATCCCCGGCACAAAAAAAAAAAAAAAGAAACTTTGTGTGTGTGTGTGTGTGTGTGTGTGTGTGTGTGTGTGTGTGTGTGTGAGAGAGAGAGAGTGTGAGTGACAGGGTCTCACTGTGTAGTTCAGGGCTGGTTTTGAACTCACTGTGTACCTCAAGCTGGCCCTGAACTAACCAGGATCCTCCTGCCCCAGCCTTCTTAGTGCTGGGACTACAGGTGTCCCTCATCATGAGAACCTGGCTGCTTAGGAAACCTCAATCACCTAACAAAAGTGTAAAGTGAGGGTTATAAATGGGATGTAACTATTTTAACACCCTTGTACTTATTGTTCAAGAAAGTGAAGGTATTGAGTAAAAGCAGACTTAGGAAGCTAGGCATGGTGGTGCACACCTGTAATCCCAGCATCAGCGAGGCTAAGGCAGGAGGACTGCCATGAGTTCAAGGCCAGCGTAAACTACACAGCGAGATTCTGTCTCGAAACAAATAAAATAAAATAAACAAATAAATAAAAAATAAATTCAAACTTAGGCAAATTAAGTGTACGTGTTGTGTTTAATCAGCTTACCACTGAAAGAATGAAAAATGAAGCTAGGCCTGGTGGTACCTAACCTGAAATCCCAGCACTTGGAAGCCTGATGAAGGATAACCTCAAGTTCAAGACCAGCTTGGACTACATACCAAGATCTATCTCAAAAAACAAAATATGCCAGGCATGGCGATGCATACCTGTAATCCCACCACTTGGGAGGCTGAGGCAGGAGGATCTTTGCAAGTCTGAGGCCAGCCTGGGCTGCACAGTGCATAGTTTGTTCAAGTTCAGCCTGAACTACATAGTGAGACCCTGTCTCAAAAAACCAAACAAAAAAAAGCCCATAAAATAAATATCCATACGGAGTCCAGTATGAGTCCATTCTAATAAACATAAGCCAACTGGGAGAAGCAACTGTTCCTCCTCTCAGTGACACAGGCAGCAGGAGGGATGGACATAAAATATCACTTGGCCAACACTACTGTAATAATTACTCAGGAAAAAATCACTAATAGAAGTCAGCACAGCTTGTGCTCCCAGCCAGCTGAGACAAGGCCAGTGAACACAGCTGCCCTACCTGGAGGGACACAGAGAGGACAACAAAGAACAGCAACTGACAACAAATGCCGGGCCCACAGGACAGGGAGTGCACGGTGACCTGGGTGCAGGCAAGCACAGGCATGGCCACCAGAGGGATCCAGACACTCCAGGGCACAGAGGACACCATGGCAAGGTCTTGTCTCACTCGAAGCAAAATTCCAGACTTGTAGGTAGAATTTCACACACTTTATATACTGGCAGTAGTTACATTTTTTCCAATAAGGCAACCCAGACATGTCACGATTTTAAGCCAAATTGTGTCCTCCAAATTTTTTTCCAATTTCAGGAAGATTTAGTTTACCAGCTCATCCTAGCAAACACCTAAACCTGCTCCCCTGAGCTGCAAACAAATACATGAGACTCAAGGTCTCATGGACAGTCCACCTGAGAAGTCTCAAGGAGAGCCCATTGAAGGGCAGGTCTGGAGGCCCCAGGGAGGCCAGGAGGACCACACCCTCAGCACTCTCAACACCCACCCACCGGCCTCACCTCCCGCGGGTAAATAAACCCCACACAGCTCACAGGCCCTGGGCAGCAAGAGGCTAGCTCCATCACCAACACACCTTTTCTGCAGTACCTCCACTCTTTCAGAAAGCAGGCAATGGGCAAAAATGACAAACAAGTGCATTTGAAAGTAGGTGAAGAGGTATTAGGTTTTAAATGCCCAACAGCTGGCAAAGGGGCTGATTCAGCCACCAAGAACTCACACCTGTAAAACTTCTATACCAAAATGACACCTGCTTATAAAGCAATCAATGTAAAATTTCTCAAAATCCTTTAATAAAAACAAAGCATTTGTTAAGCATAATACAATAAAATATGTACTTACCTTTTGTAAATTTAAATAAAACCCCCTTCTCCCACTTTGGAGAGGCAAAAACTACTTCTAGTAAATTACCCTAGCAATAACCAGAAGATAAGTACAATGTTAAAACATCATGCTGGGCAAATCTACCTGAGTTGCAAAGGCCCCTCGGGCCCTGTCTGGGCTGTCGCTGCCTGCTGTGCTTCTGCAAGCGCCGCTTCCTTGGAGGAGGCCTCCATCCTGGGTGACTAGCGGACTCTCCTCCTGGACAGGCGCATCGACAGGCGGGCCCTTCCTCTTCGCCGTCTTTTTCTTCGAATGCACACAGTCACCTTTTGTTTTTCTCTGTCGGAAGTGAGCAAGCTGCGCAAAAACGCAGAGAAGTAGTAAAGACAGAGGTAAATGAGAAAAAAGTAACAAAACCACAAAGTCAATAGACTTGTGGGAAACATGAGGCTTGGGCTCAGCCGGTCCACTCAGCCACACTCGGCCGACAGACCACTTTCCCCAAACACTGCTTTCACTGACATCATTTCATTGACACTAGCAAAGAGTTCAAGATTATATCTAGATACTACTGGTGAGAACTGTTAACTATGCCCAGATACAAACAACAGAAAACTAAACAGCTAATTGACAAAATAGCTTTTCTAAACCTAATAATTTTTTTAAATTGATTTAAAATGCTGAGAGGTTAATCAGGCATAAAGCTTAAAATTGTATAAAAAGCTAAACTGTTCCCTTCCTGCCCCCATTTTCCCCTAATCAAGGAAATATTATCACCCAGCTAAAATTTCCTAGCCATAGATTCTGAGACAAGATACAGAAATAGCAAAAAATTAATTAAGCCAGGTCAATCTAACATCTTCCTTTATGGAATCAGATGTTCTATTTTTCATGACACAGCTCAACAAAGCACCAGGGACTTCCACAGAATGTCACCCATCGGAAGGCACAACCCAGCTCTGTCAGTTCCTCAAATCCAAGGTTTTTCAACCTCGTTCATGCACCACCTCTAATACCTTATTCACAAAGTATGAGATTGAACACCAGCTTCTCAGAGGTATGTCTATTCCCTGAAATGAAAACTGTAGCCACAGAAGCAAACATGCTTGACAAAGGTTTGTGCAAATAACAGAAGTGCACAATTTTGTGGACCAGAAAGAACCTTTACAAGGCCATATATATGAGAGAGAAAAAATCTCCAAAGGACACTGCCTTCAAAATCAACTCCATTTCCTTTTTCTCTTGTATGTGTGTGGTACTGGGGACTGAACCCAGAGCCTTGGTACTAAGCTATATCCCGTTTTTCTGTATTTTGAGACAGAGTCTGGCCATGTTGTGTTTTCACTGATCTTAGTGCCCTTCTCCATCAAATGCAATCATCTGTGACAGAGCTCCCTTCTGCTGCACATTGGGTTCTGGGTGTCACTCATCGCCCTCCATCTCCCTCAGGCACATCTCCTATTATTTACAAACCACACACAGGCTCAGGGCCCGGTTACTCAAATCCAAGTGCTAAGGTCTGGATAGACTCATTTGCATCTCCTGGCCTGTGTATGTGTGGGAGGAACGAGGCAGCCAGCTTCTGTCTTTATACCTGCCATCGGAAACGAGGGCACTCTATCCTCAGCCTGTCACCCTGCCAGGGGACACTGCTATCTTGTCACTGTCATACCCATCACTGTGTATTCTGGACGTTTCTGTAATGCAGTGGCTCTTGGTTGACCCAAGGAAAGGAATGAGCTCTGAATGCCTCCCATTAGCTGATCCACAAAAACAATATAGCAGATTCGCAGGGTTCTACCTAGTCCTGGACGGAAACCTTCCTGGGGTCTCGCGGCCAGAGCGCAACGGACACAGTGCCCAGGCTCTCTCTGCCTCTTTCAACCGCGCCTCCACGCTTGCAGGACAGGGAGTACCAAACGGAATAATTGTCCTTAAATGTAAAAACCAGGGCAGAGGAAAGTGACAAGAGCACCCCTAGGTCACCGAACTCCAGGATCTGAGCCCCGAAGGGCCGAATAGAGTGTGCGCGTGGAGTTCACAGCCCCAGGGACACTATAGGGGATTTTCACAGATGAAAGACCTGCATTCCCAAGAAAATGAAACTCTAAATGGAGTTTTAAGCCACGGGCGACTCTGCGGGCGCAGGGACTCGTGGCACGAGGGACAAGCAACCCGTGGGCCCCAGGACCGCTCAGCAACTAGGCGCCACCACCACCGAGCCCATTGCGCAGGCGCAGCCCCGCCCCGGGATGCTCCGCATCTCCCGTTTGCCCAGCGCAGGCCTGCCCACGAGGCGCCGCGCATCCTGGCCGATGATTGGCTGGGTAAGGGGCGGGGGCGGGCCCGGAGCGAGGGCGGCGGATTCAAGATGGCGGCGGCCGGGAGCGGTGGCTACCAGCCGCAGAGTCCGCAAAAAGGACAGGGCCTCGGCGGCGGCCCCAGCCCAACCGCGTCCGCTCCTGGCAGGCAGCGGTATCGGGCACCGAAGCTGCCCTGAAATTTCTAGTCGCAGCAGCGCGAGAAAGAGGCAAGCGCTGCGCTTTACCGTCGCCCTGCCGGCCTCCACCTTCCTGCGCCGCTGCTCTTGCTCATCTTCTTCCATCTCTGTCTGGGGCTCTTCACGAGTCGTCCAGAGGTGGCGGAGCCGACGCGACACCGCCCTCCCTCTATTTACACTCCCTCCCCTTCGCCCGTTCGCCCTCCCCGCCGACAACTGTCAGCTCCTTGGTCCGGTCCGGCCCCGCCCCGCAGCGCAACCAATCGAAGGCCGTGTGTCCCTTCCTACGCGAGGGCGCGCCTGCGTGCTAGGTGGACGTGGCCCGGGCGGAGCTTTGCTCGGCCAGCCTCTGACTGGCTGATTGACTTACCCGCCCTCTCAAGCAGGACCAATGAAAGGAGCATGGTGTTCCCGGGACTCGTTGTGATTGGCCGGTACTCCGCAGATGGTTCGCGCCGCTGTTCCGCGCTCTCGAACGCCCTCCCCCGGCGGGAGGAGCCGGGCTGGCAGGTCGGCTGTGGAGTAGGCGCTTTGCCGTCCGTGGGCCAGGCCACACCTGTAGACCCTCGGCTTGCTGGAGGCCGCTGGCCTTGGTCCATGTGGGTGCACGCAAACTGTGGGGAACCGGGGCGGGGTTAGCCAGACTAACCACAGCGCCGGTCTTGGTCGTAAACACCGGCCCACCACCCGCTCCCCAGCACCACCATCCCGCCCACGACCCCCCCACGGCGCGGGCCGGAGCCCCGACCCCGGGGCAGGACCGAGCCTTGTCCCAGGCCTGTAGGCTTGGTGCCAGTGTTGCCTGCCCCGCAGTTGCAGACAGTGCCCCGCAGAATCAGTGAGATTCCGACCTAGCCCTGTTTTGGCCACTTCTGGTCCTGCCAACGCGCTGTCCCTTTGCCTGCAAGTACCTGGACCCACGTTGCCAAAAGCCAGGGGCACCCTGGAATTAGTCCCTCGGGACCAGGACCAGTTCAGAGACAGGAAGCCACCGAGGGCCTACTCAGGCCCATGTCCTCTTTCCGCACAAAGCAGTGCCTAGTTGAGGAGGCTGGAGGAGCCTGGAGTGTATCTGTTCTGGGGCCTCTGGAGGAGGTCTGCTCCGGCTGAGGAGCCTTCTAGGTCTCAGGGTGCAGTGTAAGTGATGGAGTGATTCCACCAGGGAGAGGATGAGAGGATGAACTGTTAGGGTCTTCCACATATATTGCAAATGGTTAAGAAAGCAGAGTGCTGTACTCGATCTTTGGAACTGAAACTGCTCTAAAAGTAAACTTAGAATTTTCATGTGGTTTGTCTATATGCTAATTGTGGGAATCTGAAGTTTCATGAGATTATCACTTGTTCCTTGGCTTCAGACTGACTCAGTGCAAGCCGATGCCAAGATGTGGAATCACTGTCATGGCCCAGTTTTGATGAACAGCCAGATTCTTTACTGCAGTCGGGTTCATTGGAAGCAGATATGCTCTGACTTACTGACGCCATTCAAAGCATTCACATGCACCTCATGTCACTCAGCACAGCTGCCAGGCTGGATGCATCATGTGGGCCCAGGTGAGAGGCAGTGGTACTTACAGACAAGTGTGTGCACATGAGCTTGACAGTCTTAGTCTCCTTTCCCTTTCCTCATGGCTCCTTTAATTTCCCAGAAGGTTTTAAAAGATACATCTACCTCCAAATTGAAAGGGCACCAACAGTCCAAAGAATGACTCAGCCAAGTCCAGCTTGGCGAGTAAATGCGTTCAGTAGGAATTACTTACGGCACAGTAGGCTTACAGCACTTATGGGCTGCAGCACTACTGAAGTCAACAAACAGCCTGCCTTTCCTAAGCTACTGGTCTTATGGGGCTCTAATTAAAACAGCAGAGGAGATCAAAGACTAGAAAACTCCTTGAGAAAAGTTAGTGTACTCCATCCCATCCTATCCTTATCAGGAAACTGTCAGTCTCAGCAAGCACTATCCAGCCACACCAGTGGGTGACTTGTGCTACAGTGTGGCACATAGCCTCAGCACCTGATAGGGGCCCCTACAAGATGGAGTTACACTGGCTAGGGTTTGGAGAACAATTCTACACCACCATCAGTGGCATCGCATTTGGTATTAATGTAAAAGGGATGCTAATTCCTCAGTTGGAGTCTGACTAGAAGGGCACTTCCTTTCAAAGCACAGGATGGGAGTCACAAACGAGGGGAGACAGGAATCTGCTAAACAGCCGTCCCTGTGTTGACCACCCCACGTGAAAGCTGGGCATTGTGTTGCGCACCTGTAATCCCAGCACTCGAGAGGCTGAGCCAGGAGGATGGCTGTGAGTTCGAGGCTAGCCTGGGCTACAGTGAGCTCAAGGCCAGCCTGAATCTCATAGTGAGACCCTATCTCAAAACATTAAAAAAAAATAAAGAAAAGGATATGTAGATTCTTTCACAGACACATGTGCGCTGCGTACAGCAATATCCCCTAGAGGGCGGAAGAGGGAGTTGCCTCACAGCAGAGAAACCTGTCAAGCACACCTTTGAGGGAGACAGCCCAGAAGGGGGTATGGCCCCCCACATCCTGCAACCCTGGTCTACACTGAGAAAGTGTCACAGAAGGGCCAGCTGGGAAGTCTGCAAAGTCCCTGCCAACCACACCTGTGAGCTAAGAAAAGCCTAAGACACGGTCAAGCCAAGAGGGGCCTGAGGAGATGATATGTGGTGTAGGATCCTGCACGTGCCCACACAGAGACTTCAGACCGAAAATTAAGTAGAGTCAGTTAGCAAGTGTCTCCATATTGGTTCTTTACCTGTGCTGCGGTGACTGCAGATGTTAGGAATGGGGGAAGGTGTGTGTAGAATGTGTGGAAACCACACAACCATCTCAATTTTTCTGTAAGTTTAAAACCTTTATAAGTTTTCTAAAAACCCAGGTGTGGTGATACATGCCTGTAATCTCAGCACTCAAGAGGCTGAGGCAGGAGAGTTGTCTTGAGTTAAAGGCCAGCCTAGACTACATATTGAGACCTTGTCTCAAAACAACAACAAAGAGTCTATTTTAAAAACTTATTCTCAAGTCAGGTGTGGTGGTACTCATGGCTGTCTTAGTTACTTTTCTCTTGTTCCTGAGACAAAATACCCGACACCCAAAGTTAAAGAGGGAAAAGTTTATTTGCCTTACAGTTCATAGAGGTTCCAGTCCATAATCAGCTGGCTCCAAGGCAGAGTGGCAGAGGGGCAACAGTTCATGGTGGTGGAAGACAGCAAAAGCAACAAGGGACCTTAGCAGTGTCTTTGTGCCCCTTTTATCCCATCCAGACTACCAGGATTAGGGCAGTACCAAGGATTAGGTACCAAGGATTAGGGCGGACAAACCAATTACTCACATGTAGTGGTTCAGTAATCACATGCCCTAATCCCATCATCACCCATTCTAGATTCAGCCACCTCCTAAAAGGTCCCACACCTATGACTACATGAGGCTTTTGGGGGTCATCTAGATCCAAACCATAACAACAGCACTCTGGAAAGCTGAGATAGGTAGATCTCAAGTTTGAGCCCACCCTGGCAACCTAGCAATTAGTGAGACCTTCTGTCTCAAAATAAGTAAAAAAGGTCGGGGGATGTAGCTAAGTGTAAAGGCCCTGGGCACAATACCTAGTACCGTAAAAACAAAACAAAACAAAAAAAACCCTGTTCTCTGATGCAGTAGTGTGTGCCTGCAGGGGAGGCTAAGGCTGGGGGATTGCTTAAGCCCATGAGGTCAAGACCACTAGTGGCAACATAAATAAAACTTAAAACCCTAAGAAACCCACAGCCAGTGGAAGGTGTTAGGTACCCCACTGAAGCTCATCTAGCTGCCCTGAGTCCCTTAACTAAAATGTAGCAGATTTTGTGCACACTCAGCCCTCTTGCTTGTATCTCCCTAAAGGCCACCAGCATCAGAGAGACTGTGGACACACACTGGCATCTCAACTGGCAGTGTCTGCCTGAGCCTGTGTGTCAGTGAGGATCCCAGGACCCTGCCTCTAGAGTGCAGGGCAGGCGGATGGCAGGGGAGCAGGGCCAGCCCTCTGTTGTAGCGGAGGGGTGGATACAGTGTTTGTGGGGAGCCCACCCTGCAGGCCCAGGGGGGAGGGCCGCAGCAGATCCAGCAGGAGCTGCTCTGAGGACTCCATCGGGGCACCTGGCCTCCTCTGCCCCACTCCTCCTATGCCTTAAGTTCTCAGAATCACATAATGTATAGAACCATAAATGCCAATGTGATTTGAGGGACTCTGAAACCAATGTCAGGGATCAGATGTGGGGTCAGCTGGGTTCCAGGTGCCACTCAGGCCCACCACACTGGCCCAGCTACTGCCGTTGCTGGGTTCCTCTCTGTGCTTCGTCTGCTTCCTCAGTGGGACGGACCTTCACTGGTCTGGAGCACAGGACCACAATGTGCAACCTCCTCTTTCTGTCCTCACCTGCTCTGCCTCGCAGCCCACGTGTCCCCCTGAGAAAACCATGCTCTGCCCCTCGCTGGCCCAGGTCACCGCAGAGCCAGCCCCCCACCTACAGCAGGGCTGGTGTCCTTCAAGCTCCTGGCTGCTGGCTGCTGGCCATGGGGTGGGTCTCCCCGTGTGCCTCCAGTCCTGGCCCTCCTGTCTGTCTTTTGGCCTTAACAGGTGCGCCTCCCACGGCCCTCCCAGTGTCTGACCGTGCTCCTTCACTTCTGGCTCTGGGGGTCCCCATGAGGGCAGAAGCCATCGTCGGGGCCTGCTCCCCACTTCCCTCCAGGCTTTGTCCTGAGATGGGTGGTGCCCCAAGTCCAGCATTTGCCCCTTTGCCTCCAGTTCGCCCTGCCTGTCCACACCTGCTGGTCAGTGTTTACAGAGAGCCCAGAGACACACAGCTCAGGAAGGACTCAGTGGAAACCTGGCAACCAGGCCTCCTGTGCTGTAGACTTTGCTGTCCAGGGAGGGACACGCCTCCTCCTGTGCATTCCACTCGCTGTCTCCAAGGCTGGTCTCCAGGAGGCGAGCTGAACCCTATGCAAGGGAACCTGCCATGACAGTGAGTGGCCTCCCACTTGGAACCGCTGAGCACTAGCAAGTGTGTGGGCCTCCTGCCCCTCTGCAGCCACCTCACGGGCCCCCGCGATGCTGGACTCATCAGTGGCAGACCAAATGACCCGGCTGACACTGAGGCTCTTGGAACAGGTACAGCTGCTGGACGCTGGTCAGCTTTGAGCTTAAGAGACAGGTGCCAGGCAAAGTTAGTGCATCTGTCTGCAGACTGTCTGTGAGCATGTTCTGCTTCTAAAGCAAATCCTTTCCAGTGGTTTTTAGTCTCATAATGAAATGTGGTTTTTCTGTTTCTTTGCACGTATGTAGTACCAATTAGGTTCTTCTAGTGGTTTCCAAAGTTGGGCTTCAACACAGCCCCAAGGCTGAGCCTGGTCCTTCCCACACCGCATTTCATCTTCTTCCCCTGCCTGGCTCTGGGTGGTCTGGGAGCTGCAGGCCTCCTCTGTGTCACCCACCCGCATCCCTCCTCTGCACCACTGGGGCCCCAAGTCCAGGGCCTGGTGGTGGTGATCAGGGTGCTCTTCAGCATCCGCTGCGCTTAAGAGGTGTGCCACATAGCCAGCATCACACAACCAGCATGGCCCCTGCCTTCCACTTCACCCACGCCTCCTGTCCCCAGCACGGCAATCTGGGCAACGGGCACACAGCCCACATCACTGTCATGGCCTCTGTTCCTCACAGAAGCTGGAGCAAGAACGAGAGAACTTGGAAGGGGGCTCTGAGGGCACCCACCTTGTGTCAGGTAAGAGCCCAGGCTACATGGACCTTCTTAAACAGGAGCGGGGCAGCCAGCGGGGATGCAGAGGCAGCGGCCCCTGGGAGCTGCCTCCACCCCAAAGTGCTTCCTCCTCACTGAGGGCTGGAAGGCCTTTGTTCACGCACACACACACACACACACACACACACACACACACACACACTGCACTGTTTCCCTAGGGCAGGCAGAGGCTGTGTTCCCAGCCCTTTCTGCAGTGAAAAGGGGAGTGGTCCCGTAGGGTCAGACCACACCATTCTGACTCTAGAGCTCTGAACTCCCAGGGTCAGGTGGGGTTGGTCTGGTCCTCATTGTTACCTGGTGACTGAGTCTAGGCTCGGGGAGGCTGGGGCAACAGGCAAGGAGGAGGTCTTGTTCTTTGGGCCCTGGTGCTCTGAGAGCTCAGAGGGCAGCCTGGGGCCCTAAATTCCAGCGGAGCAATGGACACCTGGCCATGTGACCCAGGGCCAGTGAGGGGCAACTGGGGCTACACCTGTGCCAGGAGTGGGGTCCCTGGAGAGCCCACAGCCCAGTTCTGGCAGATGCTTGGAGCCACCAGACCCTTCCAAGGCCTTCCCTGCATCAAGTAGAGCCGGATTTTCAGCTGCAGCACATAGGAGCCTCAGCACCAGGCCCTGCCCCACGCATCAGACTGACTCCCCAAGGTCCCCTGCTCTGCCATGGCCCTCTCAGCTCTCATCCCCCTTCTTGGGATGAGCATTTGGAGGGTGAGGGTGAGGGTTAGGGTTGGGTTAGGGTTAGGGTGAGGGTGAGGGTTAGGATTAGGGTTGTGGGTCACCCTGGGACTTGGGATGTGGGGAGGTGGGGTACACTGACAGGTCTGCTGTGACATGCCTGACCACCTGGCCACCCACCTGGAGCCTTCCTCAGTGGGCAAGAAACGCGCTTCCCTCAGGACACGAGGACAGGCCAGACGAGGCCCTGCAGAGTGCTCGGAGGAGGAGGAGGGAGCTTCTGCTGAGACTCCGGGTAGGTCCGGCATCAGGCAAGCCTCTGGCCCCCAGCAGGCCAGCCCACCACACCTCATGCCCCTCCAAGCCCTGCCCCCCATGCCAGGTCTCATGCCCCTGGGGAAGGCCCTGTACCCCGAGGGGAGACCTGGAATTCTGGGTAGTCTCCACACCCTGGGCTGACCCCAAGGTCCCCTGCAACCCCTCCCCATGTCCTTGCTACCCCCAAGTTCCCTGTCCTCCAGGTAATATCACACTGCGGGGGGGTGGGGGGGTGGCTGATAACAGAAATTGAAAACCAGGCCAAGAAATATGAAGACATAGGGAAACCTTTTAACTGAGAAGGAAAAGAAAATGTGACAGGAACTCCATATTGAGAACAGCTGAAGGGGCCCAGGTCTGACAGAGACTGGACTGACACTGAGGAAGGCGAGGAGCCAGCTTTGCTGGGGTACATGGGCGGGCAAAGGCCAAGTTGATCATAACCTCGGCTCTGGTTCTGTGAGCTGGCTCTGGAGAGGTCTGTGGCTGGAGAAGGCAGTCCAGTTTCCAGGCAAAGTCGGCTCTGCTTTGGAGAAAGGCTATGCCATGGTGGTCTGTCTGTGAGGCTCTGCTGGAATCCGAGGTGGATTTGGGTTTCTAACAAGAGGCTGAGACGGGAGGCTTCCAGGTCCTGCTTCAGGGGCCCTGGGACAGGACACTGTAAAAACAGGCACTCAAAGGTCCCCTCGAGTCTTGAAAATATCTTAGGTACTCTTGCCTTGGTGCTCTCAGTCTTGAAGAGAAGTGAAGTAGGTAAAGTTAGAGTGAATAAACCTGAATCACCAGTTTTTAGACAGACACTCCTACATGATTAAGAGGCCTACGGGCAGAGTGGAGCAGGGATCTGACCAAGAGCTTAAGGGAATAAAGGACACAGATACAAAATGAGGGTAGAGATCCCAAGTGTAGTCCAGCTTTCAGTTACCCACTGGCATCTACAGGACCAAGTAAAGAGCCAGTGCTTTGAACAAAAGCAGGATTTAAATCTCTGGCCATCCCCAGGTGGGTCCCTGACCCTTTAGGTGAGCCCACACCTCCAGCAGGCCTGGGCAAAGCTCACTGCAGCCAAGACCCACTGTACTGAGGCTGCAGGCCCGGAGGAGTCTTGGGTATGGGGGCTGGCTTTCTCACGCCAAGAATCAGGTTGGGCAACTGAACAGTGAGCAGGGGACACCTCAGTCGCTCCCCAGAGGGCCTCTGCTGGGCACACACAGGCATGCACATTGGAGGTGGCAATGTCGCAGAAGGTGCAGCTCTCACAGGAAGTCCAATCGTAGGGTGCCAGGGCTTCATCCAAACAAAACTGACCTGCAGCAAGAAGTGCCTGTGCCTGAGCAGTCTTCATCTGTTACCCAACACTGTGGGGCAGGAGGTTGGCTCATCTGGCCAAGGGTCCTCATGCTTGAAAGTGATTAGACTCCATTGACAGAGGGAATACAATAACCAGAAACTTGTTTAAATTATTTGATAAACTTTAAAAGCAGCGCTATGTATTCCCATGAGGGGCACACAAGGGTCTTTGACCCTGTTTTGGGGGCGTGGCTTCAGTTTGGGTGGCCCTGGGCTGAGCCAAGGGTCTAAGCACCAAGGGCCCCTGTATCCTGGGTAGGATGACAGCTTGGTGCTCAGGTCCAGGGCCCCCAAGCCATGCTGGGTGCAGAGGATCTGTTGACCTTGCAGGAACAGCAGCTCCTGGATGAGCACCCCTGGGCCCACACCTGGAGGGGAGCACGTGGAGGGGCTCTGGGGCCAGCCCTGCTCCCAGAAGCACCCCCCATGGGCATCTACCCCACTGCCTCCCCACCCCCGCCGGCCCCAGAGCAACCGAGAATCATCCAGCACCAGGTAAGAGGGGCAGATGAAAACAGCAGCTCTGGTGGGGCTGGTGTTGGGAAAGACAGACCTCGCCACAGTGGGGGCTGTGCTGCCAGAATCTCCTACCACCTCCCACTGAGGCCCCTGCAGCACAGAGGCCACTTGCTCAGAGGTGCCACAGCTGTGACGAGAGTCCTGGAGGCCAGTCCTCAAGGCACGCAGATCCCCGGCCTCTCGATAGGTGGGAGGAGGGGAAACACAGCCTCTCATTTCCTAACTTCATAATGACCGGGGGAGCTGAGACCCTAATTATCAAGGGCAGAGTGACACAGTGTTGCTGTGTCAAGAGCTTCCCATAGTTTTCAGCATTATGGGTTGTGAGCAACAGAAAGCAACTGACTTCTTAAGCACAAGGGAGTGTTAAGAGGCCCCAGGAAGGGGGAGGCAGGAGTCCAGAGCTGGCATGGGGAGGCTGGGGGACTCAGTGTGATGGGGTGCAGAGTGCATGGGGGAAAGAGAGGGAAGTCAAGTGGAGGGGGTTCTGGGGTAGGCTGGTGACGTGGAAGATAGTTGTCTTTCGGCAAGAGATGCTGGCAGTAGCAGCGTGTGGCCAAAGAACAGACTGGGAAGGGGCAGCCTTGGGAATCTGTGCAAGTGGGACCCCCAGTTCCCTTCTGTGGATGGGCTGTGGCCCTGCAGGTTGCCTATGTCTCATCTAAGCCTGAGGCAAGAAGGCCCTGGGCACTGGTAAACACCCCAGAGCTGGCCTGGAGACCCTGAGGCCGGAAGTCCTGGCAGCAGGAAAAGTGCAGATGCTCTGGAACAACTGTCCTTGCCAGGGGTGCCGGCTGGCTTCGGCCCTAAGAGACAAGGATGGTTTCATGTTCTGTTTTGTTCATTTGCTTTGCAGTGCTAAGGATCAAACCCTGGGCTTTTGGCATTTTAGCCAAGTGCTCTACTACTGAACTACACCCAGTATCAGTTGTTTTTTGTTTTTGTTTGTTGTGATGGGGGTTGAACCAGGACTTTTGCACTGAGTTACATTCCCAGTCCTTTTTGGGGGGAAGTGGGGGGGCAGGGTTTAAGTGGCCTAGACTGGTCTTGAACTTGTGATCCTCCTCCCATCTCTTTTTTTTTTTTTGGTACCAAGGATCGAACTCAGGTCCTTCTGCTTGCGAGGCAGGTGGCGGAACCACTGAGCTAAAGCCCCGGCCCCCAGCTCCACTTTTTAATGTTTGGGAAATAAAAGAGTAATATTTTGTAATAGCACATAAACATGATGAGAAATGAACGTCTGTGGGACCAGGACCCTGTGTCCACATCTGCCTGTGGCTGCTCTTCAGGTCAGCCGTATACATCTGTGGCCACTCTATGGTACATAGCAGGACATCCCAGCCTGGCTGCAGCAGAGCCTGTGTGGCCCATGAGCCTAAGCAATTTACTACCTGGTCCTCTGTAGAAAAACGCAGCAGTCCCTGGTCTATGCCATTCTTTCTGTCAGTGGAGACAAGGTCATGCTAGACTTGCATGTCCAGAAGAGGATTGATACAGATTTTAGTTGGGTGTGGTGGTGTACACCTCTAATTCCAGCTACTCGGGAGGCTGAAGCAAGAGGACTGCAAGTTCAAACCCAGCCTGGGCAACCTAGTGCGGTTCTGTCTCAAAATAAAAAGGGTTGGAGATGTACTTCAGTGGTACAGCACTCCTGAGTTCCACCTCCAGCACTGCACCCAAAGAAATAAAACCCAGATCTTTCTGCTGTTTTCTGGAAATTACTGCTCATTTATGTTCACTCAGAAGAAAAGCTAGAAGTTCTACTTCCAAGTTCTATATACTTCTAGAGTGCATGATCAAGCCACAGCAATTGGTTAAGTTGGCATTGGTGCCAGGAAAGACAGGTCACTGGGACAGAAATGTGAGCACCTATCAGGTGATTCGGCCACTAGACACAAGGTTTGCCCCAGAATCCCTATATCAGTCCTTAGGGAAATGCAAATGAGAATATGACTACTAATATGACTGAAATTTAAAATGACTACCTATACCAAGTGTTAAATGTGTCTATTAAAGATTTTTTAAAAAATGAAACCAGACATCAGCTTATCCTGCTGAAGACAAGAAATGTGGGAATCACTAAAAATGCCACGTACATCCAAACTGAAATATCTTTCTACTCAACCATGTATTCAACCTTTGGTGTTATCATTTAACCTTTGGTGTTAAGTCATTCTCCTTCAATGGATGGATGGATGACTAGATATATAGATGGATACAAGGATGGGTAGAGGAATGGGTGAATGAATGAGTAGATAGATGGGTAGGTGGATGGAGGGATGGATGAAAAGCTGGGCAAGTGGGTGGGTGGATGGGTGGGCAGAGGACTAGGTGGATGGGTGGGCAGATGTAGAGATGGGTAAGTAGGTGGATGGACAGATTAATGGATGCATGGATAGATGAGTAAGTGAAAGGGTGTGTGGATGGGTAGAGGGATGGAGGGGTGGATAGATAAGTGGAGGGAAGAAGGGAAGGATGGATGGACGGATTGAATAGAAGGATGGAGGGAAAAAAGAAAGTATCATGGGTGAAGGGATGGATGGGTAGGTAGATGCATGGATGGGTGGATGGCTAAGTGGAAAGGAGGGAGGGTTGGACAGGTGGGCGGGCGGGTGGATGGATGAGAAAGTAGATGGATGTGTGTGTGGAGGAATAAGTGGACGGGTGAATGGGAGGGTGGGTATGGGGATGAGTGGATGCAGTGGTAGAGCACTGTCTTGAAGTCTCCATGCAGGCAGCTGATCACTTGGCTCTTCTTAGGTCCCCCACCCTCCTGCCACCATCATTCAGCAGCTACCTCAGCAGCCACTCATTGCACAGATTGCTCCTCCTCAGGCCTGTCCCACTCAAAGGTCAGGAAGCATTAAGGAAGGTAAGTGTTCTGCAGTGCTATGGGTGTATGAAATTGTCTACTAAAAGAGCAAATACTTTGTTATCAGGATACTCATTTAGGGTCAGCTCTTGGTTATTGAACATGAACAGAATGTTAACTTTAATAAATCCGCGGAAGAGGGAAGTGACACACAGCCCTGGCTGGGCAGCCGCCCTGTCCCGCTTCCTTTCACACTGTCGCTGCCTGTCGTGGCACTGTGGTCAGAGGGAGGTGGCAGGGGCAAGTGATATCTGAGAAACTCCTTTAGGGGACATTGTGGAGCTGGAAGCCCCTTGGAAGAATTCGAGAGCCAAAGGAAGGAGAGACAGAAGGGTGGCTATGAAGATGCCAACAAGATAAGCAGAAAACACATTACATCATGCTGGAGTGCTAGAAGGAAATCAAGGTACCATCAGAAACAAGAGACAATGGTGCTATGGATGATCTGGGTGCTCCCAAGCCCCCCAAAGCAAAAATGAAACAGAAGCTAAATGGAAAACTGCAGAAGGATTTAATAGACTTTCAGATGAATTTCCACATCTCATAAATCAAGAAGAAAGGATCTATCAAATGGAGATATGGAGAATGTGCGAAAAAAATCAAAATGTGTCATCCTTAGAAAGTTCTCATAAATCAAGTGATAATAAACTAACTAGAGGAGACTACTCTAACATCTGAATAGCAAGAAGGAAACTTCTCCAATTTCTGTTTCTGAAGAGACTAGTATAAAGCTTTTGAAAGTTCAAGGGGTAACATATCTTTTTCCTATTCAAATTAAGACCTTTGACTTTAATTCTATATATGAAGGAAAGATTTATTTATTTGTACCAGGGATCAAACTCAGGACCTTGCACTTTTGAGGCAGGTGCAGGCACCACTGAGCTAAATCCCCAGCCCTTAGTTTTTTGTTTGTTTGTTGTTGTTTTTTTGTTACTGGGGATCAAACTCGGGAACTTGTGCTTGCGAGGCAGGAGCAGGAACCACTGAGCTAAATCCCCGGTCTGCCAGCCCTTTTAGTTTTATTTTTATTGGTACATTTTAGATACACATAAGGATAACATTCATCATAGGGAATTTGTACCTGTACACGATATATCTTGCAGCTTCCTTTTTTCCATTCCCCTGCCCTCCCTTCAACCCTTCCTTCCCTCCTTATTTAAAAAAGCTGTTTCCATTTATTCCTTCTTTCCCTGTCCCTTCCTTCCTTTCTCCCTCCCCCTCCCTTGTTCCCCTTCTCATTTGAACATTTTTTCATTTCCCAAAATCTATTATGCATTTTGGCCCTTATTTACACTTTTGGTTTCTCACACAGAGAAACAATGTGGTATTTAAAGATGTGTGTCACTTAAGATTATGGTCTCAAGGTGCATCCACTGAGCTAGAAATGCCTCAAGCCCATCCTTCTTTATGGCAGAGCAGTGCTCCGTTGTATAGAAAAAAAACATTATCCATTTGTTGGTTCTTTATCCATTCATTGGTTGAAGGGCACTTGGGCTGTTTCCAATATTTAGCTATTTCAAATTGTGCCGCTACAAACATGGGTGTGCATATATTGCTGTTGTATGATTTTAATTCTTTCGAGAAGATATCAAGAAGGGGAATATCTGGGTCAAATTGAAGGAAAGATTTAATTGCTCAAGAACAGACAGAAAAAGGAAAGACATTCTTTTTCCACATCATTAAAAGGTTCCAAAGAAATAAAGGAACAATTTTGAAAGCCACTTACCGAATTTATTTGTTTTGGCTCCAACAAGGGAACTAGCAAACCAAGTAGCCAAACACTTCAAAGATATAACTAGGCACTCAGTGTGGCCTTTTATGGTTGAATATCATATCAAACCCAAATTAATCATATTCAAAAAGTATTGACATCTAGGTTGGGACCCTTGGTCATATCAAAGACCGTTGTTTGGATCTTTCTAAACTGTGCCACGCAGTACTTGATGAAATGGATCAAATGTTAGATTTACGTTTTGCTGAATGCTGAACAAGTTGAATGTATTATCCATGAATCCTATAAAACTGATTTTGAATGTAATCCTCTGGCTCTGCTCTTTTCTGCAACTTGGCCCCAGTGGGTATATAAAGTTGCAAAAAAAATATGTAATCCAGTTATGAATACATTGACCTTGTTGAGAAAATGACTCAAAAGGCTGAAACTAGCATGGAACATTTGGCCACCCTGTGCTACTGGACTCAGAGATCAGCAGTTAATGGAAACATCCTCCAAGTATATGGTAGGTCTGAAGAGAGGGCTATTATCTTCTGTGAGACCAACAAGAATGTAATTGAAATGGGCATGAATAAAACATCTAAAACAGAATGCCTAGTGTCTACATGGGGACAACGCATAGTCACAAAGAGAAATTACACTGAAAGGCTTCAGAGAGGTAGTTTTAAAGTTTTGGTGGTCACCAATGTGGCTGCCTATGGTTTGGACATTCCTGAGTTTGACCTGTTGATTTGAAGTTCTCCTCCACAGGATGTTGAGTCCTACATCCACCACTCCAGCTGACTGAACAGAGATTTGCATATGTTTTTATCAACCAAGAGAAAAAAGTCAACTAAGCTATGTGGACCAAAAAGCAGGAATTACATTTATTTATTTAGGTACTGGGGATCGAACTTAGGAACTTGCACTCATGAGTCAGATGTGGTGCCACTGAGCCAAATCCCTGGCCCAGAAATTCCTTTTAAATGTGTAGGTGTTCCTTCTATGATGGGCTTAAATCTAAAAGCATGGGTGCCAACAGGTACTCTGGCTTCTGTTTCTTATGCTACGGTTGATTTTTTCTGACCATCAGCTCAGAAACTGATAGAAAAGAAAGGGGCAGTGGACACGCTGGCTGAGGCATTAGCCCACATTTCTGGTTCATCAAGCTTTGAACCACATTCTTTGATCACTTCCAATAAGGGGTTGGTGACCATGACTCTGGGAAGCACAGGAGAAATGCAGGATGTCAGCTGTGCTTAGAAAGAACTTAACAGAAAGCTGAGTAGTCATGCTGGATCCCAAATTACTAGAGTATGCCTCCTAAAAGGAAATATGGGGTTTGCTTTGATGTTACCACAAGTGAGTCAGAAAGGTTACAGGCAGAGTGCCATGACTCAGACTGGATATTCTCAGTGGCACCCAAATACCCTGAAACTGAGAATAGTATGATGGAAATACATCATCTAACTTCAGAAGAGTGGTGGGTCAAGTGGCAGGTCTGGCCCTCCAATCATACCTTTGAATAAAAAAGCTTCCCTTTATTGCCTTAAAAATAAATAAGGAGCCGCAGGGATTTTGCTCAGTGGTGCCACTGCCTGCCTCAAAAGCACAAGGTCCTGAGTTTGATTCCCCCGTACCAAAAAAGAAACCCAAGGACGAGTATGTGCTTAGCATGCACAAGACCCTGGATTCAATCTCCAGAACTACAACAAACAAACAAACCCTCTTATAAAGGCTATCTTTAGGCTCTAGGAAGAAAATAAGATGTATAAGAGAGAAGACTGGCCAGGCATTGTGGCACACATGTATGCCTGCATGTTATAGCTTGTATCTAGATGTCTCCTCAAAGCCTCAGGCAGTCATAGGTGGGGCTTTTCAGAGGTTGCTGGATCTAGGGTATGTGATGCTGGGAGTAAGGTGTGTGATTCCTAAATGTGTCCAATAGTTGGCTTAGCATAGTTCTGCATGTGAACAATGATAAGGCCCACCTTGGGTGCGGGTGGCACCACTCAAAGGCAGGTAGCCTGGAAGAGATAAAAGGGAGAGGCAGGCTGCTGCTCATGGCTCGCTACCTTCTACCTTCCCTGCCATACTATGGACTATTTCTCCTCTGCAATGCCCCTCTGCTGCGCCACCCTGCGTTGGAGCCAGCTGACTATGGAGGGAAAGCTCTACAAACTGTGAGCAGAAATAAACCTTTCCTCCTTTAACTTGTGATGTGGGTTATTTTGTCTTAGCAAAGAGAAAAGTAAGTTTCCTTTAACGTTGGGCATCGGGTACTTCGTCTCAGCAATGAGAAAAGGTAACTGAGATAGTTCCCCAAAGTGGCCTTAACTCACTTACACCCCAAGGGAGTGAACGCAAACTCCAGTGGCCTACAAAAATTCACCAAGCCTTGGTGTTTCCAGATCTTTTTGCCAGTCTGGTGAGCATGTTCATTCTAGTTGTAATCTGCACTTCACCTTCTCATTATTTTTGGCCATTTAAATATGCTCTTCTTTGGGCCGGGGATTTAGCTCAGTGGTGCCACTGCCTGCCTCGCAAGCACAAGGACCTCAGTTCGATCCCCAGTACCAAAAAACAAATGCTTTCCTTGTTAAGTTCCCATCAAATTCCTTTCTGGTCGATTCCTAGGAACTGGCTGATCTCTTGCGTGAGTCCTTTGACATAGGCACTGGCATAGATGCACTTCAGTTCCTTGACCAGATGTTCTTATTGTGATGAAGTTCAGCTTTTGGGTCTCTCCCCTTTTTTTGGAGACCGGGCCTCTCCATGTAGTTCCAGCTGGCCTTGAACTCAAAGCCATCTTCCTGCCTCAGCCTCCCAAGCACTGGGACCAAAGGCACACGCCACCATGCCTGGCTGTCTTTTCCTTTATGGGTAGTCTTCTGTGTCCCTGCTGAGGTCTTCACCTGCTGAAGGTCATGGAGAATGTTCTGTCGTTTCTTCTGCAGCTCTGCTTCTGACATTTAGACTTGTGATCCGTCTGTGTGTACTTTAAGTTAGGATCCACCTTAGCCCATTGCTATGGATATGAACTGGACCCTGGGCCCTGTGGGAAAGACTCTTACCTTCTTGTTGTACCATAGTCTCACCTGTCATAAGGCAGGCGTGGGACCATTTCTGGCCCTTTCTCTAGTTGTCTGTTTTCATGCTGGACTGAGTGGGGTGTCAGGGCCTGACCTGGGGAAGTCTCCCAACTCCAAGCACTTGTTGCTGAAGCTGTGGGGGTGGAGATGCCCTGCCCAGGAACATGGGGGTGCTATTGGGGCCTTTGCACAGAGTGGGCCTTTCACGCTCAGCTTTTCAGCTGTTCCTGAAGATTAGCTGTGGTGTGCGGGGGTCTGGCTCTTTTCCACTTCACACCTTGGGTCTTTTGGCCATGGGGCCTAGGCATCCCAGCTCCTGGGTACTCCCATCTTAGTCCACTGTGGCGTGATGGGCCTGCATTGGTTTGGAGGGTGGCCCTGGGAGACATGTTTCTTTAGTGAGGCCAGTATTGTGCACAGTATTGTGCATTTCCAGCGATAGCTGCCAATGAGAGAACCAGTGTTTGTCCATCCCACTGTCAAGAGTTAGAACGTGTGGTGCCCAGGGCTAGTGAGTAGATTAGCTTCCTGTGCCTGCGCTAAAAAAGCACCACAGCCGGGTACGATGGTACGCCCTGTAATCTGAGCACTTGGGAGACTGGGGCAGGAGGACTGCTGTGAGTTTGAGGCTAGCCTAGGCTACATAGTGAGTTCAAGGCTAGTCTGAACTGCATATCGAGATCCTATCTCAAAAAATTAAAAAAAAAAAAGCACCACAATCTAGGTGGTTTACATAGCAGAATTTTAATACCTTGCAATTTGGGAGAACAGACTTGAGAAGCCCAGGTGTGAGCAGGACTGCTGGATCCTCGGGAGGCTACGGGACGGTCCTGCCCATGCTCCTGTGCCTGTAGCCTTGTCCCCCATCCTCGCATACCCTCCCCCAGATTGGCCCCTCTCTTAGTACACAGTACTTTCACTGGGTTTAGGGTCCTTTCCAGGATGATTTCATTTCAGAATCCCTAATTACATCTGCAAAGACCCTTTTTCAAATGAGGTTACATTCAGAGGTCTTGCAGTTAGGAGGGGACTATGCTGTTCTGGGGTCACCATGCAGCCAGGGGATGTGAGGGACGGAAGTGGCAGTGAGGCCAGCCAGGGAAGCCACGGAGCCTTTCCCACACCTCCCCTCCCTGGGAAGTCCCACTCCTGGAGCGTGCCATGGGCCTGCACAACACGGACACGGAATGTTCCCGGTGCCTGTGAGGTGCGGCACCCTTTTAACAATGTGAGGCACTAACGCTCTGCTTCCAAGGCAGAGCCTGAGGTCAGGTCCCAGTTTCTCCTTCCAGACATGGTAGAGATGATGCTGATGCAGAACGCGCAGATGCACCAGATCCTCATGCAGAACATGATGCTCAAAGCCCTACCTCCTGCGCTGGCACCCGCGGGACCGCGCCCTGCCCTGCAGGTGGGCCGGGGGGCATCCTGGGACCCCTGCATCTGGGTAGCCCTGAAGGGCATCTTTGGCTCCAACCTTGGTCCAGCTGTGAAGCCCCAGTGATGCTGCCCCCTCCGTAAGGAACGGGTTGTGCACCTGAGGTCCAGGAAGCCCCTGGCCCATGCTCTACCTACAGCTGCTGCCCCTTCCTGCCTTCATGTTCAACCTGTCCATCAGGTGTAGGTTCAGGGAAAGAGGCCACCATCCTGAATCTAGCTATGCGTTCTATGCCAGGACCCGAGGGGAATGCGCCCGGTCGTCCTGCAAGCTGAGAGGCAGAAGCCACCTGCGGTGCACCACCACCACCACTACACGCCTTCTACCCCACTACAGCCTGGCTCCGTGCCAGGCTCCTCCCTTAGTTACTCTGTGTGGCCTCCAGTGGTTGCAGCCACTGCCCTGCCACCCGCCACCAGCTTCCTGCCCACCATGTGCCACATGGCCAGTCCCGCTGCCCTGCCTGCCCTTAGCACGTAAGTCTGGAAGACAAAGGTGGGGGTCCTGTGGCAGCAGAGTGGAAGGCCCCCCCAGGCCTGAGTGGTCAGGCCTATAGGCTGCAGCAGGAGGCATGGAATGGGCTGGGAAGACTCCACTACCTTCCAGAAGGCTGCAGGGCTCAGTGTCCCCCCATGTGGACTGGCCCTGGAGTGCCCCTGCTGCAGTGTGGGTGCCTGTGAGGCAGGCTAGCCCAGGTGCTACACCAGGGTGACCCTCACCTGTCCTCTAGGCTGGTGTCCGATGGTGTCCTGTCCTCGCAGGCCCCGGGTGTGTGAGCGGCTTGCTCCAGGTCGGTAAGCAGCAAGGCCTTCCATCTTTGGTCTCTGTCTGGGATCCTTCTGGAAAACCAGGTGACTCCCACCCAGGGGAAATACAAAGGTTTCATCAGGACAGAATTTAAGAAAACAGGGCCCAGGATGTGTAACAGAAAAGATCAAAAGCTTCAGCCACATGAAAACATAAAACATTCCTCTGGGGGTATGAAAGGAAGTCACACTGGGGCTGAGGATGCAGCTCAGTGGTGCAGTTGCCTGCTTTGCAGCATTAGGCCTGGCATGAGGACCCATCTGACATGTAGAATGGTCTCACATCAGTGTGAAAGCAAGCAGAATACATACACTAGGACTCCATTTGAGCTATGGTCTACACAGGAGGGGACCCACACTCTGGGTTGCTTTGAAGGGCAGCAGCCAAACCCAGCTTCTCTGCAGTCTGTCCCTCCTGTACTACTAGGACTGGTGCCCTCTGTATAGCTACCGTGACACTTACTTTCTTTTTTGGTAGAATCATGTCCCCTTGCTGTTCTAATGTTGTATTTAAAAAAAAAATGTTTTTTAACTATTACACATAAACTTCCATTTCCTCCTTTTCAAGGCCTTCCTTTATTTCTCTCTCTCTCTAGTGGTATTGTGGATTGAACTCAGGGCCTTTAGACTGAGCTACATCCCAAAACTCTTTGCTAGTTTTTACTTTGAGACTGGGTTTCACCAAGTTACTAAGTTGCCCAAGCTGGGCTCCAACTTCCAATTCTCCTGCCTCAGCCCCACAGCGCACTGAGATTACAGGCGTGGGCTGTCACACCTGGCTCATGGTTCCCATTTGTGAATTCCTTGCCTAACCGTGTTTATGTCCTTGGAACCTTGCAGGTTGGCGGCGAGATGAGTCCGAGCCTCCCCTCTGTCTGACCTGGCTTTCAGGAGAGCTTCATAGCCATGAGCAGGGCGCATGTCCGAGTGGATGGGTGGGTGGGTGGAGAGTGACAAACCCCTGGCTCGAGGGCGGTTCATCTGGTTCTCTCACAGCCATCTTCCAGCACACCTCTGAATGGGATTCTAGACTCTGCTGTGTTAAAAGCATGAATTAAAGGCCTGGCCCTATTTCCTATTTTTGTGATCGTTCTAACATGGCTTTTCTTTTGGTTTTATCTCTTGCCATAATTATTAATTTGACAGGGGAAGAACTTTGGCAGCTGCTGATTGTCCTTACTTCAGGCCTTGCTGGTAGGCGGCGTGAAGAGAACATGTCAGCGCTGGGAGTCCCGGCTCTGTGCACCACTGGCTGGACTGGGCTGGTCTGCAAGAGTGGCAGGCAAGGAGCTGCCCTCACACTCAGTGCCCTTGCCTGCCACAGGCCAGGTGTTTGAGGGGCCTGTGGGGAAGGAGAAGTGTGCAGTGGGCTCTGGTGGGGGGCATGGGGTTGCCTGGGGTTGGTGTTGGATGCAGACTCAGCTGCCAACTGGGGTGTGGGCATCATTTCTCCCCTTTAGGCCAAGACACTTCCTTATGTTCTGTAATAAGACACAGAGTGTTTTTCAAAACTATATAAAAACACCAAATCAAAAGAAAAAAGGAAAACAAGTACAAAAATAGACAACCGATAGGAGCATAACAGTGAGAGGATGATAATGAGCAGTCAGGCGCAGTGTGATGGGGGATAGCACAGCCAGTCACACCAGGGAAACAGCCCTGGCAGGGGCTGGGACACATCCAGGTCGGGCCAGGCCCAGGATCGCTAGCTAAATGCTGCTGGGGGCACAAGTGATCATCCAGGCCTTCAGAAGCATAGGGTGTACCTACCTGCAATCTCACAGCTGGGGAGGCTGAGGCAGGATTATGAGTTTGAGGCCATCCTGGGCTACAAAGCAAGACCCTGTCTCAAAAAAAAAAAGCAGCACTGGGATTTAATGGAGCCCACGACCCCTCCGCACCAAGTTTTGCTGAGGCTTGTGACCTAGGAGTGGGCTGATGTCTGCTGAGCTCTGCTAGGCTAGACACTAAACATAACAATCCTAGCTAACCTCAGACAGGCCATGCACATCCCATAGAGGCCAGAGGAACAGGGCAGGCCTGTCCCACCTTCTGACGGATGCCACTGGGAAATATTTCCACGCTTCTGCATCATTTACTGAGTCACACATCACTGCAGTCCTAGTGTCTCCAGGTTTTAGGGCTGTCTCTTACTGACCTCCCGCAGTGTCTACTGTGCCTGGGGTCCTGTTTAGCAGTGGTGGGAGATGCAAGGGCCCAGCACCCTCTTGATCTGCTCCCACCAAGGACATGGGTGGCATTTGATCCTGCGGGCTCTGGAACTTGGGGTTTATTTCAACTTTCAGAGGATGATCCGGAAAGACTGGCCCAAGGTACAAAGGAACTTCGAGCCTCCCACACCTCCTGTGCAGAGGAAGCAGGGCAAGTCCCCTCTTGAACCTGGGTAGTTGTGTCCACAGAAACAAACTTGGGAGAGGCCAGGGGCAAGGTGGCTTAGTATTTTCAATGTCCGAGTGAGTCTAGCACACCCGAGACCTTGGTCCAACCCTGCATCCTGCAGTGCCCACGGTGGCATCAGAAGAGACCCCTGCTCAGGGGCTGGAGCTGGGCCCCAGTGCGCCGGCTCAGCTCCTCCAGCACCTGCTTCTCCTGAAGGTACATCTGAAAGACAGAAACTCGGCTGGGGGCCTCTGGGTCCCTCACCCCCTCCCACAGCCTATGAGGGGAAAGGCCTTGTGACACCTGCACAGCCCAAGGGCAGCACCTGGATGGGGTGGGTGAAGCCAGCAGGGGGCTTCTCTTAAATTGAAAGATTTTCCAGGTCTTTTGAGTAATGGATAGTTTGCTCTCAAACACAAATCAAGTTGGCTGAACACAGTGGGTAGAACTGATTCACTTTATTTAAAGAAATCTTTTGAGACAGGGTCTCACCATGCAGTTTAGGCTGGCCTTGAACTCAGTATGTAGCCCAGGTTGGCCTTGAGCTTGCTTCGATATTCCTGCCTCAGCCTCCCCAGTGCTGGAATTACAGGCATATACCACCACACCTCATTCACTTTAAATCCGGTCTCTCTCTGCACCCAATCTTGTTTCCTACGGCGGCTATCATCAGGTTTTTCTGAAGACTTTCTAAACAGTGTGCTTTCCCCCAGCATGAGTTATGAGTGTTGGGGGAAGATAACTTTCAGTCTGTCTGCTCACATCTGCTGTTCAATAGTCAGCACCAATACTGCTAAAGGTATTTGGGGAGCCCAACATTTAAAATGGACTTTGGTGAAGCTTTTTAAAAAAGTAAAGGACAGGCTGGGCTGCTGGGTGCAGACTTGCCTGGGGCTCCTACCTTTCTCCACTCTGCTTCTGAGTTGTGGGTGAACCCTAGTAAATGACAGAGTCCATGAGTGGCTGTCACCTGTTGAAAAATTTAAAAATTGGCTCAGGGTTTGAGCCCATAGGAAGCTGCCCTTTCAGGATCACCCCCAGGGTTCCAGCTGGCCTTGGAACGCCAAGCTGTCCTTCACCTGGGTCACCGTCCTGGGCAGGGATTAAAGTGCCTAGCCTCAGTTCCCTGTCTGAAATGGGAACAATCCGCCAAGCTGACTCTTCAAGGTGGAGTGCTCGGGGCTGGGCACAGAACCAGGGAGGACAAAGAGGAGTGTGCTGGCCAAGGCAGCAGTAGCTGGAGAGGAACTGTAGGGAGAGGGGGCTGGCACCTCCATCCCAAAGAGGGTAGGGGTGGCGAGGATGGAGGCTAGGGTGGGATCCCCCGGCCTATGAGTTCCACATGGGCCTAGTCCTATCTCAAAAATAAATGAGTTCAGCAGCAAGGAGAGGGATAAGAGTGGCCACTTTGGGCCGGGGATTTAGCCCAGTGGCTCCACCTCTCAAGCACAAAGACCCGAGTTTGATCCCTGGTACAAAAAAAAAAAAAAAGAATGGCCACTTTGAGCTAAAAGGGAAGAGCTGAGGGCACAGTCTGCACCCCAGGCTCAGCTGAGGAGGAAGGCCTATCACTGAGGGCATGAAGGTAAAATAGGGTTGGGGCTTGCTCTGTATAGAGCATGGGCATCTGAACTTTTGGCTTTCTTGGGCCACACTGAGTGAAGGCAAATTGTCTTCAGCCAGACACAAAATATACAGTTAATGTATATAAGTAACACCCCCCCTTCCCTTTTGGGCAGTCCTGGGTATTGAACCTTTGGCCATTGCACTAAACTACATCTCCAGTCCTTTTTAAAATTTTGAGTCAGGGTGTAAATCACCTCACCTGTGGTGGAACTCATATTCCTCCTACCTAAGCCTCTTGGAATGCTGGAATCATAGGTGTGTGCCATTATACGCCTGGCTCTTTTTAAAAAAATATTTTAACTTATTAAATTATTTTATGAAATAGCGCAACAAGCCCAAGTTTAATGTCTGCTTACTAACAATAAATGCCTGTCTTTATAACCACATATACATGAAGGTAAGTTGCTCTGTGTTTTACTGAGCAAATCACAGTGTGTGTAGCAGCTGATGGGGGCAGGGGGCTCTTCACTCCAGTGTGGCAGCACAGGAGGCAGAGACAGCACTGCGGAGCATCTCCCCTACGCAGCCTTCCACTGTTGCTTATGCAGTCCATGAGGAAGAACCAAATCACGCCATGATGGTAAAAGTTTATGATCTTGCAGGGCCACGAAGACTGCAGGCTATGAGTGGGCGACACCTGGTGTGGCGCCTCTATGTAGTCAAGGTGGGGTATGGTGCAGTCGAGGGGAGGGATCTCAAGGGGAAATAGCCGGGGTTGGATTAAAGCCTACAGGAGAGGGGTATGGGACAGCAGGGGAAGTTATGGCCAGTAGGTCAGAACCCTCTTCTGAGCAGGTGGCAGCAGAGTGGAGTTGGCTGCAGCCTGCCTGAGGCCCTACAGGGCTGGAGTGGGGTAGTGGGCCGAGGCCAGGTGCTTTCCCATGCAAAGACCATGATCTTTCCAGGGTGGGAGTGGATGGGGAGGCCCCCCAAAGTCAGACCATGTGAGGCACAAAGTGTGGGTGGGAGTAAGGGTGCAGTTGGGACCCAGCCCAAGCAGAGCTGGCTGGTGTCTTCAAGGGTGGGGTCCTAGGAGTGACAGATAGGCTGTCCACTTGGGGAAACAGGGAATCACATCAGGGAGGGCTTTGGGCCCAGGAGACAATGCCAAGGGACAGAATCCTCTTAGGGAGCAGGGGCTGTGGAACCAGAGGTCCAGCTCCACCCCTTTCCTGGAGAGACATAACTACTGGCCAGAGAGATCCCAGGACGGAACCTTGTGCTGGGGTACTTCCTGTCCCTCTCAGGAACAATGTCTGCAACTTCCTTCTCCATATCAGTGCAGTGAGCCCTGCCTTGGCCTGGGAAGGAACACTCAGGACTGAGGTCACACCCTTCACACTGGGTCTTCTGGGAAGCTCTGTTCCAAGTAACTAAGAAACCCTAGAACAGTGATGATGAACCTTTTAGAGGAGTGTCCAAAACTACAACCCAAAACGCACTTACTCATCGCAAAGTGCCAAGACTGCAATTAAACTTGAATTCTGAGGTTTTAGTGTGGATAAACAACTCATACATTAACATCTTTTGTCTTAAAAGAAAAACAGCACAGGTGCCATAGGTTTGCCAGCACTGCCCTAGGGTGTCTCAGAGACAGTCCAGGTGGTGGCTGTCCTGCCAAAGAAGCCACAGGAGGCATGGAAGACCCTAGAGGCTTGGATTCTCCCTGTTCCTGGCAGCTTAAGAAGCTGATCTAGCAGGTCTGTCTGAGTGATCCCCATGGATGATTTGAGAGGGCTTTTAGGACCCCTGTTTTTTCACAAGCCTAGGTACTCCTCTATGCCTGTGAGTTCTCCTGTTGTAACCCAGAGTACCTGGGGCACTTGGTGTGCACACAGTGGTCTCCTTCCTAAATCCTGTGGATGGCAAGTGTTTTATGAGCCAGGATATGATTACTTACAGTCAGAATGTCACAGTAATCTTCATTCTCTTTGCACTGCTGGAAGATATATTCCACTCCTAGGAAAATGTCTCCCAAGTTATAGTCATCTGGAAATCCAGGCTGGGGAATTTCACCTGCTTTCAGATCCTAAAAATGAGGAAACAGACTTAGAATACATCATTCTGGCTACAGTAACCCAACCATAAGGATGTGGCTCAGAGTCCTGGGCAGCATGCTTGAGTGGGACTATTGAGGCCTGCAGGAGGCAGGCTGCACAGCTACCACATACACTAACAATCTCAAATGCTTCCACCCTGTCAAATGAGTCCCTTTCCATTTCTTTCTTCCCTCCCAATGTGGAATCACCCCTGCCTCGTTTCTTCAGAGTTAAGTCAGTGTGACAATATAATTTTCTATTTGTCTTTCTCTTAGTCTTGAACAAAATCTTTCATTCTCACAGAAACTGTAAAGACTAGGCCCTCAGCTGAGGACTATCCATACTAAGACAGTCATCTATGCATTTAATGCTGGATATTTTAGATATATCCATTCTTCCCATATTAAGGAAAACAGTAAGTAAATACTCTAACACATTTTTACACTATACATTTAGCATTGTATCTTCTCCCTTCTTTGGATTTATTTCACCAGATGTGATACTAGTGGATACAGCATGGTTGTTTTAAAGGCTCTCTGAAGCTATCTGTATTGGCAAATAGCTTTCCAAAAGGGAAATTGCTAATTTATGCTGCTTCTAACAAGTGAAGCCCTGAATTTATGTGATGTGTATATACCTGTAGCAGTCACACTGTATGTGTTAAATTACTCCGGTTTATTTTTCAAATCTACTCCTGTTCACTGAGTCATACTTAGAGTTGCAGAAGCTCTTCTTTCAAGTCACTGACAGTACTGAGGGGAGGATGGGGTCTAGTCGCCTTTCTTCTTCCACTTGGTAGCATCTGGTGAATTGTGGGGAATGCTCAGCAGCGTCAGTCATATTGCTTTCATTACTTTTATGGGGTTTTTTTGAGATACTGAGGATTGAACCCAGGGGCCCTCTACCACTGAGCTACATCCCCAGCCCTTATTTATTTTGAGATAGGGTCTGGCTAAGTCACTAAGTTGTCCAGGATGGGCTCAAATTTGTGGTCTTCTTGCTTTATCCTTCCAAGTAGCAGGGATTACAGGCATGTGCCAACAAGCCTGGCCATTTTTGTGTTTTTGAAAATTTTTAAAATCAAAATTAAGAACCATGCTTGCAATTAAGACAGAAAATGTATTCTGGAAGGCAGGCTAGACAAGAGGAGGAATCTATCTTTTACCTCATGAAATGGAAAAGAAAGCACATCGGTTGGGACATTTTTCTTTCTGTAGATCCCGTTAATATGTTGAATATTCTTGTTGTCAAGACAGATGATCCCCAGGTCAAATTTCTCCACTCCTAAAATATTCCGTACAATCTCCACATTCCTGCGAAGTGGCACTCTCCTAATGGGGATCGCGCGTTGCAGATTTCTAATCACCAAACTCATTTCAGGAAGAACATCAAGTCCTTTAAAACTGTTTAGATGGAACCTGCGGTTAAAATTGAAGAGATCATCAGTACCAGAAAGAGGTTAATTTTGTAAAAACACATCACTAAAACCAAATCACTTTATTTAGTGGAATTTGTTGCCTACTTTAAGGGAATTTACATTCATAAGAAGATATAAGAATGAGGAATACAGCTCTGCTCGGTGGCACACGCCTGACTCCTGCAATTCGGGGTGGGGGCCGGGGCAGCAGAATCAAAGTTTCCCCGTCTCCACGGCTTTTTTCTTTGTATCGGGTATCGAACACTGGTCCTTGAGCTTGCGCAGCAGGCACCGAAACCACTGAGCTAAATCCCGGCCCGGTTTTTGTTTTTTAAAGGGCTAGGGATGTAGCGCACTGTGAAGACCCTGGGTTCAATCCCACCGCTGCGAATAAGTAAACAAACCAACAAATAAATATCCTGAGGGTGTAGCTCAGTGGTGCAGCGCCCCAAAACTGGAACGAAGGGAAGTCACGCAGTCTGGCAAAGCAGCACCAACGAAAACCCCAGGAAACCGCCTGCAGGGCTGTCCTCACTAGGGGGAAACTGCGCGCGGTCACACAGAGCTGAAGAGTAGGGTGAGGACGTGGAGACTCAGGGCCGCCGCGCACTTACCCGGCCGGAAGCGCATAGCAGACCGGAAGCCGCGGAGCGGAACTTGACCGCGGCGGGCCCGGCGGACCGGAAGTCAGTCCGCTGCGTTTTCTGTCCGCTGTTTGCTCCCCCTGGGTGTTTTCTGCCTGCCGCGCGTAACGAAGCGTCGCCCCGGCCTCCCGGGTGCCGGGACCTACGCGGCAGGCAGGCGGAGGGGACGGAGGGGGGCGGCGGCGGGGAGACCGAGGAGGGCGGCGAGCGCGGGCCTGGCCGCTTCCAGGCGTTGCCAACGACGCCCTGCCGAGGTGGAGGCCTCGCCCAAGCCAGCCTCCCGCAGTCGCCATCATTGAAAAAAAAAAAAAGTCAGTTTCTTGGCCAGGAAAAGGTGTTTCGTGCTTCGGTTGCTCCGAGAAGAATTAGACATGGGAGAGGGCAGTCACGGCGCAGAGGTTAAAGTATAATCTCTGGTCCGGAGACTGGGGAGGCTTCGAAGTCCTCTCTGTACGTTGAAAGGTGTAAGTAACGCATCCATTCTTATTGCCGAGGGAGATTTCTCGTGAATTTATTAACTCAGTAAAATGATTTGGGTTTTCATTTTAGTCTCAAATGATCAGGTTCTAAACCTCTGTATAATAACTATTTTATGAGAGTCAACAGGTTCCTTTGCTTGAGGGAGGAGGGAGAGGCAGAGTGATAGTTCACCGTAAAAAGTTGCTCAGACCTTTGCGTTGCCGCCTTTAACGTAATTATCCTTTGAGCTGGGCCTGGTAGTGCAGGCCTGTAATCCCAGCACTTGGGAGGCTGAGGCAGGATCGCTGCAGATTCAAGGCCAGCCTGGGCTACTAGTGAGTTCAAGACCAACCTCAAAAACATAGCGAGACCCTGCCTCAAAAAAACAAAGCTTAAGGCGGGGGATTTAGCTCAGTGGTTCCTCTGCCTGCCTCTCAAGCTCAAGGACCCGAGTTCGATCCCCGGTACAAGAAAACCAAAACAAAAAAAGATTAATTAATTATGGTGTGTAAGTCAAGACTGTTCTTAGTCCCTAGAAGGACATATTGTGATGTCCTGAATTTCTGTCTTTCAGCTTATCCTGAAGATGAAGGGGAGCTCCCTAGTGAAACCTTGACTGTTTAGGGAAGAAGACTAAACACATGGTATTTATTGCTTTCTAATAATTGAATCAAAGATGAACCCAGTGAACCCTTTCATTGGGCAGCAGCCAAGTGCTTTTGCAGCATCTTCTAGTGGTACAGCAGGGACATTTCAGTCCAAGCCACCCTTTCGATTTGGTCAGCCTTCACTTTTTGGACAGAATAATACATTGTCTGGAAAGAGTCCAGGATTTTCCCACATGCCCAGCTTTGGAACACCTTCTGGAATAACTCATTCTTCAGGGCAAACATTTGGACTCACCCAGACCTCAAGTTCTGGACTCTTTTCTGGACTTGAACGAGCTCCTCCCTTTGTAGCTACTTCTGGGCCTTCAAGTTCATCGGTGCCTGGAAACCCAGGATTTAGTTTTAAATCACCTACCAGCCTTGGGGTTTTCTCAAGTACTACTGCTTTTGGATCAGAAGCTGGAGAAGTAGTGAGCTCTGGTTTTGGGAAAACAGAATTCAGCTTTAAACCTCTGGAAAATGCAGTCTTCAGACCAATACTGGGGACTGAGTCTGAGCCAGAGAAAACCCAGAGCCAAATTACTTCTGGGTTTTTCACATTTTCCCACCCAGTTAATAGTGGACCTGGCGGCCCGACTCCTTTTTCTTTTTCCCAGGTGACAAGTAGTTCAGCTCCCAATTCAAGTTTTATCTTTTCAAAACCAGTTAATAGTAATAATTCATCTTCTCCCTTTAACCCTGCTTTGTCAAACCAAAATGTAGAGGAAGAGAAGAGAGGACCTAAGTCAGTATTTGGAAGTTGTAATAGTAACTTCAGTAGTTTTCCTGTATCTTCTGGGTCTTTGGGGGAGCCCTTCTCAGTTAACAAATCAGGTGTTCGACAAGGGTGTGAAGAGGCTGTTTCCCAGGTGGAGCCACTTCCCGGCCTCATGAAAGGACTGAAAAGGAAAGAGGACCAGGATTGCTCCCCGAGGAGACATGGCTATGAGGCAGCAGAGGACTCAGACCCCATGTCCAGAGGTGACCATCCTCCAGATAAACGGCCTGTCCGCCTGAATCGACCCCGGGGAGGTACTTTGTTTGGTCGGACAATACAAGATGTCTTCAAAAGCAATAAAGAAGTAGCTCGCCTGGGCAATAAGGAATATAAAAAGGAAAGTGGCTTTGTTGAGTCTGGGGAAAGTGACCACATAGCTATCTCAGGAGGTGGTCAATCTATCCTTGCACCTTCCCGGCTTCCTGGTATAAATAAAGAGGAAGAAACTGAAAGCAGAAACAAAAAAGAAGGTGAGTTCAAAAAATGTACATCATAGAGGACATTCTGCTAGCAGGTTCTCACTAAGGTTCCTGGGTGTTTAGTTGATTTTGTTTTTCTTTCAATTTTGCTGTACAGGGGGTTGAACCGAGGGCCTTTGCACTGAGCTATATCCCCAGCCCTTTTTATTTTTTTATTATATATTTATTTATTTATTTATTTTTGGTATGGGGGATCAAACTCAGGACCTTGTGCTTGCGAGGCACGCAGTGGAACCCCTGAGCTAAATCCCCAGCCCTCCCCAACCCCTTTTAAACATTTTATTTTTTATTTTGAGACAGTATCTCACTAAGTTGCCCAGGGTGTGTTTGAAGTCGTCATTCTCTTGCCTCAGCCTTCTAGAGTGCTAGTACTATAGACATGGACCAGCACACTTGGCTACCTTGATTTTTCTAGTAAGTTCCCTGTGTTAGGGGCCCCAACATAGGACCTTGGAGTAGGCCTTACATCCATGGAAAACTTGCTTTGCTTTTACATAGTTGGTGCCTCCTGTGGTTTGTTTTTTTTGTTTGCTTTTGGTACTGGGGATCAAACTTGGGACCTTGGGCTTGTGAGGCAGGTGGTGGCACCACTCAGCTAAATCCTTGGCCCTGCCTCCTGTGGTTTGAAAATGTCACACATGATGGGTTTATGTCTCCTGTTCTCTCAACCCCTAGAGTCTGTAAGGGGAACACCTGTGCACCAGAGTAAAAGAAGTGAGAGCACGGACAGTCTTGGGCGTTTGTCTCCCACAGAAGTCACGGCGATCCAGTGCAAGAACATCCCAGACTGCCTGAATGACAGGACTACCTTAGAGAACTACTTCAGCAAAATTGCTCAAGTGCAGCGCATCTTCATTAGACGCAGCAAAAAGCTTGCAGTGGTGCATTTTTTTGATCATGTGAGTATTCCTAACCTTCTATGTTACCTCATTTGGACTTTGTCTTTTTTAAACCTGTTTTTTGCATTTACCAGTCCCTTGAGTATAAGAGAAACACTAAAATGTCTCATTTTTACTTTAGAAAGACTGGGATAGCAGTGTTTATTTCCTGACTTGGAGTCATGAAAGGCATGCAGTCTTTGCAGAACATAATGCTCTAGTGAAGCTGTGAGTGGCTTGTGTGAGGTCTGATTTCTCTGGAAGGCTTGGGAGTGGTTCTATAACCCATTCAGCACTTCCTAAACTTACATTTTCTGTTTGTTTGTTTTTTTTTAATATTGTCATAGTACATGCTCAGTGTAAACTTTCAGATAATATGAAGCAAAAGTGAAATCCCTCATAATCCTGCTGTCCCATGACTACTGGCTTTGCAGCCTGACTTTGAGTGTATATGTAATACATTGGTTGTAGGGTACTTGTATACATGTATTACTCATATTAAGCAGCTTGGTATCTATTATTTTAAAAAAATATTCTTATGGGAAAAAATCAAATTCAGTAAGAATTTATAAAGTAGAAAGAATGGGTTTTTGGTTTTTTTTGGTACCGGGGATTGAACTCCGGTCCTTGTGCTTTCAAGGCAGGTGGCAGAACCACTGAGCTAAATCCCCGGCCTAGAAAGCATGTTTTTATAACTTTTATTTATTTATTTAGAGACAGGGTCTCATTCTGTAATTCAGGCTGGGCTTGAACTCACAGTGATCCTTCTGTCTCTCCTGTCATTCAGGAGCATCCCCGGTTACCTAGGATGGTGACTGTTTTTCTCGATATAAGTGTATCTATGCCTTTATAACAGGTAGTTGATTTTGTGATAAATGGTACTCCATGAGTATCACTTTGCAGCCTCCTTTTGTGCTTAAGAGTGACTTGGCAGGCTTTCTGTTTCTGTATATGAAGTCAGGTAGTGAGATTCATTTCACTGAAGCCCAGAGGCCAAGTTCATGGGTTCTGACACTGCAAAGTTGTTTTGAAAAGGAGAAGAGCCGTACTTGCTTGTGAGGTAGAAAAGGGGAGGAGGGCTATGGCTGCCATGCTGGAGGCAGACAATGTGGGCAGAACATGTATGGCAGGAGGCAGTGTCACTGTAGCACAGAGAAGAGCAGCTCCTTTTTATTTATTTATTTATTTATTTATTTTTGGTATGGGGGCTCGAACTCAGGACCTTGCGCTTGTAAGACAGGCGTGGTGCCACAGAGCTAAATCCCCAGTCCTCTTTTTTATTTTTGAGTGGCCTGTTCTTGCTGCATTTGCACTTTCATTCTCATGTTCTTTGGCTTGCTGTCTTCATACTTGGGTGTGGACTGTTTTTTAGGCATCTGCAGCCCTGGCTAGGAAGAAGGGGAAAAGTTTGCATAAGGACGTGGCTATCTTTTGGCACAAGAAGAAAATAAGTGAGTTTTCGATGATTAGTTCCCATTCTAATGTTCTGTGTGTGAAGCCCTTTGGCTGGGAGTGTGCATCCTTTTCCCAGGGCCAGTGGGGAGGCTGGATTGGAGTGGGTCCTTGTGTCTCATAGTTGTTTCCTTGGGCTCTCTTATAATGTGCATCAATATTCCTTTGTCAAAAAGAAACTGGCAGTCCAGCCTCAGGCCTGTGGCACCATAAGCTCTGTTCTGTGTTGTCAGGTCCCAATAAGAAACCCTTTTCCCCAAAGGAGAAGAAACCTGGGGACGGTGAAGCCAGCCAGGGCCCGGAGGATCTGCCCTTTCAGCACTCTCATCTTGGCAAGGCCGCAGTGAGGGCTGCAGCTGGTGGCCTCCTGAGTAAAAGGTGGGACTGTTCTCTCCTGTAGGCCACGTTCAGGAAGGCCAGATTGGAAGTGGACCACATCGTGATACCTGAGTGGGAGTGAGGGACCATGAAGGGTGGGAGGCGACAGGAGCTTGGGGTTGCCTACGACTGGACTGCCGGGGGCAGATGGGAGGGGTCCTCGGATCCAGGCTGTCAGCAGGACTGTGAGGTGGGTGGGGCTGAGGATCCTGGCTGCAGACTTCAGAGTTGAGAGTTTTCTGTTTGGCACTGAGCAGCTGCAGGGCTGATCCTGTCTCATCCTGTTCTGACATTACGCTGGAGCTGAGAAGGTCCTCTTTTGGGCCTGGATTTTTGAAAAAGTCTGGGCATTTTCTCTGCAAGAAGCTCAGCACAGCTCCGGAGCTAGCTGATCCTTTTGGACACAGCTGGGGGACAGTTCTTACTCAGGAGGCTGCTCCCTGGGACGGCAGGGCTTCTGTCTGCACACAAGGGTGCTCACCTGAGGTGGAGCACATCTCCTTGTTTGTCTCAGTCCCTGGTCTCATGGAGTTGCTTGCAGGTACACCTGACAGGTTAATGCATATGTGGTAACTTTTCCCCGTAAAAATCTAAATGGCTTTAATAACTGCATTTACTGTTCCTGCCACTCAGCCACTCTTAAAGCCTCTTGGACATTCAGGTTCAGAGAATGTTGGAAACCAGTAGATACGGGGAAGCTGAGAGAGGATCGGGTCCTTAGTGTGGCTTTCTGCCGAAATAAAGTCAGGTGTTAGGCAAAGTGTTCCTCATACTGTTAAAGTGCTTTTTCCGTAATAAACTTAGTTTCTTTGAGGTAGGAGTGTATAAGTATGTATGTCAGCTGTTTAAACAAGATCATCTCACTCACAAAACTGTGAGATGTTTTACAATTGTTTTAAAAACCTGTGAGTAACACCTTTGTGCCCATCTCCAGCTTCTCCCCTCCTTTTTCTGTTTTCTTTCTTCCTTTAGATGGCAGGCTCACTGTTTCCCAGGCTGTCCTGAGTTCTTGGGCTTGAGTGGTGTTGCTACAGCCTTTTGAGTAGCTGGGACTGCAGGCACATAGCAACATGCCTGGCTTCTTTTTCATTTTATTTATTATTATTATTACTATTTTTGTGATAACTAGGAATTGAACCCGGGGATTGAACCTTGGGTCTGCATATGCTAGGCAAGTGCTCTGCCATTGAGCTCTAGCCCCGGGCCTTTTTTATTCTAGTTTGAGACAGGGCCTCGCTAAATTATCCAGGCTGGGTTTAAACTTTGATCCTCCTGCTTCAGCTTCCCAGGTAGGTAGGATTATAGGATTACAGCCATTCCAGGGTTTTGGTTTTTTTTTTATTTTAAAAGGAAAAGGTTTTTTTTGTTTCTTTTCTCCTCACTAACTTTATCAAGATTTGTTTCATTTCAATGCTTGATTCCCCCCTCTCCTCCCCGTAATTGGAATTGAACTCAGGACTTTGTGCTTGCCAGGCAGGCGCAGCACCATTGAGCTAAATCACCGGCCCTTCATTTCAGTGTTTATACTAACTTTAGAGGTCCAGAAGTTCTTGAGAGGTTTGGAAATGGAAATGGTGCCAGGACCCTTGATGTGCGATTTTCCCTGTAGCTCTCCAGTGAAAAAACCAAGTCTTCTGAAGGCTCATCAGTTTGAAGTAGATGTTTTTGACTCCGGGTCTGAGTGCTCTGAGGGCCTTGGGACCTGCGTGTCATCGCTCAGTGCCCTAATAGGCACCGTGGCTGAGACGTCTGAGGAGAAGTATCGCCTGCTTGACCAAAGAGACCGAATCATGCGGCAAGGTATGGCGCTTACTGGCACAGGTTCCAGAGCCTGGCAAGGTAGTGGTGGAGTGCTTTTGGGGGAGCTGCCAGGGAGAGAGTGACCCCTTTCCAAGGAGCCTGCTGCTCTTCAGTCTTGGGGCTCTGATGTCCCACCTCTGATTGTTACTGTTAATCAGTTTTCCTGGGGTGAATGCTGTGTTTATACCTGTGTGAATGAATACATTTGCCTGTGTATGTGTGAAGTCGGGGCGGGGTGCACAAGAACTCATGCTGATTGTGGTAGAAGGGGAGAAGGGTACTCCATGTAGACATTGTTGCACCTCTGGAGTGCTAAATTGACTGTTTACCTTCTAAAGGTAATTATTTAACATTAAAATACATACAGCAGGGGCTGGGGATTTAGCTCAGTGGTTCCGTCGCCTGCCTCACAAGCTCAAAGACCCGAGTTCGATCCCCGGTACCAAGGAAACAAACAAATAAAATACGTACAGTGACCAAGAAGGAAACACATGTACTCTTGGTAATTTTTTTCCTTAAATTTGACCTGTAGGAGTTTTTTTTTTTTTTGAGATAGGTCTCACTGGGTAGCCCAGGTTGGCCTTGAATTTGGAGCAATCCTCCTGCTTTAGACTCCTGAGTGCTGGGATTACAGGTCTGCTCCTGGAAGTTTCCTTTTTTAAAACCTGTGAATAATTGGAATAATCACAGTGCTTAAATTCGTAACAAAAGCATTGATAGGGTGATTTTTACATTCCAAATAAAATTATTACTAGATATTGGAATTTTAAAAAATAAAAACAAAGGTGTATATTTTGAGTGTGAAGTTGTTGCATTCCATTTTATTTAGAGATTTGTACCGTTAATTCTGTGGGTAATAACAGTGGGGTACTTATTCGGTCAGGACCTAGCTAACTTTCAATATGTGATTCTGAATGCAGAGGTGATTCTGAATACAGAGCCAGTTCTGTAGAATACCAGTATATTTTGAATATTGGTTGTTAATGAGTTTCTGTTTTTAGTAACATCCCGGGTCATGGTTGTCACTGGGACAGTTGTAGGAGTTAACAGGACTCAACATTAAAGGGGGGGGTCTTTTGGAGAAGGGTGGCCCCAGTGGTCTTCAGCTTTGACCAGGTTCATCACCTGGTGGGGTAGTCCACAAATCCCTCTGAGTTTTAAAAATAATTGTTTTCCTTTGAAGTTTTTGTGTGACTTTAAACAATTTTTGTTTTTTCTTTTATCATTATTGTTACGAAAATGCTTCTGTGGATACTCAGTTACCATGTGGTACTTCCTTGTGTTTTACGTGGTGTCACTTAGCTCGGGTGAAGAGGACCGACCTGGACAAAGCGAGGACTTTTGTTGGCATATGCCCTGACATGTGTCCCGAGAAGGAGCGGTACATGCGGGAGACCCGGAGCCAGCTGAGTGTGTTTGAAGTGGTCCCGGGGACTGACCAGGTGGGACACTGGGTCTCCCCACTACTTGGGGGTGGAAGGTGGGGGTGTGTGGGTCGGGGAAGGGGGAATGTGGACTCTTTGATTGTTTGCGCTCTTTGGAGGGTGGCAGTTATTTGCATTATTAGTAGTCACATTAAGCTGTTTTGTAGTGCGCATGTTTGCTTAGTACTCTTTGTGTATGATTGGACCACGTGGTAATTATGTGATAAGGTATAGATATAGGGTTGTTCTGTTTTTGTTTGGTTTTTTTTTTTTTTTTTTGGTACTGGGGATCAAACTGAGGACCTTGCCCTTGCTAGGCAGGCATGGTGCCACTGAGCTAAATCTCCGGCCTATTTGTAAACTTTTGAGATAGGGTCTCGCTAAGCTACTAAGCTGCCCAGGCTGGTTTGAACTTGGGATCTTCCTGCCTCAGCCTCCCAGAGAGTTGGGATTATAGGTGTGAGCCACCTCCCCTGGCTTTAGATGTAGGTTTTAAAAATCGATTAAAATTGTTTAATTTCTTTTTCTTTTTTTTGTTTTGGTAACGGGAATCGAACTCAGGCCCTTGCCCTTGTGCAGCAGGCAGCCAAACCACTGAGCTAAATCCCCAGCCCTCTTTTTCCTTTTTACAATTTCTGTCCTTTTCTGTGTTTATGTTCTGTGCATTTGAGATTATGTTCTAGATTCAGTTTGTATCTTTTCATAAGTACTACCTTTGTCACAGTAAACTCTTGAGTATTTCTACATACAGCGTATTTGAATATGTAGCTCTGTCAAAACACTTTTGCAGGGAACAGGCTATTTCTAATTTTTTCTTGTTTTTATTTATTTTGTCTGTTTGTTTTTTTGGTACCGGGGATCAAACTTAGGACCTTTTGCTTGCAAGGCAGGTGTGGTGCCACTGAGCTGAATCCCTGGCCCTATTGTTTTTATTTTTAATTTTTTTTTTTTGGTACTGGGAATTGAACTCAGGACCTTGCACTTGCTAGGCAGGCATGGTGCCACTGAGCTAAATTCCCGGCCCTTGTTTTTATTTTTAATTAATATTATTTGGCATATTTGTGTTATACTTCTGTGGTGTTTTGAACATTTTCTTCAGCTGGATCTGAAGGGTTTGTTTTTTTTTTTTTTTTGAGACAGCATCTCGCTATGTGGTTCAGACTGGCCTCAAAATCATTATGTAGCCCAGGCTGGCCTCAAACTTGCAGTGGTCCTGCCTCGGCCTCCTGAGTGCTGGGATCAACGTGAAGTATTAAGTCATTGTTGCATCATGGGGTCTGCCTTGTCCTGAACATGCATCAGTTTACGTTGCAGATGGTTTCCCCGGAAGTCTGCACCCCTGTAGATCTTTGGCTCCTCAGTCTTGCTTGTGAGCTTCTCTGCTTGGCTGGCGGTTTTGCCTGACGTAGGGTCCCCAGCCTCTCAGTGGATGTCACCACGGAGGCCCAGGACCCTGCCCTCAAGATAGCAGGTGACCCGGGTGCAGCCCTGGGCATCTGCTGCTTGCGGTGTCCCTGTGCCTTCTTGCACAGGTGGATGTGCAGGTCCAGGCCGCTGTGTGCAGCTGGCCCCGGTCTCGCCTGCTGCTCCTCACTGCCCGTCCGTGTTGTCGCCGGCCTTTGTAGGCTTGGCTTGGCACGTGAGCCTGGCTGCACTGTTTACAATGCTTGAAAGCCCTTTACTTCGTACTTTGGGCCAGGCAAGTGTGTCTTCACCAAATTCCTTCTTGTGTGAGATCTCCAATAGCAACTCCTTGTCATATTTGCCAAAATCAAGTTTCTCAATTTATTTTCTCTTTAAAATTTTTGTTTTTGATGGTACTTAATTTTTAATTTTGAGGTAGGGTCTTGCTAAGGTGCCCAGGGTCTCCTCGAAGTTGCAATCTTCCTGTCTCAGCCTCCTGAGTAGCTGGGATTCCATACATGTACCACTACACCTGACTTTCTCTTTTTTTAATTGGTAGCCTTGGCTTTATCTTTAATTTTTTGTTTGTTTGTTTTTAAGATTTGGGGATTTAATCCAGGGCTTCATACTGACTACCCTCACTTGCCTTTTTTATTTTGAAAGAGGGTCTTGACTGAATTACCCAGGTTGGATTCAGACTTCTGATCCTCCTGCTTTAGCCTCCCAAGTAGCTGGGATTACAGGTGTATACCACCACACCTGGTTGTCTTTAAAATTGTCACCTTTTAACAAATTTTTCATTTAAAAAGTGATCCGGGGTGGTGGCACACGCCTGCAGCACTTGGGAGGCTGAGGCAGGAAGATCATTTCGAGTTTAAGGCTAGCCTGGCTACATAGTAAGTTCAACACCAGCCTAAACTATGTAGTGAGACCTTGTCTCCAAAAAAAAGAAAAAAAAAGTGTTTTCACAACCATTGACTTTGTGTGTCATCTCTTCCTCATTTTTTTTCTTTTTGGGTGTTCTAGGGATTGAACAGATGTCTGTATTGAGCTACATGCCCAGGGCCTTTCCCCCTTTTATTTAATCTGAAAACAGGGTCTTAGAAAGTTCCCCAGGCTGAGCTAGAGCTTGCAGTGGTTCTACTTCAGCCTCCTGGAATGCTAGGATTACAGATGTGCCATAGCACAGAGTTAATCCCCCTCATTTTAGGGTACAGCTGCCAAGAAGCCCAGCACTCGCCACACAAGCCTTTCCCCATTTTGTGTCACCAGGTAGACCACGCAGCCGCTGTGAAGGAATATAGCCGGTCCTCAGCGGACCAGGAGGAACCCCTACCTCATGAGCTGCGGCCCTCGGCAGTGCTCAGCAGGACCATGGACTACCTGGTCACCCAGATCATGGACCAGAAGGAGGGCAGCCTGCGGGACTGGTACGACTTCGTGTGGAACCGCACTCGGGGCATACGGAAGGTATCAGCTGCCTCTGGTCGAGGCTAGAAAATGCATGTGTTCTGGAGCCAAAGTGCTCACTCTCATCATTTTATTTAGATATCTTCATCTGAAACAAAAATATGTTCTTTCTTTAAACTGTTATAAAGCCCTGTGTCTTTCATGGGCTCGGTTTTCAGTTGTGCTGTGAGATGCAGGCGATAAGCATGAGTCTCCCCACAGCTGCTGTACACATAGGAAGTGTGTGAGTGTGAGGGGCATGTGCAGTGTAAGCAGCGTGGTGCCTGTGTGTGTGTGTGTGTGTGTGTGAGTGTGAGTGAGTGTGTGACCCTCTCCCTTGCCTTGGGCAGGACATCACACAGCAGCACCTCTGCGACCCCTTGACAGTGTCCCTGATTGAGAAGTGCACCCGATTTCACATCCACTGTGCCCACTTCATGTGTGAGGAGCCCATGTCCTCCTTCGATGCCAAGATCAACAATGAGAACATGACCAAGTGCCTGCAGAGTCTGAAGGAGATGTACCAGGACCTGAGGGGCAGGGGCGTCTTCTGTGCCAGTGAGGCTGAGTTCCAGGGCTACAATGTTCTGCTCAATCTCAACAAGGGAGACATACTGAGGTGAGCTTCTGGGCTCAGCAGTGAGCCTCTGGTGTGTGAACAGGCAAAATGTGAGCAGGAAGGGGCTTATCAGCAGTTGCTGGTAGTACTGAGCCTCCGGAGTGAACGCTGGGTGATGGCAGGAGCCCTGGTCTGAGCTGCACAGCCGACAGGCCGAGCTGGGGGCAGAGCCTTGGGGCCGGCTCTGATGGCAGTGTGTCTGACGCAGGCCCCTGGCCTCTGCCTGAGAACTGTTACTTCTCTTTAATGAGTACGTGAAGAAAGCTGTTCCCAGTGAGATGGGAGGTGAATGGGTACAGGGCAGCCAGGGTGCCTGATGGCCGTGGTCAGCAGCTCACTGTTTTCAGGCAGTTCTGTTGAAAGTCTGTAGGAAAGAAGAAAAACTTGTATGAAATGAAAATGATAAGGATAAAGTATTAAGCATGAATGAGTTTTAAACCATGCTCTGCTATATAAGTAGACCCTTAGAAGTAAGGCAGAGTTCTTGGTCCACGTTTGTATTGTTCATAAGCCAAACTCAGTGGTGGCCACTGCCCGCTTTAGTTCCATATTTGTGCTGAAATTCTTTTTCAGGTTAGTATTTTCTCCATGAACTTAGATATATGATTGATTTTAAGTTTTAAAATTAAGCCTTGGGCCAGGATTTAGCTCCAGTGGTTCCGCTGCCTCCCTCACAAGTGTAAGGTCCCAAGTTCTATCCCCAGTACCAAAAAAAAAAATTAAGCCTTGTTATAATCCCAGCACTAAAGGAACTGAGGCAGGAAGGTTGCTGCAAGTTCAAGCCCTGGGCTCCATTGTGAGTTAAGGCCAGCCTAAACTACATAGTGAGACCCTGTCTCAAAACAATCACGAAAACAAAATTCAGCCTCGAAGACAAACTGGTTATGGACAACGGCTGTGTAACTTCATATATGACAGTCGCTTGTTCCTTCTTGAATAATTTAGTCAAATACATTTATTTCTAAAATACTCCCAAAAGTTAAAATTTCTATGTCTTTGACTCGTTATTAAACACATCTGGCAGTTGGTTGGTATTAATTTAACTTTTCACTGACAGTGTCGTAAACTGTTGCTTGTATTTGTTTACTCATCTTTTTTTTGGTACCGGGGATCGAACTCAGGACCTTGCGTACTTATCTTTTTAAAGAAATCTGTCAGTCTAGTCCAGGAGGAGGAAGAGGGAGGAGGAGGGAGGAGGAGGAGGGAGGAGGAGGGAGGAAACAATTCAGGAGCTTGAGTCACTACCAGGCCCTTCTTCCTCAGTGTCACTGAGATCTAGTTGTTAGTAGATCTGCCTCTGGATGTGTCATCTGTTTCGTCTCCTAACAGAGAGGTGCAGCAATTCCACCCTGATGTCAGGAACTCCCCTGAGGTGCACTTCGCTGTCCAGGCCTTTGCTGCGTTGAACAGTAACAATTTTGTGCGATTTTTTAAACTGGTCCAGTCAGCTTCTTACCTGAGTGCGTGTCTGTTACACTGCTACTTTAATCAGGTAAGTAGGACAGCTCTGTGGAGCCAGCCAGGGAGGCTGTGTCTGGTGCTGTTGAAGTGCTTCGTGCCCCGTGCACCTCCATGGGGCTGATGAACCTCGGGGCCTTCCGCTGCTGCTGAGGGCTTCCCAGTGTTGCCTGTCATGACGGGAGAGGCTGGGCAGTGGGCATGCTGGTCTGTGGCTCAGGTAAGTGCCAAGCCTGAGCTTAGCTCTGTTGTCTTCCATGAAAACAAGTCAAAGAGCAGAAATCCCATGTCGTAATGCACAAAATCCCTAACCTTGGAAGTCTTCGTGTTATTAAAGTAACTTTTGGAGAGAGGCTAATGCTGTTGAAGTCATTTCAGCAAGTCCCTGTGCCTGCTCCTCCCTTGCCTATGTGTTCGGCTTACAAAGCTCATCAGAGCGCTCTTGTGTAAACTCGGCCTCAGAATCTCCAGTCAGTGTGTGAGCTCCAGCTGGGTGGGGAGACTTGGGGATGCCATAGAGCAGCTTCCAGGCCCCCAGTGCACTGGCTCAGGCACATATGAGCAGTGCTGTCTCCCCTCGCCTTCTGAGGACAGCCCACTTGCTTTGTGTATACCATGCAGTCTGGCCCCTTGAAGCTGGGAGTCTCTGAGAATGCTGCCTGACCTCTGCCACGTAGGGAGGGTCTTGGCTGTGAGACCAGGTCATGTCTCTTTGTTCAGACTCCACATCCTCCTAATAATAGTGAATAAACCCACAGTCATGGCCTGGGCAAAAAGTCTTTCACAGGTTTCCTCACTGTTGTCAGAGCTGACAGTTGCCAGTAGAATCGAAGCACTGATACAAATGAGAGATTTCTAATAACCTGCCCCGCCCCTTGGAACCACTGTATAGTGTTTAAATTGTTTATAGGTTGTGTGTGCATGTGCGTGCGTGTGCGAGCGTGCAGGGGGGAGTACTGAGGATTGAAGCCAAGGCGACACCCCCCCACCCTTTTTGATTTTTGTTCTGAGACAGTCTCCTCAAGTCGCAGAGTTGCCCAGGCTGGGCTTGAACATGGGACCCTCCTGCCTCAGCCTCCCTGAATGCAGGCGTGACAGGTGTGGGCCACCAGGCCCAGCTGTAGTTATATTTTCTAGATGATTTAAAGTTGTTACAATGGTGACTTTTGGGGGCTTTTTGGATTTTTGAGACAGGGTCTTGCTTTGTAGTTCAGGCTGGCCTCAACTCACAGCGATCCTCCTGCCTCTGCCTCCGCCTCCCAAGTGCTGGGATTACAGGCCTGTGCCACCACGCCTAGCCAACAGTGGTGACCATTTTTATGCAAAAGGGAAACACAAATGTTCTTTAGAAACAAGGCTTTGGCTAGCAGTGGCCTGCACAATCCCATAGGTCTCAGGCCTCATCTTGCCCTCTCACTCAGCTCTGCCTCCCTTGACTCCCTTCCCCTTCTCTCCCCAGCTCCAGCTCCACCTCACGGGCTCCGTGGCCACTGTCCTTTGTATTCTCACCCCAGCTGGCTTTTCAGCAGGGCCTCCTGACCCTCAGCCTGTTCCGGGTCCTTGTTTCCTGCTGTTGTGCTAATTACCATTAGATGTATCTTAGGTATTCATTTTCTCTAGCACTGGTGTCTTCCCACCTCTGAGCTATGCGGGGATGGCTATATTGTGGGTTGTGCTCCCTGTTGTACTCTAAGCATTAAGAAGAGCCCCAGGGACATAATGAGCACTTGAGGAGAGTTGGTTGGAGAAGTCAAGTGAAGTAGGCACCCAGGAACCCAGCACAAAATTTTTTGTCAGCAATTTCATGTGTGTGGTTTTTTTTTGTTTTTCGGTACCGGGGATCGAACTCGGGTCCTTGCGCTTGTGCAGCAGGCAGCGAAACCACTGAGCTAAATCCCTGGCCAGCATTTTTTATGTTTTGATATTGTTTTCTTTTTTTGAGGTTCTTGTTACAATGCTGTGAAACAATTTTGTCTCCAACTAGTTACTAAATTTCATGTCTTGCACCTTTCCATGGCATTCCAGAGTCTCCCCGGCAGGCTCAGCACCTCCGAAGCCTTTGGTTGAGTAAATGCTGCAGTTTACTCTCATGCTTATTTGATGGATGGCTTGTTTTCTGATTTTTTTTTTTGGTACGGGGATCAAACTTGGGTCCTTGTGCTTGCGCAACAGGCGGCGAAACCACTGAGCTAAATCCCTGGCCCATGTTTTCTGATCTTTTTAATAAATGACACCCTCATGGCCCATCCTTTTCTCTGGGACTGCTTGCTGAGCAGGCATTTCTGCCGCTGCCCTTCATTCTCTGAGCTTGGAGTTGGTGCTGCCACTCCGCCATCCAGAGGCACTGAATTATAGGAGGAGCCCATCCGCTGTGCTGCCTGGCTGTGGTCAGTGGCAGGAGTTTGTCCAATTGTACGTCTCACTTTGAGGTGGCAGTGATCTGGCATTTCTTTTCAGATCCGCAAGGATGCACTCCGGGCTCTCAGCATCGCGTACACCGTGAGCACGCAGCGCTCTACTGCCTTTCCCTTGGACGGCGTGGTGCGCATGCTGCTCTTCAGAGACGGCGAGGAGGCGACTGACTTCCTCAACTGCCATGGCCTCACTGTTTCTGAGGGGTAGGAGCTGACACTGGAACTGTAGGCTTCCCTTTCCCTTTCACTTTTAAGTACCAGCCAGGCCCTGGAGAAGGCGTGTTCTCTGTGCCACCCTCCCAGGGTGCATTGCAGCTGGGGAACATCCCCAAAGTTGCATGCTGTTTGTCAGCAGATTGGGGTTCATCCAGTTCTTTAAGACTCCAAAGTCACAGATTTTCATGAGTTACCAGACGACCTAAAGGTAAAGGTTAAGACTTTCTTGTTCTGTTCCTTGAGTATTGCTTTGCTGGCCTGCATGTAGGCCAGAGTGTTCTCCACTCCTTTGCAATCTGTATTTTGAGACTACTGTAGAATTCACAAATCCTCACCCCGCAGCTCTCCTCTTCAGCTCCTCCGTGTGGTCCTGTCCTCAGGGAAGTGGGCTGGCTTTGAGCGAGGCGGTGCCGCCCTTGAGCCAGGAGGGAGAGTGCAGGTGTGCGTCCTCCATGGGAGGCATTCAGCACACGAGGCCAGGTGGTTCCAGAGGCCTCGTCCTCTGACCTGTGTGGTGCAGGGCAGGACCTGTGTGTCCTGTGCCTTCCACAGTGACAGCTCACTTTGGGGTCTTTGTTCTCTGGGTAGCTGTGTCGAGCTGAACCGGTCTGCATTCCTGGAGCCAGAGGGATTATCCAAGGCCAGGAAGTCAGTGTTTATCACCAGGAAGCTGACCGTGTCCGTTGGGGAAGTTGTGAATGGAGGGCCACTGCCCCCAGTCCCTCGTCACACTCCCGTGTGCAGCTTCAATGCCCAGAACAAGTACGTCGGAGAGGGCCTGGCCACAGAGCTGCCTGTCGGGCCTCCAAGGGCCAGCATTGATGGAGCGGGTGAGTGGTGCAGGACTGCATCTTCTGGGAAACACTTGCCGAGAGCTGCTTGGCTCAGTGTTCAGTGACTGCTTTGCCTGAGCTCGAGGGTTCTGAGCCTCTGTGCAGGGCCCTGACGGTGCAATGGCAGAGCTGTTTCTGGGTGGAGCATGCCTCCCCGGCATGAACCCTCAGGGCCCACAGCCCCCTTAGGGCTGGTCAGTCCTTGGGGAGGAGGGGGCAGTTGTCCCTCCACGGAGGTGGTGGTGCGCCTGGTGCTGGTCCTGTGCTCTGCAGCACCATGACTTCTCTGTGTGTGTCTTTCCAGGTGACAGGAAGGGAGAGGAATGTGGAGCAGAGCCTGATGTCCCTCTGCCAGGTCTCCTCCCTCAACCTCTCCTGCTCCCTGTACCCTTGCCTGCGCCTCTGCCTCATGCTCCACTGCAGAGCCTGTCTGCAGCACCCAGTCTCTTCCAGCCCTCCGTTCAGCCTGAGCTGCTGCCTCCGAAGACTGCACCTGTATACTCTGACGCGGTAGAGCATCTGCTAGAGCAAGGCTCAAGAAGCCCATTGTTGCATGAGTTTACTTACCCTCCTTCCCCGCTCCAGGGTGCCATAGTCTTGGTCTCATGGGAGGGGAGCTAGGGTGGCAGAGCTGGGGGCCAATGCCTGGGCTGAACTCAGAGCAGGACCTAGTGATGGGCTGGCCAGGACCGGTGGGGTCATGGTGGGGCTGTGTGCCCACAAACGGGTAGCCTGGGGTCAAGCATGGCCTGTCCACTGCCCAGGTGTGGGACTTGAGCGTATCTCCCTGGCTGCTCAGGGGCAGAGACTGACACTGGTGCCACTGCAGGATCAGGGATTCCTAAGGGAAACATAAAGAGTGGCTTCCGAATTGAGGATGTGAGCCAGGTGGACTGGTGCACCCCTGTAATCCCAGCACTCTTAGGCCGGGGCAGGAAGAATGCAAGTTCCAGCCTAGCCTAGCCAGTTTAGTGACTTAGACCCCGTCTTAAGATAAAAACTATTTTAAAGAGGGGTGAGGCCAGGCATGGTGGTGCATACCTATAATCCCAGTACTTGGGATACTGAGGCAGGAAGGTCACCTCGAGTTTGAGGCCAGTCTGGCCTACATAATTTGGGACAAGCCTGAACTATATAGTGAGACCCTATCTCAAAAAAACCAACAAAGCAACAAAAAGGGGTGGGAATGTAGCTCAGTGGGAAAGTGCTGGGTTCAATCCCCAGTACTGAAAAATAAAATTGAGGTTCCATGTGAACAAGAGAAAAAGACAGCATTCTGGGGCCGTCTGCAGGGTAGCCACCTGGCAGGCTTGCCATGGCCACCCAGGAGGCACTTTTCTGTTCCTCAGACTGTTTCTGAAGCAGCGCCCGGGGCAGCATCTATGCTAGGGACCACGCGCCCTGTCATAGCTGCCTTCAGACTGTGGCTTTGGGCGGGACACTGCGTCTGACCTGCACTGGTCTCTCCACAGGACTTGGCACAAGTGGTGGATGAGCTCATCCAGGAGGCCCTGCAGAGGGACTGCGAGGAGGTGGGCACAGCAGGGGCAGCCTATGCAGCCGCAGCTCTGGGGTGAGTGGCAGTGCCTGTCCCCCTCTTGCCCTCGACCGCCTGGTCCCTGAGGGCAAGGCTGTCCCTCCTCTTCCTCCTCATAAGCTGCTCTCGTTCTTCAAGACCTGTGGTTCCACTTAAGACTCACAGTGCCAGTTTCAGGGACTTGGCACCTGCTCAACCCTATTCTCTAGGCAGTTTCTCAAGTTCCTGACAGTAGTTTCCATTTGTAAAAGCTTTTTTTTGGTACCAGGAATAGAACTTGGGACCTTGTGCCTGCGAGGCAGGTGGCGGAACCACTGAGCTAAATTCCCGGCCCTGTAAAAGCTTTTTGAGAACATTCAGTTTGTTGTTTATACTGTGTGTGTGTGTGTGTACTGTGGGTGGGATGCACGGCATCGTGCGTGCTGGGCAAGCGTTCTACCACTCCACCACAGCCACAGCCTTTTTATTTTATTTTGAGACAGGGTTTCACTGAGTTGCCCAGATTGGCCTTGAACTTGTAATTCTCCTGTCTCAGCCTCGTGAGTAGTTGCGATTAGAGGCTTGCACCACTGTGCTAAGCTAAAGTTTATAAATCATAAAGCTATTTTTCTTTAAACTTCAAATGTAACTCAAAATTCTAGTGAAAATTAGTTCATTCCATTATAAAATTAAAAGAGATACACTTTTTTCAGTTTAATCTTAATGTTATAATCAAAACCTTTCCAAGCTCAACCAACTTTTGTAAAGTGAGTTGAATCTGATAAATTTGACAAATCTGGTTTACACAAGGATTTCAGCCATCTTTTAGAAATCCCAGTGCACGTGAAGGGGCACATGATAAGAAAAAATGTTACTGTGCCTTTATAAAGTGTAGCTACTTGGGAGACTGAGGTAGGAGCCAGAAGTTCAAGACTAGCCTGGGGAACACAGTGAGCTCCATCTCAAAAATACGTAGAAAGAAAACATCACACGAAAGGCTCAACCATGTCCATATGTTTAATTCTTTTATTTTTTAATTTTTTTTGAGATGAGTTCTTTGTGGCCCAGGTTAGCCTTAAATTAGCCTTAAATTCCTGGGCTCAAGTGATCCTCCTGCCTTAGCCTCTCTCAAGTAGCTGGGATAGTGGGTAGATGCTTCCATACCTATCTGATTGATTTTTTATCCTGGTATTAAACACATACTCTTTGATAGAAATAAAAGGAAATGTTTTAACTGGGCGAGGTGGTGCATGCCTGTAATCCCAGCACTTGGGAGGCTGAGGCAGGAGGGTTGCCATGAGTTTGACACCAGCATGACTCAGAAAACCAAACCAAAAAGAAAAGGGAAATATTTTCATGGGCTTTTTCCCTTAAACTGTGATAAAATACACCTAACAAAATTTATCATTTTAAGCATTTTTAGGTTTGTGTTTCCATCACCACTATTTCTAGAACTCTTCCAACATTCCAGATAGAAACCCAATACCAATTAAACAATAATTTCCCATTCTCTCCTTTCCCCAGCCTTTAGTTACCTCTCGCCTACCCTTTCTTTTCATAAATTTGCCCACTCTGGGCACCTTGTATAATGGAGTCACACAATATTTGTCTTTTTGTGTTTGGCTTGCTTCACTTTTTAAGGCCCATCCATGTTGTAGCATGTGTCAGAATCTAATTTTTTATGGTTGAATAATATTCCATTGTGTTGGTTTACAAACAACTGAGTCCTTGCTGGTAGTTCTTACGGATTCATGGGTGGGGTGATGTAATTGGTGGGTCATATGATCTATTTTGAGTATTTGAGGAAATACCAAACTTTTCTACAACAAAACAATTTTATTTTAGATTCGCACTGGATAGACACAAAGATCCCAGTTTCTCCATGCCCTTGACAGCACTTGCTGCCATCTAGTGTGTGTTGTTTTAATACAGGCATAGTCATTTTCATGAGTGTGAAGTGGTAACTCACTGTAATTTTGATTTGCATTTCTCTAAGGACTGATGATGTTGATCATCTCTTCATGTGCTTGTTGCCCATTTGTATGTCATCTTTGGAGAAATATCTCTTCGAGTCCTTTGGGCTTATTCTTTTTGTGGTTGGGTTGTAGGGGTTCTCTTGTATTCTGCACATTCATCCCCTACTAGATATTTGATTTACAAACATTTTTCCCATTCTGTGGATTGGCCTTTCATCTCTTAATAGTGTTCTTTGACACAGAAAATTTAAAAATTTTGATGTACAGTTTATTATTTCTTTTGTTGAATGCTTTTTGCGTCACATGTAAGGAGTCAATACCAAATCCAGCATCTCAAAGATAGTCCCCTATGGTTTTCTTCTAAGAGTTTTATAGTTTTATCTCTAAAGTTTAAAGTTTAAGGGTTTAGTCCATTTTGCTTTTGTTTTTATGTATAATGTAAGGTAAGGGTCCAACTTTATTCTTTTACATGTGGATATCTAGTTTTTCCAGTATCATTTACTGAAAAGACCGTTCTTTACTCCATTGAAAGACCTTGGCACTCGGAAAAAGTCCATTGACTGTATTGGGAGGGTTTATTTCTGAGGTCTGTATTCTGTTCTGTTGATCTTTATGTCTTTCCTTATGCCAGCCCCTTCTTGTTTTGATTAGTGGAGCTCTATAGTAAGTTTTTAAATCAGAAAGTATTAGCGCTTTAACTCTATTGTTCTTTTCAAGACTGTTTTACTGTTCTGGGTCCCTGGAGATACCATGTGAATTTTAAGATGAGTGTGTCTATTTTTACAAAATGTGCTGTTGAAATTTTTTTGTTTTTGAGACAGGGTCTCATGAGTCCAGGCTGGCCTTGAATGCACCGTGTAGTGTGGCTGACCTCAAACTTGCAGTCCTCCTGCATCAGCCTCCTCAGCCTCCCCAGTGCTGGGGCTACAGTATCACAACTAGCCTGTGGGTTTTTTGGGTTTTTTTGGTACCGGGGATCGAACTCAGGTCCTTGCACTTGGCAGGGCAGGCAGCAGAACCACTGAGCTAAATCCCCGGCCCTTGTTGGGTTTTTGATAGCAATGGCACTGAATCTGTAGATTGCTCTGGATTGTACTCTCAGACACCCCCCTACCCCCAAGCTCTTGCATTTGCTAGGCAAATACCTTATCACTGAGCTACATCCCACCCCTTTTTAGTTTAAATTTTTTGCTCGTTTGTTTATTTGGTAACAGGGATCAAACTTGGGTCCTTGGGGTCCTTGCGCGGAACCACTAAGCTAAATCGCTGGCATCATTTATTTTGTGGCAGGTTCTCGCTAAGTTGCCCAGGCTGGCCTCAAATTTACAGTCTTCCTAAGTAGTTGGGATCATAGATGGGTGTACGCCACCACAGCTGGCTGTACTGTCATTTTCTTTTAAGTCAGGGCCTCACCATGTAGCTCAGGCTGGTCTTCAACTTGCCTCCTGCCTCAGCCTCCCGAATGCTGGAATTACAGGCGTGCACCACCACGCCTGGCTTTGTGTTGTCATTTTAACAAAGTAAAACCTTCTAATCCATAAACATGGGGGTCCTCCCCCATTTATTTAGAGCTTTCTGTGTATAAGTCTTTTGCCTCCTTGGTTAAACTTATTTTTTTTAACTGTTGTAAACAGAATATTTTCATAATTTCATTTTCAGGGTTGTTCATTGCTATTGTTTAGAAGTGCCTCCTTGTCTGCCTGCCTGCAATCCATCCATTCTTCCATCAGCCTGCTTTTTAGGGGTTTTTTTGCCATGCTGAGGATTGAACCCAGAGTCTTGCACATGTTAGGCAAGTGCTCTACCACTGAGTTGCAGCATTGGCCCACTCTGTATTGATCTTTATCCTGCAACCTTGCTGAGCTTATTTATTAGGATCCCTTAGGATTTGTACATATAAAATCATGTCATCTGAATATACAGTTTTCATTTATTCCTTTCATTTGATGTGTGTCTTCCTTCCTCTTGTCTAGTTGCTCCAGTTCTAACTTCCTAGAGTACTGTGATCTTGTTTCTCATCTTAGAGCAATACCTTCCATCACTTTTAAGTGTGTGGGAGCTTCATAGATGGCCTGCACATGCTGAGGAGGTTTCTTCTATCTCTCCTTTATCATACCACTTTTTTCATGAAGTCTGTTGGGTTTTGCTAGATGCCTTTTTCTACATCCATTCAGATGCACATGTTTTAACTTATGTTAGTGTGATTTAATTACAGTGATAGGTTTTCATATATCGAACTGTCCTTGCATTCCAGTAACAAATCCCTGTTGGCAGTTGTTTATATTGGCTTGCTTTTTTTTTTTGAGTTTGTGTGCTGTCTACTTTATGTAGTGTTTCTAATGCTGCCATGGAGGACCTGTTGACAGCTGCAACCACAGGCATTTTGAGGCATGTTGCAGCTGAAGAAGTGACTAAGGAAAGGGAACGAAAGGAGGAAGAGAAGCGGCGGGCTGAAGAGGAAAGGTGAGTGGACACAGGACACTGCCTCTGATGTCCCTACCTTTTTTTTTTTTTTTTTCAGTTCTGGGATTGAACCCAGGACTTTCACACTGAGCTGCATCCTCAGCCCTTTTTTCAATTTATTATGATACAGGGTCTCATTGAGTTTCTAAATTGCTGAGGATGATCTTCAACTTACAGTCCTCCTGCCTTAGCCTCCCTGAGTGCTGGGATGCAGGCATGTAGTACCATACCTGGCCCTCTACTCTTGTTGATAAGCTGCCACCAGACCCCGGCCAGCCCATCCAGCACCCTCTTTGGTTCAGAGAATGGGCTGGGGCCCCGGGCCACACGCATGCTGTGAGCAGTGGCTCCCCTACAGCAGGTCAGGCAGGGGGGGCTGGACCTCGGCAGTCTGCTGACTCAGGCAGCACCACTCATGCCCAGTTGCATGGCATGGCCCAGAAGGAAAATGAGTATCATCATATTTATTTTCAAGCTTTATCCTTGTGTCTTTTTCTTTTACCTGTAGGCTGAAACAAGAGAGAGAGCTGGTGTTAGCTCAGCTGAGCCAGGGCCTGGCTGAAGAGCTGACAGAGCTAATGGTGATGGAGTGCGTGTGGGAGACCTGCTCACAGGAGTTGAAGTGAGTGAAGTGCTGCTTTCTGCATGCCAGTGGCATGATGGGGAGGGAGGAGGTAATCAGGCACTGTGGCCAGGAAGGCACAGCTCAGGATCATTGGTTTGCACTTTTGTTTGACAAAGAGCCTATCTTTTGGATAGCCAAATGACAGCATGCCATTCTGGACTCCAGGGAATGGAGGCAGGGAGGGACTCTTTCCATGTCCTTGTCGTGGATGCCTCTCTGGCCATGGGATGTGTCTTTTAGCAAATTAGCTGGTGGAGCCTTCTCTATACCAGATCATGTACCTTCAGTGTTTTTCAAATAGCCTTTTCCTTTGTTTCATATGTTGGAGAATTCCTTGGGTTGTTTACGTAAGAATTGTTTTTTATCATAAAACATTTATTGGTACATTTTAGGCATACACTCGTAGGGAGTTTGCACCTGCACATGATACGTCCTGCCTCTTTTTTCCCACTCCCCCCGCCTTAAGCCCCTCCCCTCCCTATGTACAAAAGCTATGTTTCCATTTTTTCCTTGTATTTTCACTTTTTTCTTTTTCCTTCCTCCCATTCTCCCTCCTCCCTTGTTCCTCTTCCCATTTGAACACTTTCTTCTCATTTCCCAATATCTATTATACATTTTAGTTCTTGTTTCCACTTTTGGTTTCCCACACCAGAGAAGCAGTGTGGTATTTAAACATGTGTGTCTGATTTATTTCACTTAAGAGTATGGTCTCAAGGTCCATCCATTTAGCTATAAATGTCTGAAGCTCATCCTTTTTTATGGCAGGGTAGTACTCCATTGTATAAAAAAACCCACGTCTTTATCCATTCGTTGGTTGATGGGTATTTGGGCTGTTTCCGAGATTTAGCTATTACAAACTGTGCCACTATAAACATGGGAATGCATATATCGCTGTGGTATGATGCTTTTAATTCTTTGGGAAGATACCGAGAAGGAAAATAACTGGGTGAAATGGAACCTCCAGTTTTAAGTATTTCGAGGAATCTCGACACTCATTTCCACAGTGGTTGCACCAGTCTACACTCCCAGTGGAGCAGGGTTCCTTTTTCCCCACAGCCCCTCCAGCATTTGTTATTGGTTGATTTCTTGATAGCAGCCATTCTTTCTGGGGTGAGATGGAATCTCACCATTGTTTTAATTTGTATTTCATGAATGACCAGTGATGTTGAACATTTTTTCATATATTTGCTATTTGTACTTCATCTTGAGAAGTGTCTGATGCCCATTTTCGGATTGAGTCTTTAAATTTTGGGCAGGGGGTCTGATTTTTTTGAGTTCTTTATATATTCTAGATAATAGTTGTTTATCTGAACAGTTGGTAAAAATTTTTTCCCACTCTGTGAGTTGTCTCTTCACTCTGTTGGTGGTTTCTTTTGCTGTGCAAAAGCTTTTTAATAAGATGAGGTCACAGTCGTTGTTTCTTTGTATTATTTCCTGTACAGTCTGGGTTTTGTTCATGAAGTCTTTGCCTGGTCCTATATCCTTAAGTGTTCTACCTATTCTCTCTTCCAACAGATTTAGTGTTTCTGTTTTAATATTTAGATCGTTGATGCATTTCAATTTTAGGTTAGTGCTTGGTGAAAGATGTATGTCTAGTTTTAATCTTTGGCATGTTGAAAGCCAGTTTTTCCAGCACCATTTATTAAAAAGGCTATCTTTTTTCCAGTGTTCACTTAAGAAGTTTTAATGATTTTATTGCCAAGCTTCCTAGAAAAAAGAGATCCCAGTTGTGAAGAGGAGTCTGTCCTTGTAGCTCAGTGCGCCTCAGAAGCCTGAAGGTGATGGAGTTTGTTGGTGTAGTGCAGGCAGTGAGCCCAGCCCACAGGCAGTGTATCTTGAATCCCATTCCTATTAATTGGGAACCTATTTCTGTAGTTACTATGAGGAAGAGATTTCACAGATGATGGTGTATATCTGTTCCTGGTTATGGGAGTGTTAGTAGACATGTAAAACCCAGGGCTCACTGCACTGCATGCAGTGGGTCCTGCAGCTCCAGGAGACCTGGAGTTCTTTTAGCTAACCCCAGGCCATCTCCAGTGTCCGTGAAGATGGGCTGTTGGAAATGTGCCTTGCCTCAAGCTATTTTGATTTTATGACCAAATATATTTGATGTAATTCTCTGTGGTCTTTTTTTTCCTGTTTTTTTGAGATAGAGCCTGGCTATGTAGTTCAGGATTGTCTCAAACTTGCAGTGATCTTCCTGTGTCAGTCTCCCAAGTGCTTTTATTACAGGCATGCACCATCATACCCGGATATAGTATATTTGTGTGTGTGTGTGTGTGTGTATTTTATTTATTTTTTTCATTAAGTTTATGGGTACATTTTAGGTATACAGTACAGTTACATTCATCATTGGGATCTTGTACCTTTGCACGATGCATCTTGGTTCTTATTTTTTCCCCCTTCCCCTGCCCTCCCTTCACCCCCTCCACCCCTCCGTATTTACAAAGACTTTGTTTCCATTCTTACCTTTTCACATATTTTTTCCTTTCCCTTCTTTCTTTTCCCCCACCCCTACCACTTCCCCTATTGATTTAGACCTTTCCTTCCTTTTTCACATTTTCAGTTATACATTTTGATCCTTATTTACACTTTCAGTTTCTCACACCAGAGAAACTATTCGGTATTTACACCTGTGTGTCCTATTTATTTCACTTAAGAGTGTGGCCTCAATATGCATCCATTTTAGCTATAAATGTCTCTGTTTATTTTAAGGTGATACTGGGGATTGAACCCAGCGCCTCACACATGCTAGGCAACTACTTTACCACTGAGCTCCAGCTCCAGTTCTAGCTCCTGTGCATGATAGAATTTTGTTATAAAAATTTCTCTCTGTGATACTGGTTTATCCAAGGGTCAGCACTGCGTGACCACAGGCAGTCATCCTTAGCAGTGCACAAGCAATTAATGGTATTTGAGACTCTTCTGATTATAAATGCCATAGTACTTTCCTGTCACTGATGAACAGTAGCTGATACCCACAAATTAAAGGAGTGGTTTATTTTGGTTCACAGTACAGAAGTTTCAGTCCCTAGTCTGCTGGCTCCAAGGCAGGGCAGCGTGGCAAGGGAGAATTACGGCCCGGCAGTGGGAAGCAGAGGAAGAGAGCAAGGGAGGAGAAAAGGGACACAGACCCCCTTCCAGGCCACACCACAGTGACCCACTTCTTCTGATCAGTCTTCACCTCCCAACCTCACATTTGGGTAATCTAGTGGTGAATCGACCATGGCTCCATGATCCAGTCACTTCCCCAAAGCCCCCGCCAAGTGCATGAGGCTTTGGGGACATCTAGATGTGAACCATAACGTAGATGTTGCTGATGACAATTTGCAGTTATCTCAGTGGTCATTTAAAAGATAGAAATTTCAACTATTTTATTAAGATAAAAGTTTCTTTCATATGTAAAGGTGCATATCTCCAATGATGAATGTCATTATGTTGTACACCTAAAATGTACCAGTAAAAGGATATACCAAAAAAAAAAGTTTCTTTCCTCTTTTTCCTTTTTTCTGAGATAGTTTTCTTGCTTTGTTGCCCAGGCTGGTATTAAACCTCTGGGCTTAAGTCATTTTCCTGTCTTGGATTCCAAAGAGTGGGTCACCACGCTTGGCTGGGTTGAAGGTTTATTTCCTAACTGTTACAGTGGCTCCGTGATCTATACCCTGGCACTCTGTATCACTTCTGTTCTTTTCCCTATCTTTCCAAGTATCTGTATCGTCTTCCTCCACCCCCGGCAGTACTGGGGATTGAACCTGGGACCTTCCCATTGAGCTACATTCCCAGCCCTTTTTAGACAGGGTCTCACTGAGTTGTTAAGTTGCTCAGGCTGGGCTTGAACTTGAGATCTTCCTGTCTCAGCCTGCTAGTGCTGGGGTTACAGGTGTGTGCCACCATGCCCAGCTAAGTGTCTGTGTTTTTTTGGGTTTTTTTTTTTGTGCTGGGAATTGAACTCGGGACCTTGTGCTTGTGAGGCAGGTGCCAGAACCACTGAGCTAAATTCCCAGCCCACGTCTGTGCTTTTAAATAAAAATGAAACTGCTAAGTTTCTCTTTCTGTGTGAAGGACACAGACTCATACCTGTAAGAAACCCTCAGAGTCTGGACCTCAGTCATCACTGCATGACTTCCCTGTTTTCTAGGAGTGCAGTGGAGATAGACCAAAGGGTCCGTGTGGCCCGCTGCTGTGAGGCTGTCTGTGCCCACCTGGTGGACTTGTTTCTTGCGGAGGAAATTTTCCAGACTGTGAAGGAGACACTCCAGGAACTTCAGTGCTTCTGCAAGTATCTACAGCGGTGAGTCCTGTGTTCATGCAGGTAAAATAAAACAAGTGGCTGGGCTATACTTAGACACTTGTCTATAGGGAGCCTGCTGTTTAGGCTATACAAGACCCCAGGGGATGTCCATGAGTACACACGCACCACAGCTGCATGCACCAACACTAGTGAACGTCCAGAACACAGGTACAGATGTGCCTCGACTTACCATGGGGTAACTCATAACGTAGATGTTTCTGATGAGATTTTGCACTTATCTCAGTGGTCATTTAAAAGATAGAAATTTCAACTGTTTTATTAAGATAAAAGTTTCTTTCCTCATTTTCCTTTTTTCTGAGATAGTTTTCTTGCTATGTTGCCCAGGCTGGTATTAAACTTCTGGGCTTAAGTCATTTTCCCATCTTGGATTCCAAGGAGTGGGTGACCACCCTTGGCTGGGTTAAAGATTTATTTCCTAACTGATAAACTCATAAATTGAAAACACCTCTCCTACATCTAACCTACCCAACATTGTAGCTTAGCAATGCAGTACACTGCAGGGTGTTGGCTGTTTACCCCTGAGATTTTGTATCTGACTCAGAGCTGTAGCTCACATATGATACTGTCAGCATTGTGAGACAGTGTTGTGCAACATATTGCTAGCCTAGGTGATCAAAATGTGAAGTTTGGTTTCTGCTGAACTTATACCACTTTTGCAGTATTGTAAAGTTAAAAGATTGCAAGTCAGGTCATTATGTAGGAGACTCCCAAAGTGAGGGGAAAAAAAGCAGCTCATAGGGAAATGTATACAGGTTCAAATACCATATATTCAAACTAGATTGTCCTGGATTTATATATAGTAGTATAACCCTGGAGAAAGGGAGAATAACGAACGTAAGCTCAGATTAGTGTTTATCCCAGGGAGTAAGGGAGCGTCCATTCTAGCCAAGGCTTCTCAGACAAAGCATTTATCATTTAACTGGGCATTTAGGTGTTAGTGTATGTTATATGGTGACTCATTCATAATAAAATTTAAAATGGGTGATAGCATCTTTGATAATTGCAACAGTATAAAAGGAGACCCAGCAAATAAATCCCTTCCAGGACAGATTCCTGTCCATTTCGCAGAAGCACCAGCTGCTTGTGTCCCCTTCCGGAAACTTCTTGTTCTTTCCTGTGGTCGTCATTAAAGCATGTTTCCTACTGTGTTCCAAGCCTTTCTTCCACTTGATGTGAACTAGAGGCCTGCTGGCAGGCTGTCCCGCACTCCCTGTTTGTGGCGATGCAGTACAGCATGTTATTGCAAGTGTGTGCCATAGATGACCTTGGTTCCTGTTGCTAGCTCTCACATGGCCCTCTTTTTGTAGCAATGTAGAATGCTCCAGTTTCCATCTTGTACTAGCATTTCATACTTGTGCACATGCTGTCAGTTGTGTTTGCTGGGTGATGGGTCTCTGTACCTTAGCTTTGTATCTATGTGGGCAGATCCATTTGTTGAGATCTTTAGTATTAGCTCTTAAATTTTGTTGTTTCAATGCAGACCCATCTCTTTTAATATCATGCTTGATTTGTTTGTTTGTTTTTAGATAGTTCTTGGTATGTAGTTCAGGCTGGCCTTGAACTCGAAGTGATCCTCCTGCCTCAGCCTCTTAAGTGTTGGGATTACAAGTGTGTGCCACCATGCCTGACTTCAAGCTTGCATTTTAATTCTGATTTCTTAGTATAAAGACTGTTGCTAGTAAAGAGCTACATAGACTGACAAACACTACAATGATTGATAATTGCAGTTTGTTTCCCCATGTTGTGGAGCTGGGCTGTATTTGTGCTGGGCTCTGGTTAACCCTGGACATACCCCGTGATGATACTTTGCTGTATCCTCCAGGTGGAGGGAAGCTGTTGCAGCCCGGAAGAAACTGAGGCGCCAGATGCGGGCCTTTCCTGCAGCACCCTGCTGTGTAGATGTGAACGACCGGCTTTGGGCACTGGTGCCCAGTGCAGAGTGCCCCATTGCTAAAGAGAACCTGGTCAGGAGCCTCTTGGACCTGGGCCATGCTGGGAAAGTGGGCATCTCCTGCACCAGGTCAGTGCCCAGCTGTACACCTCAGGGTTCCCTTGGTTTCACTGGATTCATGTGTGTATTTACAAGAGTCAGGAAGTGAGGACAGGCACGGAACTATATTGTGTTCTGTTTGTTTGGGGTTTCTTTTTGTTTTTTTGAGACGGTTTCGCTGTGTAGTTTGGGCTGGTCTTGAACTCTCTATGTACCCCAGGCTGCCCTCAAACTTGTCTCACACTTGGGAGAATCCACCTGCCTCAGCCTTCCAACTGCTGGGATTACAAGCATGTGCCACCATGCCAGGCAGGACTGCTACATTTTGAAGGCTGTCTTTTCTTCAGCTGTAGACATGTGACTTGCTCTATCACGGGGAAGCAGGTCTCTGACACAGCTTTCACCTTCAAAGAAAAAGGTCTTGGTGTAGACTGACTCAGAACCCTCTGGTCTTCTAAGCTTAAGTACACTGTCCACCCTACTTGTGGAGCCAGAGGTCCATGTGGGCCTTGGTTTCCACCTCCACCCTGTTCCTGAGCTTCTGCACCTCATTCATACAGTCTCAGCCTTCCCCAGCCTGCCTTCCCTGCTCACAGGGTCCCATCCTGTTGGGTTATAAGTCTGGGCCAGCCTTCTCTCAAGCCCCTCCTAAATTCCATCTTCAAAGCCTATTAGGGCTGATCTGCTTTCTCCATATCTTCCAGCCCTTAGCCACAGTCCTTCACTCACAGGAGTGGGTTCCTTTGATACCTGGTTGGGGCACCTCACTTGTTGTCAACATCCCTGGACTAAACTGCCCCTCCTGAAATTTCCCCTACCATCCCCAGAAATAGTCCTGTCAGCTGCTCTACTTCCGTCAGATCTGTTTTCACGCTTCATCTTGTCTAACACCAGAGTGAGACAATAGTTCATGTCAGTGTTCCTGTCTGGCCTGCCACATGCCACCAACTCATCTTGTAGGCTAGTGTAGCACTGTTCTCTCCAGGAGAGCGTGTTTTAGAGAGCCAGGGTTTTTGTCTCCATATTAAAGGATCTCCCATGGCTAGGGCACAGTAGATAATTATGTGGGATTTGTGGAATACAATGGTCTTCTGACCTGTTTGTCAGAAAATGTTTTCTCGGTCTCTTAATACTCCCAACCAGGAGACACTGGCCAATTATTTTTTGTTCAAAGACATCAGTAAATGGTATGGAGCGTCTTTTGTGGGTGTGAGCTAGCCACATGCTGGCATGGTGCAATTCTTCCTTTCTTTGTAGGTTGAGGCGGCTGAGAAACAAGACAGCTCACCAGATGAAGGTTCAGCATTTCCATCAGCAGCTGCTGAGGTCTGTCTCTTTCCCCTCCTGTGTATCTGCTCCTTCTTGGGGTGCATACATGGGCCCGACCATGGTGGTTTGTCCCTTTCAGTAATGCTGTATGGGCGCCTCTGGACCTGCCTTCACTTGTGGCCGAGCACCTCCCTATGAGGCAGGAGCGTGAGTTTTGGAAGCTGGTGCTGGTGTTGCCTGATGAAGAGAAGCAGTCCCCAGGGAGTCCTGGCAGGTTAGGGGGTTCCCTCCAGAGCTGTGAATGCTGAGCACCAGAGCTGAGTGGGGCTGTTGTCCTGGGTCAGGGCATTCCTCTCAGTGGTGGGAACCCTGATGCATAGGTTTTTGTTTTAATGTTTAAGCTTGTAGTCTGTTTTTGCTTATAATTTTCAAGATTTGAAACTGACATTTTAGATTTGATTATTTCAGTTTTTATTCTACATAATTGTCAGTTTTAGTCCAGAATCATGTAAGAGTGGATTATCATTTTAGGATCATGTTAAAGTGTATCAGTGTATCAGTGCATTTTAGATTCTTGGGGAAGTCAGTTCATTTTGTCTGCTATAATTTCATTTAATTATTAAAGAAAAACTTCCATTTTTAAAAAGAAAATGACGTGACATTATTTCCTGCAGCCAAATTGCTTCTAGAAATCATACTTTTAAAGCAAAGAAAGCTGGGCGTAATGATCCATACCTGGGAGGCTAGGGCAGGAGGATCACAAGTTCAAGGCCAGCCTAGGCTACACAGTAAATTCGAGGCCAGTCTAAACTACATAGTGAGACTCTGTCTCAAAAGACTAAAATAGGGCCAGGGATTTAGCTCAGTGGTTCTGCTGCCTGCCTCGCAAGTGCAAGGTCCCAAGTTTGATCCCCGATACCAAAAAAAAAAAAAAGGCTAAAATAATATCAACTGAGAATATGTTACTTTTCTTTTGGAAAAAGTTTTATGGAAGTGTTACTCATACACCATAAACTTTACCCACATTAAGTGTTGTTTCAGTGATTTCTAGTTACAGCCACAGAGTTTTACTGTCATCATAATCTAAGCCTAGGACAATATTTCTATCAGAACAGAAGTCTCCATTCTTCCTTACCCCAGCTTGACAGGCGTTTAAGTTCTTTCCATTTTTCAGCTGTTTTGAATAAGGCTGCTTTGAGCACAGAGGTATGAGCACTTGTGTGGACACATGTTTATAATTCTCTTGGTTGTACACCTAGGCACAGAACTGCCAGGTTGTACAGTAACTGGTAGTTTGAGTCGTTGAGGACCTGCCAGGCTGACTCAAGTGGCTGCACTGCTCTGCATCCTACCAGCAGTGCAAGAAGGCTTCAAATTCTTTGACCACTTTACTTTCCAGCAGTTACTGTTGGGACACGTGCAGGCTAAGGAAAAAGAGGAAGTCATGAGGTTTGTCTCATAGGACAGCTGAACAATGAAGAAAGTTGTAGCATTTTAAAAGTATTTATTTCTGGGGTCTGGGATTTAGCTCAGTGGTTCTGGCACCTACCTTGCAAGCGCAAGGTCCCGAGTTCGATCCCTGGTACCAAAAAAAAACCCAGTATTTCTTAAAACAGCTATTTCTGATTTGCTAAGTTTATTGGGCAGTGTGTCACTTAGGAATTCTTAAGAGCTCAGGCATAAAGAAATGTGATTCTGTACACATGTATTTCAAACTCCAGGGATATTTTCTATTGCTTGGAATCTTTTCTAGTGCTTTAGAATATTAAATAACTTTAGAATAATTTGGTTTCTTGAGTGTCTGCTTCTCTCACCCAAATAAATAAATAATCCAGTAGAAGTACTAACTCCATCTTAACCTCCTATAAGATTTGGTGTATGGTCCTTCTTTTCCTGACAGTCTTTTTCAAATTTCAAGTTAAGACTTTTCTTTAAATGTTATTTTTTTTTACCAACAGAATTTTAGCGGATTGGCTAAAGGTCAAGTTCATGGGAGATGATGGCTTGGTTGGTGACACGTGCAGTAATGCTGGTGAGATTCAGACACTCACGATTTTTAATGCACTCAGCAGCAAAAAGGATAAGATTGTTTCTGTCAGTGTGTGTATAAAGGTGAGTGACAGTTGCTTCATGTATTTACCTCCATGTTTTCATTATTTCTCTTACTGTCAGACAGGATTGGATTTGTGTAAGTGCTCCTTGTTCTCTACAGTGGTCTTGAAAGACGGAGGCTCAGAAGTGTCATGTCTGTCTGTCCTTGTATCTTGCTGCCATCGGTGGACACCTGTTTGGTGTGAGGCTCTAGGCTGGAGAGCAATGTGTTAGCTTTCTGTTACTGTTAACAAATACCTGAGATAATCAGTTTATTAAGAGAAAGGTTTATTTTGGCTCACAGTTTTGGAGGTTTCAGTCCACCGTTGATTAACTCTTGAGCCCATCATGAGGCAACACATTTTGGTGGAAAAGCATGGGATAGCAAAATTGCAGAGGTCATGACTGGAACCAGGGAAGAGGAGGAAGGTGCTGAGGTTCCCTAGTCCCCTGGGAGGGCATGGCTCCAGGGACCTGATGAGCTTCCACTAGGCTACCAGGTTCTACCACCTGTCACTAGTGCCGAGCTGGGGCCTTTGGGAGGGACTTTAGATCCAGACTCTAGCAAGCAGTGAACTTTGGCTGTCACAGACCCCTGAGAACTTTGTGCAGACTCAGCCATCCTAAAAAACACACAGGTGCACCTATGATGTTGTGCATACACTGGTAAGTAAGTCATGAGGGACGGAAGACAGAACATTTCACAAAAACTAAATGATTGTGACATGATTTACCAACTGCTGGATCTTAAGCTAGTGAGTAAGTTCATTATTGGTCATTTCAGTTTAGTTGTTGTTCTTCTTTTTTTTTTTTTTGCATTGGGAAATTGAACCCAGGGCTTTCACAGTGAACTACTTCCGTAGCCCTTTGTAAATTTTTATTTTGAGACAGAGTTGGTTTTTTTTTTGGTACGGGGGATCGAACTTGGGTCCTTGCGCTTGTGCAGCAGGCAGTGAAACCACTGAGCTAAATCCCCAGCCCTAAGACAGAGTTTTGCTAAGTTGCCCAGGCTAGGTTTGAACTTGGAATTCCCCTGCCTCAACTTTCCAGAGTGCTGGGGTTCCTGGCATGTGCCACTACACCCACTTGTTCTTGTTTCACATTCAAGATGGCCTCTGTTTTTTATTAACTGATTTGTGTGTGTTTTTTTTATAAGTATTTATTTATGTTTGGATTTTGAGACAGGGTCTTGTCATGTAGTTCAGGCTGGTCTTGAACTCACTCAGTTCTTTCTCTCCCTTCCCTCCGCCACCTATCCCCTCCATTCCTTGCCCCGCCCCCACCCCGGGTTCTGCACATGCATGTAAATGTGAGGGTCCTTTATGAGGGGAATTTGAGACAGAGTTATGCTGTTGGTCCCATGAGTTAACTCTGATTGAACTTTGTATTTATTAAAATACAAAATGACCACCTTGCCAAAGGTCTCAGGTATGCAAGAACACTGAATTCTCCCATTTGTTCCCACACGTACCCATGGGATCCCTAGCATACAACACATAAGAAAGGGGAAAAACATAGGCAGTGAAGTAGGACAAACTTAAATCTAAATCTTAGCTCTATTTTCTACTAACTAAATGACAGTGGGCCACTCTCCCTGCAGATCCTTGCATCTTAATATATCATCTGTAAAATGAAGTGCGTGAAAGTTGACATTGGCATTAAATGAAATGATGACTATAAAGTACTCTCCTGACTATCTGGAAACTTATTTAGTCACATACTTTCTTAATTTGGGGAGGTTGAAATGAAAGGAACAAGAGCTGTTCTTTTCATATATTGATGAAAATTAAGCAAGAGCCCTGGATGGGTACAGCATGGTCTAAGGGTCTCTTATATTTCCTGTCAGGATGGCTTGAGTAATACCTGCTCCTGGCTTGCCCCTTGGATGTTCCCTTGGCTGGTTTATTCCTTGGCCAGGTTCTCATGGGCCAAGGCAAGACTGTCATTAAGCTGAGTGCCCTGAGTCAGCAGGAACCCTGGCAGGTCCACAGGACTCTCCTAGTTTTTCCTCTAGAAGAAGCTACCCTCAGCCTGTCTTGTATATATTTGACCAGAATTTTCACCTTAATGCTGTGAAATCTGATGAACACTAGCCTCTCCCTGGTGGCTAAAATAGAATTTTTGTGTTTATTAAAAATGGTTCCCTTAAATTATTTTTAGAAATAGAGTCTAAATGCCTAAATATATTATTTGGTAACATCCCTAAGATCTTTAACTTCTGTTACAAAGTAACAATGAGTATAGAAATGTATTAAAACTAACATTTGTACAGTAGTTCAGATCTACCTGTACCTTTCACTCTTACTGGTTTTTGGTTTTCATCTTCAAAATATCCTAGCTTACTTGACTCTCTTTTTGTGGTCTTGCTGTGTTGCCTAGGCTGGTCTCAAACTCATGTGCTCAGGTGTTCCTCTTCAGCATCCTGAGTAGCTGGAACTACTGGCATGACCCATACCACCTGGCCCCACATGCCATTCTTAATCCAGCAGTTATACCCCCAGTTTATACAAATGATTCTAGAATATGTGCTGCCAAAGTGAGCACTATACAGACGATTCTATATAAACTCCAGTCTGAAGTACCCTTTCACTGGCCACAGAATAAGTCCAAAAATCTTTCATTCTGGCCTGCTTTGTGCTCTACTTCCTGTCTTGTTCTCCTTCAGCCCAGTTCTCATATCTATAAACCCTTTCTTCCTTCCTCCCTCCTTCCTTCCTTTTTTTCTTTTTCTTTTTTTCTTTGAGACAAGGTCTTGCTGCGTAGTTCAAGCTGGCTTTGAACTCACGATGTAGCCCAGGCTGGCCTCAAACTCAAGATGATCCTCCTACCTCAGCTTCTTGACTGCTGGGACTACAGGCCTGTGCTACCATGCCCGGCAGAGTCTTTGCTGCTTAGTTCTCTCAAGGCTTCATCTAGGATGGATAACTGGTGGCTCTGGTGAGCCCCAGTGACTGACTGGTCACAGCAAAAGATGAGTTGTCTGTCTTCCTGGTGGTAGGAACTCGAATTGAGCCCATGGGCTGGACACTTCCTCTTGGCCACTCTTTGCTTCCGTTTCTGTTTTTGAGTCAAATTTGCTTTCTGCCTCAGTTTCTCCTTCCACTTCTGATTCTTGATTGTCTTCCTCTGCCTCACTTTCTTGCTTATCCTCCATTTCCTCCTATCTTCTTCACTCTCTTCCTTTCTCTCATCTTTATTCTCTTCCTCCATCTTGCTCTTTTCTTCCAGCTTGCTGTCTTCCTCAGACTCCCTCTCCTCCTCTGCCTTGCTTTTTGCCTTCCTCTCCGGCTCTGCCTTGGCCTTGTCCTGGTCCTTCCCTGCCTTGTGCCTGTAGCACTATGAAGTACTTGGACAGGTGGTGACTGTGGAACTTCTGCCTATATGCCTTGGCGTGGTGGCACCAGTATCAGATGCTGCATTCCCTGCATACTTCCTTGGCCCCCGAAGCATCATGTATCTTGGTCACACATGACATCATGAGGTAGCTCCTCAAAGGCCACCTCTACCTCGGAAGTCATGTGGAGGCTGGGACTCTGCAGCCAGGCCTCTGGGCTGCAAGCATACTGCCTTGCCTAGGCGCAGCCTCTTTTCATCCATGTCTGCATCCTTATCCCTGTCCCTAGCTCCGAAGATCCTTCTATGGGAGTTCCTGCCCTGCTGGGCCATGTAGCATGTCAGAGCAGTGCTTGGGGCCGCAGTGGACCTTTCCAGCCCCAAGATTCGTTAAGATTATAGGAATGTGGTCAAACAGTTCTGCTTGGAGACTAAATTATCTGTTGACTTGGGTGTTTAATCTCACTGGTTCATCGTCTCACAGAAGAAGTGCTGCCCCATCGGTGTCCTGAAGCCTTCCAGAGCCCTGTGAACATTTTAGTGTGTGGAGACTTAGCTGCACTTGCTCTGGGGCAGACCATTCACTGCTGGCTTGTCCTCTAGAGCATCCATCCTGATGTCCTGGGTGCTGTTGCAGGTGGTCCATGGCACCCTCGGTGATGCTGCCCTTGATGCTGTGGCAACAAAGAAGGACCTCTTGGGAGCCAGTGGGCTCATGCTGCTGCTTCCGCCCAGAGTGAAGACTGAGGATGCAGCAGAGGAGGACATGTATTGGCTGTCAGCCTTGGTACAGCTCAAGCAGTTCCTGCAGGCCAAGCCCTTCCTCCCATCACTTCCACTGGTGGTTCTTGTGCCCGGTTCCGGAGAGGACCCCATCGGGAAGGACGTGGAGGATGGTTTGTGGAGGAAGTCTTATTTATGAACCAGCTGCAGGGTGGGTGGGATAAACAATGAGAGGTGTTGCGTGTGCATGAGAGGGCAGACATGTGACCTCTTGTCTGTTTACCTGAAAGGTTTGATGCTGCAGGACTTGGTTTCAGCGAAGCTGATTTCAGACTACATTGTTACTGAAATCCCTGATTCTATTAATGATTTACAAGGCACAAAAAAGGTAAAGTTTCATCATTTTTAAAGGTCCATCAAGATATTTTGGTTTTGCTATCTGCAGTAAGCAGGAATCAAAAGATAAAATTTGCCCATAGTTCTGCTGTCTATAACAAATTCAATTTTCATGTAATTTAAAATTTTTTTTATGAAATTAAAATGAACATATATGCCTTATATCTGAGCATCAGATACACATTATTTTGGGGGGTTATTATCATTGCAATATGTGAAGAAAAAGTATTATCTGAGATTTCCTTTAAGAGGAAGTCTTTGTTGACAGTCACATTTAGGAACACAGGTGCCAGAGATTAAAATAAAAGAAAGTATAGGAAGAAAGAAAATAGGGTGTGAAGGCATCCTAGCATGAAGTAAAGCCATTACCTCTAAGCATGCAAAGATGTAGCTTCCATTTCTATGTGTTCAAGAGGAGGATGTGCCAGGATAGAAGCCCTAGGCCTTTCCAGGGGGCCCTGCAGGTGCACCTCCCAGCACACCTCCAGGGCCAGAGAAAGCGAAATTCAACCACCAGGAAGCAGTGTGCTGCCTTTCCTGCTGTGGCTGAGAACCTGGTGCTCCAGTGGCACCTGCTCTGAGCAGCCATGGGAAGAGCACTAAGCCCCTTTGGGAAAGTGCTTTTGAAAACGAGTGTGAGTTATTTAACTGTGCTTCTCTGACTATCTTTCCTTCTCAGGTTTCATGGGCAGTTCAGTGGCTTGTCTCTCGCTGCCCCCATGCCCTTGACCTTTGCTGCCAGACCCTCACTCAGTATGTCGAGGATGGAGTTGACCGTGAGTTTAGTGGCCGGTTTTTCCATGACAGAAGAGAGAGGCATCTGGGTGGCCTGGCCTCTCAGGAGCCCAGCACCATCGTTGAGCTCTTCAACAGTGTGCTGCAGTTCTTGGCCTCTGTGGTGTCCTCTGAGCAGCTGTGTGATCTGTCCTGGCCTGTCCCTGAGTTTGCTGAAGCCGGGGGCAGTCAGCTGGTTCCTCACCTGCACTGGAACTCCCCAGAACACCTGGCCTGGCTAAGGCAGGCTGTGCTTGGGTTTCAGCTTCCACAGATGGACCTTCCACCCCCTGAGGGTATGTGCATGTGCTGAGGGAGGAGGGGAGGGCTGGCAGTAGCTTGGCTTCTTGTTTCTTCCTTCTCTCTGTAGTGAAAATCTGGCAGGTAGCATGCTGCACTGTGAAGCTCACAGTCTACCTTGACCACGAGCCTGCTTGTGTCTGCCTTTGGTCAGAAGGAGATATGGGGCTTAAGGAATGGGGCTGTTGGCCTCAGCCCCAGGCCAGTCTTGCCTGCTCTATGGGTCCAGTTAGCAGAACAGATGGACTGGGGCAAAGAACACAGGGCCTGTGTAGCTTCACCCCTGGCCTGGGTAGCTCTGCTCCCTCAGTTCTGTCTTATACAATATTCCTGTGAAGCCTGGCTGTGCCAGGGCCAGGCCTGCAGAATGCTGTGACACAGATTCTAGAGAGCAACAGGTTGGCTTGAACCTACTACAGCAAGGGCTGCTCTTCCCATGGGAACACTGCTGTGGGGGCAACGAACCATCTGCTGCTTGCCTGACAGCACCCATCACTCCCTTTGGGCCTCAGGCACTCATCTAAGTTGTGGGGTGTGGTCTTCAGAAGGTCTCACTGATGCTCATTACTCAAGGAATCTGAAGGGAAATGAATGACTTGGCACAAACCCTGAGCCCTGCACCCTCAGCTAGGTGAGGGTCCCTGTGGGAAAGTGTCTTAGTTACTTTTCTTGCTACTGAGACAAAACACCCAACATACACAAGCTAAGGGAGGAAAGGTTTATTTAGCTCATAGTTTATAGAGATTTCAGTCTATAATCAGCTGGCTCCTAGGCAGGGTGGCACATGGCAGAAGGGCAACAGTTCATGGTGGACAGAGGTAGCAAAGCAACAAGCAAGGGACCTTATGAGTGTCTTTCTGCCCCTTTTACCTTATCCAGACCAAGGATCGGCAGCACTCACACCCTTAATTCTAGTGCCCTTGAGCCTAGCATTCTACCGTGAATCAATTCCAGCATCACACACTGTAGACTCAGCCACCTCTGAAAAAGTCCACATATGAGCTCATGAGGCTTTGCGGGGACATCTAGACCCAGGTCTTAACAGGAAGCCAAGACAGCCTATACCGGGTGCTCCTGGCCTGTTAAATACAGTCCCTGGGCAGCCATAGGCCTGTGGTGTCATGGCTGCTGGGGTGGCCCTTCTGTGGGCCTTGTCCAAGGTGGTGGTTTACACCCCTGGCCTCTCAGAGCAAGCCGTCCTTTCCCTCAATAGCTGTGGTTCTGCTGTGTGTGCACATGGAAGCAGATTTCCCAACCACACAGTTGCCCTCTGGAGGAAATACAGAGCACCAAGAGCGTCTTTGTGTACTTTCCCACCTGTACTTTGGTCCAACCTGGAACTAATGAGGTGCTTTCTTTTCAGCGCCCTGGCTTCCTGTGTGCTCCATGGTTGTCCAGTACACCTCCCAGATCCCCAGCTCACGCCAGGCACAGCCCATCCTACAGTCCCAAGTGGAGAACCTGCTCCGCACAACGTACCGCAGGTGGAAGAGCAAGAGCTCCTTCCTGGGCCAGGGCGCAGGGCCCTCAGTCACCGACATTCCATGGGATGACATCATTGCCTTGTGCATCAACCACAAGCTGAGGGACTGGACACCCCCCAGGCTCCCTGTCATATCAGGTAGCTGGAGCTTGGTGCTGTCGGGCCAGGTCCTCCTGAGACTTTCCTGGTCCAGGTTTGGCAAAGAATGTTTACTGGATATTTTTTCTTTTCCCTTGGGTTCCCATCCTCCTTCCTTTGGAAGTCGTCAGTGACTTCTAGGTAACTTAGGAACACTGGGAAGAGCTAAGAAGTTTCCTGGAGGGCCTGGGCTGCCCTTGCTGACACAGGGTTCCTAGGCCTACTCCGAGAGGAGTCTGTGGCTGAGAGTCATTCCTGGCCCTTCCAGTCTGGATGTAAGCCTGTCTGGACCTGAGTGACCCTTGAGTATATCCCTTAAGCATGGAAGTCACATCAGTTAGAAGGCTTAAATCAGTGAGTTTGAGCAGATGTCAAGTGTTCACCTGTTGCTCTTTTGGTATTTTTATCTGTCCCTGTATTGTTTTCTCAGGTGCACAGAGTGAAGATGGTCAGATATGTGTGTATTTTTTTAAAAAACACTTGAAGAAATACGATGTTCCTTTGTCATGGGAACGAGCCAGAGTGCAGACACAGAAGGAGCTACAGCTGAATCCAGGATGGTGAGGTCTATGTTTACTGTGTGTTTCTGTTGCTCTTCTAAACTGTACTGCTCCCATACGAAAGGGAAGCTAACATCCAGTAACAGCAGATCCAACCCTGCTGTGGGGTGACCCTGTGATCATTTCTCATCTCACAGTTCTAGGGCAGAGACGCAGGCTTCTTACTTCATTTACCAGATGGACCTGATCCTTAAAAGTCATGTAGACAAGAAACCTGGTGTTGTATCTCACTTAGAAAAAACACCACCCAATAAAGTGTTAGTCTAAAAAAAATTCTAGTAAGGTTTCATGCTAGGACAAACAATTATTAACCGTGGAAATCTGTTCATGTAATTTGTTGTTACAGTAACAAAGTAAATGATATTTCAGTATCTTTGAAATTTCTTAAAATTTATACTCAAATCTTGATAAAATTTATTGTCATACTTGGGTAAAAAAGTTCTTTCCTTATTTGATTGTGAAATTTTAAAATTTTTTCATTAAAAAGAAAGTTCCTTAACTTGATAAGAGCTATTTACCTATCGTACAACGATCAAAAAAGAAAACAAACTCACCAAAACATGCTTCTTGGGTTTTTTTCTTTTTTGTTTTTGAGACAGGGTCTCGCTTTGTACTTCAGGCTGGCCTTGAACTCACTATGTAGCCCAAGCTGGCCTCGAACTCACAGCGATCCTCCTGCCTCAGCTTCATGAGTGCTGGGATTACAGGTGTATACCACCACACCTGGCAACATGCTTCTTGTTAAGACAGTAGAAACAATGCTTAGATACCAACTTAGGAAGTCCCTTTTGTCCTGGAAGCCCTGACCACTGCAGAGACATGGGAGAGATGGGCACGTATTAAAATCAGAACGTTTATTTCCAGATAATATAGTCAGTCCACAATAATCAACAGTCAGGGCTATAGGACTGTCCAGAAGTTAGCAGGGTGGCCAAATAGGTGACCTATAACCTATATAAATACTCACACAACATTTTTGAAATAAAGTGGTACCTCAGGTCATGAATGTTCTATTTGAGAACAATTTGGCAAAGTTTTTTTTTTGGTACCGGGGATTGAACTCGGGTCCTTGGTGCTTGCGCAGCAGGCTGCAAAACCACTGAGCTAAATCCCCGGCCCGCAAAGTTTTGTTTTTGTTGGTGGACTCTGCATCTGATGACAAACCCAACCACAGCCATATTTCCCACCCAAATACGAATGTGGCTATCTTTTTCAGAATCGTGAAACAAACTAATTTTGTAAACTGAGGTACCACTGTAGTTCTAAAACCCATAGGCATGAATGGACGTGAAAGGCCCGAACCCTTGTCCAGGGGAGTGCTCAGGACCCTGTGTGCAAAGGAAACCTGGTAAATGAGGTATAGGCTAGCTTTGTCATTGGGGGGTGTGGTACTGTTAGGTTGTCAGTTCTCAAACCATAAAGTTGGCATTTCTAATCAAAAAGTCAATAGAATTTTTCCTTGGTATTGATAAGGTGATACTAAAATTCATCAGGATAAGAAAATGTGTAGCAATTGCTGAGAAAGTTTTCAGTCTGAATAATGAGGAGGATCTACTTTACTTGGCCTGATAATCACAAGCATACACTAATGCTACACAGTACCTAAAGCCATGTGGTGATGCTGGAGTAGACAAATGAATCAGAATAGAAAGCCCCTGAAATAGACCCATATGTGATAAGAGTGTCATACTGATGGTGACATTAGTTGGGAAAGGATAGACATCAGCATCTGTTTAGAAAGGAATGGTAGAACCTCTCCATTATTATTATTTCTTTTTTTTTTTTTTTTGGTACCAGGGATCGAACTCAGGACCTTGCCATTGCGCGGCAGGCGCCCGAACCATTGAGCTAAATCCCCGGCCCCTCCATTATTATTATTATTAACTTTATTTCCAGGATTCAAGAGTTAAATGTAAAGCACAAGTATGTTGGCAAACAACCAACCTGTTTTATAAACTGGAATGGGTAGCAAGACACAGAATAGAGAAGCTTGAGAGCCCAGCTGTCGCAGAATAGTGGAAGCCTCTCAGAGCAATAGACAGTGTCTCCTGCTGCTGCTGTGTCGGGGGCATCGTGCAGAGCAGGGCTGCCTTCCCTCTGGTGCAGGAAGGACCCACCCTGGCGTGAGCTTCCAGGAGGGGGCGGGTCTCAGGCATGTGTGCCCAAATGTGAGTTCGTGTGTGCTGTGTGCATGTGCCTCACCTGAAGCTGTAGGGACCCTTTCTGATCTTTACTGACCAAAAGCATTTCAAAACATGTACTTACAGTTTGGGGATAAAGACTTTTCATCCTTCTGCAAGCAGTTTTCCCACTCCGTTGCTTCACTTGCATCACAAAGGGAAGAGAAATGCAGAGTGCTGCCGACTAGGGCGAAGTCTCAGTGCGGAGGACCTTGTGCGAGGAGCTTCTGCTGAGGAGCTCCTGGCAGAGTGTCTGTCCAGCAGCCTGCTGCAGGAGAAAGAGGACAACAAGAGGTGAGACTGTTTCCCTTTGAGTCCATGTGTGTCCTTCAGTCCACTTTATGCAAAAAGAGGAGATTGGCTGTTGCCTAGTTAAGTCAAGACAGCCAAGGTAGAGAAGGGGCAGCTGGGTTAGCAAGGGTTGTAGTGATGTTTGTTTTTTAAAAAGGTGAGTCAAACACTTGCAAAGAATAAGTTCTTGGAAGACAGGGCCCTAAGTGGTATGTTTGTTTTATTATTTGAAATTGATTTCATTGATTGCTTATTATTGAAAGTTAGCGTCAGATTTTTAGTGGGAAATGTGTGGCCAAGTCCCCTCAGAAGAGAGTGGGTTACTGACTCTACCTGTGGCCAGACGGAGGCTTCTATGAATCATCCCACTATGGACGGGTGGGAGCTGGCTCTGACCTTTCTCTGCATTGCTCCTCTCCCTCTCAGGCATGCTTTCTCTTGCACCCTCCCTTGGTGGCCTTATTCACAGATTTACTGAGAAACAGAACTAGAAAGAAAGGACTTTACACAGATCATCCCACCACCTCCACTGTTCTACCCAGCCACATCCAGCAGCCTCCTTACATCTATTTCATTCCCTCTGGCTCTCTTATTACTGAGGAGGAACTATCTTCAGTGGTGGCAAACCTATGGCCCGTGTGCCAAAGTGGGCTGTTCATTATCGTTGAAAGCACGAGAAGGTTCGCCATCACTGATCTAGTGCATTGCCTTTAATTCCAGATTAAAGGGGAAGCCCCTGATAAGTCAGCCCTCTCCTTGGACTGGGATCTCATCTCCCACCCACTCAAGGGTACTCAGCCAGTGGGTGTCCCTTCCTTGTGTCATTGCCATCCTCTGTACTAGGTCATGCCCATCAGTATACAAACATAAAGACATGGTAGCATTTCCTCCTCTTGGAAATTTTCCCTCTCTAGTCACCATGTTTCTGCCCCTTAACAATAAATACCCTCAAAATGCTTGTGGTAACTCAGCTTTCCTGTCCCCACAGCCTGTACATGGCTGAATGTGTCTATGAACCCCGATTTCTGGAGTGATCCATCCTTTTGGTCCTTTTTTCTTTGCTACTTGGATGCCCCTAGTCTCCTCCCAGGACCTCCCTGTCAGCCCTCAACTGTCCTGCAGGCTCACTCTTTGAACATCACCTCTGTATCATCTATACCCACTTCTCCATGATTTCATCCACTTTTACAGATTTTTAAATAATAGCAATATTCTCACAACTCCAAATATGCATCTCAAATCCCGAGTTCTCTGAACTCTGGACTTGAATATACTACTGCTTTTGAAATCTTCATTAGACATCTACTGGGTGACCAGTAGCCCTTGCAAAGTTAATTCAAAGTCATAATCATGTGTATCCCATGTCCAATTCCCAGTTTCCTTCCAACCAGTCTCCTTCAGTGATCTTCTCATCTTTCCAGCCACCCAGGCCCAATGACGTGAAATCATCTCTACCCTGACCATTCACAAATCCTATTGGCTGTACTGAAAATATACTCAGAATGATACCATTTGTTAGGACATCCACGGCTGCCCCGGTCACTGTCACTTTCCTTGTGGACTGTTTCGAGTAGGCTGCAGTCTGGTTTTTTTTTTTTTTCTTTTTTGTACCGGGGATCAAACTCGGGTCCTTGTGCTTGCACAGCAGGAGATGAAACCACTGAGCTAAATCCCCAGCCCTGCAGTCTGGTTTTAGTTGACTCCTCTTGATATAAGGGGTCATGTTACTCCTATAGACTTTCAGTGGCTTTTCTTTCACTTAGGAATTAAAGGCAAATTCTTTGTAAGGGTGGCCCAGTCTTGTCTTTTCTGACCTCAAGTCTTGTTCCTCTTGCCTGAGACTCTTTAGGCACTTCTCCCTTTCCAAGGCTGACCTCTTGTACACTCCAGGTCTCTGCTCAAACATCTCCTGCATTAGGCCTTCCTTGTGTGCCCCCACTTTCCCTGTATCCATGGCTCTGGTTTCTCATCTTCAGACTGTTTCCCTTGTTACATGTTCCTTGTCTGTCTCCCCTTACTAAAGTATAAGCTGCTTGGGATGGGGTCTTGTCTGTTTTGTGTCAGTGCTGTATCCTTGGTACTTAGAATGGTTAGGTGGGTACCTGATAAGTATGTGTTAGAATAGGTTTGCCTAGACTTATATAATTTGATGAGATTTTTTTTTTTTTTTTTTGTGGTGCTGAGGATTAAACCCAGGGCTTCTTGCATGTTAGGCACATATTCTCTCTCTCTCTCTCTCTCTCTCTCTTTCTCTTTCTCTCTCTCGCTCTCGCTCTGTATAGCTCTGTAGTGTGTCAGGTGACAGTGGGATATTATTTTGAGTTAATTTATAACTATAAGTGTCAATCCTGTTTGCTGCAGTCTGGTCTTAGCTGACTAAGACCATTACCCGTTTGGGTAATTCAAGAGATCAGAGTTAAGAAGGCATAAAACCAAAGTAAGTCAGAAAAAGAAGATAAACCAAGTGAAATAATTATAGTATCAGTAACATGTAGAACAAGTGAGAGAATTATAAGTAATATTAAGTAATACACAGAAGCAGTTTTTGGATTAATGTCACCTTTCTCATTAAATATAAATTGGACTTATAAATGAAAGAATTAAATTTTTTAAAAGTACACTTCTGCTTCTCAGTTGATGTCATAACTTTAGTTCTGTCCTTAGTAAAAGCGAGGGCATTTCCAAAGTAAAAGTATGTATAGAAAGGAAATGCATAATAGTTAATATTTTGCTTCTTAGTGCTCAAATGTTTCTGAATTCCATGATCACATATTTCAGATTTGAAGATCAACTTCAGCAGTGGTTGTCTCAAGACTTGGGAGCACTTACAGATTCAACTTCCCTTCCCTTCTACCTTCCTCAGACCCTACTTTCTCTTCCTCAGACTATTGAATCTGTAGTGAAAACATCTACAACCAGTAGCCCACAGGTAAGAAGAAAGTATATGTGGTATTCACATTAAAATTAAAAACTCAGTGTGAGGCTGGGGAACAAAGTAATGTTTCAGTTCATCATGATAACCAGTACAGTGTTAGCTTAAATGAGACCTTTTCTCAAATGCCATGTGTCAGTGTTAGAGTGACCCAACTAATTCTGTTTGTGCATGTGAAATTAAAGAAGGATGGAACTGAAACATGCTTATGAACAGAACCTGTAACCTTTTGCTGATATATGCAGTAAGGGCATTAATGAGAATAACAAAGGCCAACAACAGCAAGCTTCTATTTGGGGAACACATACTGTCCAAACCTTGGTATCACCCAGACTTATTCTGGGATTAACTTTCCCTGAGAAAATTAATGAATGATGGGGGTAAGTTCACAGAAGTCAGCAGCCTCACCCTACAGAATTTAGCTGGTCAGGGCCTAAGTTACTTTTCAAAGCCAAATCTTAACTAGTCCGAAATCCCAGGGTCTTTCAGTCTCACTCTCATTCCCTCAGTGGTTAAAAAAGCAGAGAGTTTAATTACAGGTACGTGCTGCTAGACATGTGAAAGTCATTTTCCTGGAGTGGATTTAGGAAGTCCTTCAGTAAGGGTGGAAAGCAAGATGATGTACTGCTTCCATTTACTGCTTTAGCAAATGTGTACTTTAAAAATACACATACCTTTTGACTTCTTCTGAAGAAATTGTCAAGATATTTACAAAAATTAACGTATAAAAATGTTGACTGTAACACTGATTATACTGCATAAAAGTGGAAACAAAGTGAATGTCCAAAGATGGAAGTCTGTGTACACAATTACAGTACATTCAAATAAATGTGTTCTGATAGACCTTGTAAAATATCTTATAAAAACAAGTGACACTGGTAGTCCATGTAGAATACAAAGAGAAACAGTCCATATCTAGATGGTACTTGCCCTTGGTATGTACTAGAAGAGACTGGAAGGCTGTATTGGATGCTAAGAGGGTGTCTGTTGAGCCCAGCAGGCCCCAGGTGATATTAGTATGTACCAGATGTGGACCCTTCACAGAGAAAAAGTCTTGGTATATTGATATCTCAAAGCTATTTTTGTTTTTTAAATTCAAATAGAATGCAAGAACAAAGGAACAACTGCAGCTGTCAGAAGAAACAGATACATCTCTGACAGAACGGTTAAAGTACCTGGAACGGCTGATCCAGAGTTCAAGAGAAGAGGAACTTGCCTCCGAGCTCCATCTCTCTGCACTGCTGGACATGGTGGACATTTAAGCAGCCTGACCTGATGGGAGGGCTTCTCTCCAGAAGAATTTCTGCTTTTACTCAAAATTATGTTATTCTCAGATGCTTGCTTGATGCACTGTTGGAAATGCGATTATTAATCATGCTGATAAACCATTTGAATCTCTAATGAGATCCCTTACTGTTTTCAGAACGAAAAGCTGTTGGCCATTGTGACATCTTTGATATTATCTGTTTCATGATCTCTTCAGACTGTCATTCGCTGGCACAAGCTCTGAGGGAGTTTGCAGCTTTCATTTCCATGTGTAATAAGTGATTAATTCTCTCAGCTGTCTGTCCTATGTGCCTAATTCATTGAGAGCCCCTGCCTGCCAGGCCTATCTAACTTACATTAAGCCAATAGATATATATGCACATAGCTGTCTTAATGAGGTACATGGACACGTATTCATGGATTGGAAGCAGGGAAAAATGGAAGAGTGCACCCGAAAGGATGTGATGAAAGCCCAGAGGCACCCCTTTGATTGTGTGGCCCAGTGAGAGGCCAGTAAGGTCAAACCTTATTCTGAGTGCTTTGAAAACCAGTTGTTGGAGGACATGAGGCAGAAAAGTGACATAATTACATTTTTTCTTAAAAATGGCAGGTGGCAGACAGCATGAGGCAGGAATCTTGAAAGGGGAGTGTGGCAGTCATCTGAATCAAAAAAGAGTGTAAACCTGAGTTTGTTAGCAGTTGGTATGGAGAAGGGATGAATTTGAGCCATATACAGAACAGTATAAGTACACTTGGGTAATGTTGAGTATGATCATTGAACCTAAACTAGCAGTTAGCGTCTGACTACAGTCCTACATCCTCCAGATTCTCCCAAGACTATTTCATGTCTTCTAGTTCTCTTCAAACTTGCATTATTAGGTAATAGCCTGCTTATTTTATTGAGACAGAAGCACTAAGAAGAGGACTTCTTCATCCCACCACCACATCCACCAGATCCACCAGCCAGTCCCTTTTCCCCTAAAACACTGCTTTTCTAGGAATTTCTCCAGTAATTTCATATTTACCAATAAGGACTTAATGCATTTCTTGCTTATTTTTTTTTGGAGACAGTGTCAGGCTGGCCTCCCAATTTGTGGCGATTCTGCCTCAACCTCCTCAGTGCTGGGATTATAGGCATGTACCACCAGGCCGAGCTCTTTTATGTCCACACTTTGTGTGTGCATGTGTGTGCACGTACACTAGAGATTGAACCCAGGGTTTTCTTACTAAGCTACATACATCCCTGGCCCTTTGTTTTTGAGATGAGGTCTCATCAAGTCGCTAAATTGGGCAGGCTGGGCTTGAACTTTTGATCCTCCTAGAATGCTGGGATTATAGGCATGTGATATTACACTTGGCTTTAATGCCATTTCTTAATCTTGATTTTAGACACTGATTTTCTACAAGTGAGGAGTTCTCACAAATCTTCCTGCAAGGTTTATCGTCCCCATACATACATCTACAATGGCTGTTGAATCTTGTATTTTTATTTCCTTTAGGTACAATTTTTAACTTTTCCTAGAGTTAATGATTGTCGTTTCTTAAAATTTGCTTGGTTTTCTGTGTTCCATTCACTACTTCCTAAAACTCAGCCCTAACCATAAATCTCTCAACATAGTCGTCCACACATAAGGTAAAGTGCTAGCTCAGCTTTCTTGAAGACAATCCTCAAGCTCTGTTTTCTGGCCACAGCTTGGACATTTGAATACTGCATCATATCTTCCTTGGTTTGCTTTCTTATATTGATGGAGCTCATGGTCTAGTAGCCTTTTGAGCTTCAATATCTAAAATGTTTGTATTACCCTTATATTGGAATAATCATTTGAATGGGAATAGCATTTTACATTGGAAATCATTTGCCTATGTTTTTGTTTGCTTTTTTGTTTCTCAAAAATTTTAAGATCAATTCCTATTCTCAGGTTTCTCAACTGCATACAGCATACACATATGCTGACCTCACCTCCTGGCCAAGTTACTGTGCTGGGCATTTAGTAGTGCTTTTTTTTTTAGGTTTTTTTTCTTCTAATAAACTGCCCTAAACATTGCTTAAATTGAGGATTCAGTGGGGCAGCTTTTGGGATCTGCAGTGCAGCTGCAATCAGATACTAGATGAGGCTGTAGTTATCTGAAGGCCTGTCTGGGCTGGATGTCTTAGATGGATCTTCGCATAGCTCAAGGTGCTTCTGTATCGTTTTCTCCAATTGCGTGGCTCAGGCTGGTGATGGGGCTTTGAGAAACTTGATGGAAGCTTGGAAGCTCTGCTGGGCAGTTTGCTAGCTCTTAGGTTTCTCTGCTTTTCTACTAGGTCTTAGTTGCCAGTTTTTGTAAGTCTTATCTTGTAGACTAGTGCTTCAAAGGAATCCTCCCACTGCTGCTTCAAGTTATCTGGCTAAGTGGGAGAAGCAGGACTGGATTCCCACACAAGTGTAGATGTTACCTCATTCCCTCTGGTTTTAGTGGTTTCAACTATGCTTCAAGCCCAAGTTCTCCCTTCACGTTCTTTTTAGTTTACCTCCTCTGACCACTAATCCCCTAAATTAGAAACATTTGGGGCCCTAAGGCTCATTCTAGAACTTGATTCCCTAGCTGATCTTTCTTCAATCGTATGATTTCAAATACCACTTGAAAACAGATGACTCCTAGATTCCTCTCTAGCTGTGTCCTCTGTCCTGAATACCGTTCTGCTGAACATTTCCACTTCAGTGTCTAATGAACATCACTGTTAAAACATGTTTCCATAAATGACGCCACTGTATATTACCTGTTCAGGTCAAAACTCTCAAAGCCTCTGTATTGTGACTTGGTAGGGTACAAGGTGAGAAAATTTTTTTCCCACGATCGTCTCTAGAAATTTATTTCTGAATTCTCAGATCAGATTTACTTTTTTCTTCATATATTATTTTACTAAGTTCTATTATTTTACCACTCCAGTAAAGTATCAACTCAAACCCTTCCCCCATGAAACGTCTCCCCTCATACAGCTTTTCCCCCCTTATCTAGCTTTGCCAGACTCAATGTCTGAGTGACCTACTCGGTTAGTGAATCTGGAGGGACAGACAGGGTCTCAGGTGCTCAGGCTCCTTTGCCTGCTTCCCGGGGTCTCCACGTGGGCACTCAGCTGGCCCCGAGGCTGGAAGATGTTTATCCGATTTAGGTGTGAAGCAGTTAACAGTCCTTTGCTCTAAGCTTGTCCTCCCCACCGTTTACTTGTGGCAGTTATTTCTTTTTTGTGGCACCAGGGATCGAACTCGGGACCTTGCGCTTGAGAGGCAGGCGCCGGAACCACTGAGCGAAAGACCCGGTCCTGGCAAAGTTATTTCCATACCCACCCTTTGTACTGCTGTCTTCACTCTTGCCGAGCTGGGACCGAAGAGGAGAGTCCGCGCCCGACACTGCGGGGAGGCGTGCGGGTGCTTTAACTTCTGCTCCGAGAGCGCAGCGAGGCAGAACTCGAGGGCCAGGTGCAGGGCGCCACCTGGCGAGCGCAGGTGTACTGGCCGGGCCGGGCCGGGCCGGGCCGGGCCCCGCCCCGCCGTCTCCGCCCCCCCTCAGGCAGCAAGCCGCCTGGCGTCCCCGCCGACCGAGGCGCTCTTCCCCTACTGCCCTCCTGACGCCGCAAGGTCTCAGGATGCACGCGACTCCCGAGGCGACCGGTGGGCCGGCCCCGCCCTTCCCCAAGGTTCCGCCCCCTGGGCCTCTCCTCGCCACGTGGAGTGTCGCGAGCCTGACCACTGTGGTAACCGGGCGCGCCCTGAGGTCCCCGCGAGGCACTCTGATTGGCTGCTCGAGCGTCGGCCCACTGGGCAGGGCGTGTCTGTCGAGGTGCACGCATGCGCAGTGTGCGGAGCAGGTGTTCAAGTGGGCGCGTCGCAGGGGCCCGCGGTCCCGGTGCAGTCATGACGGAGGGAACGTGTGTCCTGGCGGAGGGCGCGAGGGAGGCGGCGGGGGGCGCGAGGGACGCGGCGGGGGGCGCGAGGAGGCGGCGGGGGCGGCAGGACTCCGTTCACGCGCGCGCCATCCTCCCAGGTGCCTGCGCCGTCGCGGAGGACCCTACAAAACCGAGCCCGCGACGGACCTCAGCCGCTGGCGGCTGCACAGCGAGCTGGGGCGGCAGACGTGGACGCTCGTCCCCGAGGGCGAGGCGCCGGCGCGCGCGCAGAGCGGCCTGGAGGCGCACGCGCTGGGGCTGGACACGGTGAGCGGCGGGGGTCCCGCGGCGGGGCGGGACAGGCTCGTTCGCGGCTCCGCGCCCCGCCACGCGGTCACTGCCCTCGTTTTGTTTGGGGCACTTTAATTCGACGTCACTTTAGATTGACAGAAGAGTTGGGGAGATAGTCGTAACTTTGCTTTTATTCGCAAAAAGAACCTGTTTGACACCACGTCCTGGTTGTGTGCACCCCTAAGGCCCAGTCAGCCACAGACGAAGAGTCAATGAGCGCTCTGCCCAGCTCCGGCCACCAGGCCCTGTCCAGGCCTCCCGCCAGTGGCAGCCTGGGTGGACGTCAGTGCCCCACCCCACACGCTGTGGATGCTGGGCTTATTTAAGGTGTGGGGAAGTTGTGAAGGAACTTGCAGATTCTAACTGGAAAGTAAACCCACACAGCTGCCTTTTTTCTTTGCTGAGGTTTAATACTGTCGTCAGATACTTGCAGCTGAAACTCTAAGATTCAGTAGTCTGATCTGGGCTGTGGGTGAAGAGGGCTCTTCTGGCCCCACAGCGGGTACTGTCAGCTCTCATCTTTTTTCTGCCTTTGTAGAAAAGTTACTTTAAGGACTTGCCCAAAGCGCACACCGCCCACGAAGGGGCTCTGAATGGTGTAACGTTTTACGTGGGGCTGCAGGCTGAGGACGGGCACTGGACGGGTGATTATGGCGGCCCACTCTTCCTCCTGCCAGGTAGGAGGATGCTGCCACAGCCTGAGAGCAAGTTACCCTGGGTCATCCTTAAGGCCCTGGCCTGGCTGGTCTAGGCCAGTGGTTGCAAACCTATGGCAAGTGTGCCGCAGCGGGTGTTTGTCACTGAAAGCTCTAAAAGACTCCCCATCACTGGTCCAGGCTCTTGGTAAAGCAGGTGTAAACCCAGAAACACATGGGAAGAGAGCTGGGGATGGTTGCCCTGGGCAACCTGATGTTGGTGCCAGTAGGAGGGAAGGCACAGCTGGCTCAGTGTAGGGTGGCGGGCACTTTGATAGAGAAGCTAGGCAAGTTAGGGGCTTCTGAGTTCCATTGCAGATTGGGAAGGGCACTTTACATGGACGGCCCAGCCTATGTGGAGGCACTGTCGGTGGGCAGGTTGGTGGGTAGCTTGCTGGTGTTTGAGGAAGCGTGCCTGCTGTGATATCTACTGTGAACTAAAGGGTGGCTGAGGGAGTTCTATCTAGCAGGGACGCTTAGGTTCTGGCTGGTGAATGGTGATAGAATTGCAGTTGAGCCCCAGGACGGTGAACTGATTTGGCTGGACAAGAGTATTTTGCATCCTCTACAGAAAAGCTTTTAATATGGGAAGTTCCTCCTAGAATTTGTGCAGCAGGCCCCCTTTCCCCACTGATGATGTAAATGCATTGTTTCAGTGCCCTGAATTCTTATGCAAATACTGTGTGGGTTTGTTTCTGTGGTAATTCTGCCCTGGGACCCTGTGATGATGGAACCTCCTCATGGGGACTGGGGTTAAAGGGAGACTCAGAGCGCTGTAGCATGTTCAAGAAGACCAGGCTAGGAAAGAAGTTTCTTTGTGAACAGCGTTGTTCCCTCACACACACACATTTGCAAAGGGTGTGAGCTTCTAAAAAGTTTACAAAGCAGAAAATACAAATAAGCACTAAATATCACCCCGTCCAGGTTGACCATTTAGTGGTTTTTTTCCTCAGCAGTTATTAGAGCAAGACCTTGTCTCCCCTCATGGCCCACTATCTTGAATTCTAATTCCTCTTGGGCCTTTAGGGCACCCATGGAAGGCTTCCTCAGGGCCCTGTGTACCGTTTGGTGTTTCTCTGGCCTGGACCTTGCTATGGAAGTCAGGCATGGCCCAGTAGGCTCTGTGGGCCCAGTGCTGGGAGTGTCATCTGTGTTGTTGCTGGCACTCTCTTGAACTGTGCTCCTAAAGTCCCTGATCCAGCCCAGGAGGGCCTTCCTCAGCTCCATTCCATGGGAAGGAGACCCATGGGGACAGTTCCCTGTTTGGGTGGGATCCTCAAGAAGAAAGGGCCCTGAGTTTAGTAATGCTGAGCCCAGTGAAGACCATCCTTCCTGTCACACAGGCCTCCTGATCACGTGCCACATAGCACGAATCCCTCTGCCAGCTGGTTACAGAGAGGAGATGGTGCGGTACCTGCGGTCAGTGCAGCTCCCTGATGGCGGCTGGGGCCTGTGAGTGTGCCCAACTACGTATATGTACATGTGTGTGTATGCATGTGTTTTTGTGTTGGCTCAGGTTTCCAGACAGCTGTTTAGGGGTGGGGTGACTGAAGCTGTGGGATTGGGGTGATGTGAAGGAGAGCTTGGCAAGAGGGGAATGGGCTGACAGTTATGTGCAGGTTGGACTTCACTTCATATCTGGTGTTGTAAATAGGTTTCATGGTCAATCAGGGGTCTTTCGAGACCCACAAGCAATGTGAAAGCCACCAGTGTTTCATCACTGTGGCAGAAAAAATCTGCCTTCAATCTGGTGGCAGGGTGCCCAGCAGCTTCTGTCTCAATGTGCTTTCCTGGTGTGGGGCATACTCTGGGAGCTGGAACCCTGCACACAGGGAACTTCCCTGGGACAGATGTGTTGAGTGTGGGAAGTGAGCAGAAGGGTGGGGCAGATGGCCCAGGAGATTTTGGAGCAGCTCACATGTCATGAGAAGTGAGTGAGCTTCTCGTAATGATTCCTGTGCTGTCATGCCATGTTGGTCAAAGGTCTTTTAGGTTTCTTTCTTTTTTAGACAAATTTCACTGATGGCATTACTTTATTTTTATTGTTTAAAATGATGGTAATTTTGGGGGGGGCTACTGGGAATTGAATCTAGAGCCTTTGCACTGAGCTACAAAGCCCTTTTTATTTTGAAACAGAGTCTTGCTGAAATTGCTCAGGCTAGTCTCAAACTTGCAGTCCTCCTACTTCAGCTTGTAAGAATGCTGGGATCACAGGCCTATGCACCATGCCTGGGTTTTATTTTTTAGAAGTAAGACAGAGATCATTTTCCCACCAGTTTGATGTTCCTATAGGCACATTGAGGATAAATCCACAGTGTTTGGGACTGCACTCAACTACGTGGCTCTTAGAATCCTGGGTATTGGGCCGGATGATCCTGACCTGATACGCGCCCGGAATGTCCTTCACAAGAAAGGTAGAAAAATAATTTACGTTACACCAGTGTTACTGGGATTTGCAGATGAGAATCAGAAAGATGTACTTCCAGTGGAGACACTGGGCAAAATACATGAACAAAGAATTGATCAAAGTAAAAATATATGGAAATTGTTAATTGCTTAATTTCTTAAAAAGCAAATTAAAAACAATGGATAATTATTTTGGTCTCATGAATTGGCAAAATTTAAAAGCCCTTTCCTACCTCAGGGCTCCCATGTCCTGCACCCTTTCATCCCACTTCCTACTCCCTGCCCTGCAGTTTTGCAGACTCCTACTTGCTCTTTACCTTGCGTCTCAAATGTCACTCCTTTGGGATATCTTCATGAAATGTGTCCTGAACACCTTTCTTGAAATCCTGCATTCTTTGTATGTTTGTCACTGTTGTAATTAATTCATTGTCAGCACACTAAGTTCCCAGAGTGTGTTTCCCTGCAGCACTCCTGGCTCCTGTGTGGTGGGGGAACATGTTTGGGCCACTCTTTGCCTAGTAGCTCCCTGGGTCTTTTTTTGACTTTTACACACCTGGGTTGGGGCCGGAGCTTTCTCCATAAAATTTGTCCTGCTCACTGTTGCCATGTACTGTGCCTGACACCAGCTGCTGCTGGGGGAGGCTCTGGACATGAGCCAAGAATGTCAGATCTGCTCTGGCCTCTGCCCTGTGATTCACCTGTGCTGGACTGTCTCTCAGATGGGAAAGCAGATACAGCTTAGGCTTGGTCTGAGAGGGAGACACTAGCACGCCTTCTCATTCCCTCCTCACCATCTCCAGGCATGTGTGGCCATGGTGCACTTTGTGCATCTGGGCCCCTGTGTCTCCCGAGCCCGAGGTGTCCTACACATTCCCAGGTAGCTGCCTTGTGCTCTTTTCTGGAGATCAGAGCTGCAAACAGCTCTCTGGGGGCTGGACACACACACTCCTGGTAAAGCTGTAGGTTCCACTCAGCTCTTTGGTGTTTTGGGCAACTCTGGAACCCACTTCTCACTTGGGGTTGCAGGACCTGCAGCAGGCTGCTCCCAGCTCATGAAAAAAGTAGCTCACATGACCCTGTAGGCCAGTCTTCATGTGTAGAGCAGGCTGGCTCTGCTCACAGGAAGCAGATGACATGGGCCTGTTTTCTTCCTAGGTGGTGCCGTGGCCATCCCCTCCTGGGGGAAGTTCTGGCTGGCCATCATGAACGTTTACAGCTGGGAAGGCCTCCACACCCTGATCCCTGAGATGTGGTATGCCTGTGTCTGCCAGTCACACCACCTGCCCTTGTAGATGGGTGGGCTGGTGGGGTGGGTTGGGTCCCCAGCAGAGTCCCCTTCCCCCACTAAATCACACAGATGTATGGAATCAGGGTTCCCTGTTAGGCAGGAGGGAGGAGCACTGAGTCTGGCTAGAGGACCCGGTTGTGTGTTGTGTGTGGGATGATGTGAGGTGATAATAGAACCTATTGTGTGGCATAGAAGGAAGCTCAGGCCCTGTGAGGTAGACAGTAGCTCATACCTGGTAATCATAGAAAATCTTGAGCATGTGTGTAAGCAGAGTAAAGAGCCACACTTCTACCCAGCCTTGGTTGGCAGGTGACAGTTGCACCTGTCCTTCCCTTCGCCTGCTTTAGAGTGAATATTTAGCAAGTCCTGGATATCACTTCATCCATGAATGTTGCTGTGTGCATCTTTAGCTTTGGTTTAATGGAACCATACTCGTTCCTTAGATTTTTTTTTTTTTTTTTTTGTGGTACCAGGGATCGAACTCAGGACCTTGCGCTTACGAGGCAGGTGCGGTGCCACTGAGCTAAATCCCTGGCCCTTTTTTCTGGTTTTTTGAGGTGGGGGATCTCGCTATGTAGTTCAGGCTGGTCTTGAACTCATGGTGATCCTCCTGCCTCAGCCTCCCAAGTACTGGGACTATAGGCGTCTGCCACCACACCATTCCTTAGAATTTCATATCTATTGCCAACATCTGTTGATGTTTTGTAAACAATAGATGAAAGCCATGGGGCACTCCCCAGAAACACTTACGTGCATATATTTATCCCAGTGTTACAAAGTGTGATCAGAATATACAGTGAATGTTTAAATTTTAAAAATTTAGAGTAAAAGATATATTACTGTTAATCCCCTTAGAGTACTCTGCCTGACTTCAAACACTTTTCTCATCGTTTTTGCCACTTTATGAGCAGTTCTGGATGTCCTTTTTCTTGATGTTTTTACAATGTGTGTAACCAAAAATACGATTAATGCCATTGCCTAGTATATATAGGATCCAAAAGAAAGGTGGGCTCATGAAAATTTCATGATGTGTCTTCATCCACCCTATTCACCAGATCTACTATGGTGTGACTTCTAGCTTTTGCCCAATCAAAATGACCACGAAAGGTAACGGTTTTGAATCATTTCAGAACAACATTGAGGCAGCCACAAAAATACAACTAAAGATCTCATAAGAGAAGACTGTAGAACTGCTTTAGAAAATGGCAAGAACAATGGGATAAGTGTTTTCAAAGCAAGTGGGAAAGTATTTTGAGGGAGATTAATAACAATGTGTCTTTTACACTTTTTTGTTTTCATTAAGTTTATGGGTACATTTTAGGTATACAATATAATGACGTTCACCATTGGAAATTTGTACCTTTACATAATCTCTCTTGGTTCTTATTTTTTTCCCCCTTCCCCTGCCTTCCCTTCAACCCCTCCACCCCTCCCTATTTATGAAGACTGTTTCCATTTTTTCCCTTTTCTCATATTTTTTTCCTTTCCCTTCTTTCCTTTCCCCTACCCCTCCTACTTGCCCTACCCCTTTAGACCTTTTCTTCCTATTTCACATTACCAAGTGTACATTTTGATCTTATTTACCCTTTCAGTTTCTCACACCAGAGAAACTATTCTGTATTTACACACGTGTGTCCTGTTTGTTTCACTTAAGAGTATGGCCTCAGTGTGCATCCATTTAGCTATAAATGTTTCTAGTTTCTCGTTCTTTACAGCTGAGTAGTACTCTATTTTATAAAAAACCACATCTTTATCCAGTCTACTCTTAAAATTTTTTAAAACTTAAATATTCACCATGTTATGATCGTACCTCACCTACCTAGTGGAAATTGGGACCCCAGAGCTTCAGAGCCCAGACATAGCCCCTGCCATGTCCTGAAGTATGGTAGAAACAGGTGTTAGGGCCTTGTGGTAGGTGGGTTTGATGGAGGAAGGTAGGAAGTGATGGGCCTACCAAGGGAGGACAGCAGAGTCCTGAAACAAGAGCCAAGGGCTTAGCTCTGCGGCCAGGTTGGGAGGTGACACGTGGGAGGGCTGGCAGGTGCTGGGTGAGGGGTGGGGGTCGTGGGCAGTGCTGCCCATGTGTGGTGCCGGTGGAATGCGGTCACCTGTTGGGGAGATGCCCTGGGCCATGCTGGCATCCAGTGGTCCATGGCTGGGAGCCTGACCTGCTGTGGGAAGAACAGGTTGAGGGAAGCCTGAGAAGGGTGGTCATTGTAGTCACCAGGACAGGAAGGGTGGGTGCTGGGGGCTGGGGTCGGGGGTCTGTGGTCTGTGTTCCTATGTGGGACTCCGTTGGTCAGTGCAGGGCAGCACTGGCGCTAGGGTGCTGTTGGTCCCTGCTGGACCTGGTTTGGGGGTGGTTTGGAGGGTGACCGATAGGGGGTGGGGTGGAGGACCAGAGACCTTGAGCCAGTCCAGCTGTAAAAAAGCTGGAAATTGTCCCCAGGGTGTAAAATCTGCCCTTCGCAGTGCGTGGATGAGCCCTCAAGAGCACGGAGGAGGCTGAGGCCTGTTGCTCACATTTTGAGAGTAGGAAGCGTGTGGTCAGCATGGCTTCTCGTGACTGTCACTCACGCCTAAGAATGGAGACCCAAGGGGAGAAGATGGGGTGCAGATCAGGTGTGCACTGCCCTGCGTAGCTGGTGTGGCCTTCGCTGTGTGACTTGAGTAGATTGAGAACTGAGGATCATAACCCAGGGCACTCTGCGGCTAGGCTACATCCATAGCTTTTTTTATTTTTTATTTTGAGCAAGGTCTTGGTAAGTTGCCCAGTTTGGTCTGAAACTTGAATCCTTTTGCCTCAGCCTCCTGAGCAGCTAGAATTATGTTCATGCAACAATGCTCCACGCAGGCCCAAAGTTTTTAAAGTATACTTTAAATCACAGACAGTCACCTCCCCTTAGAACATGAAATGCTGAGTAGGAGGGGAGGTCAGCTCTTTGGGAGGTGAACATGCAGGCGTCACTGCGCCCACAGGCGCGTATTCACACTTAGAACCCCTGTCTGCAAGACTGACAGTGGGGCAGGCTGTGTCCTGGGTGCTCTCACTGACATGTGCTGTCCTCTAGGCTGTTTCCTGCCTGGATGCCTGCACACCCCTCCACTCTCTGGTGCCACTGCCGGCAGGTCTACCTGCCCATGAGCTACTGCTACGCCACCCGGCTGAGCGCCTCAGAGGACCCCCTGGTCCTGAGCCTCCGCCAGGTGAGCCCCCTGACCCTGAGGGTCCTCATCACATAAGACCCATGAGGCTCAGGAAGACAGGTGGCCCATAGTCTCTGGGGCTGGGGTCCACACACAGGGCCCTGTGGAGCCTCCACCTTCCTCTCCTGTAAGCAGTGAGAAATAAACAAGCTCTGGCCAGAGGGACCTGTGCCAAGGGATAGGCAGCTGCTATTGCCCAGTGTCCTGGGGCCATGGAGCGTTTGTAGGCTTCAGGATATGGACCCTCAAGCCCTGAGCAGTCCTGGCCCATGGGTATAATTGTGTCCTTGGGAAATGGCCCTATGATGGGGGAGTACAGGATGGGTATTGGGCTTGCTCTTGGGAAGGCACGGAGGGCGGGTGTTGGACTGCTCTGAGTGGCCCTGACATAGCTGAGCCATCCAGGCCTCACCTACAGTGGTTATTTGGTAAGTGTTTCCGAACCTGTGCCAGAAGGTGTGACCCAGTGATCCAGGGCTGGCAGTTGGGGGCCGCAACTGATGCCCTGCCAGTGGTTCAGGTGCCACCTACCCTCCAGGAGCTCTACGTGGAGGACTATGCCAGCATCGACTGGCCAGCACAGAGGAACAACGTGTCTCCTGATGAGCTGTACACACCACACAGCTGGCTGCTGCGCACGGTGTACGGTGGGTGCCCCGAGGCAGTGGGCCTGGGCAGCCGGGGTCAGGAAGTCTCATTCACTAGTCCACTCATGCTGTTTATGGCAATGAATACCCTCCTCTGCTGGGCCCTGCCCTTGGCAACTCTGAGGACTGCCTGGGCTGGATTTCCTCATGCAGAGGCCCTCTAAGCACCACCTTGGCAGGGCAGAGGAGGAGGCACAGGCAAGGGTGGAGTGAGTAAAAGTAGGAGCCGGGGAGGCAGAGGCCCAGGCACTGCTCCCTCTTAGAGGGCCCTGGGTGCACCCTGCATGGGAATGGCAGGTGGGGGGCAGGGTGTCCCTGTGCCTAGTGCCCACTGACACTGCTGCCCTGCAGCGGTCCTCAACCTGTACGAGCGCTTCCACAGCACTCGCCTGCGGCGCTGGGCCATCCAGATGCTGTATGAGCACATCGCTGCCGATGACCGCTTCACCAAGAGCATCAGCATTGGCCCGGTCAGTGCCCTGCCTCTTGTGGCCCCTGCCTCCGTATAGCCCCTGGGGGCCAGGGAGGCCCCAGGCAGAACACAGAACCCCTTGAGTCCTGTCTCTGGAGCCTTGTACACCTCCATGTGGGACGAGGCCTGTTTGGAGGATGCCTGTCCTCATCCCCTCTGCCCAGTGAAGCTGCCTGGCCCCTTTAGCTTGCCCTCCCATCCATCCCCACCACCTGGCTGTTGTCTGGATACCTGCTCCTTGAGGCCACCTCCTGAGTATTCTGGCCAACTGGGAGGGGTGGTTTCCTCCCCTGACTTCCTCCTAGTACCTTTCACAGATAGTTGACCCTCTGCCCTCTTAAAGAATTTAGAGGTGCCCAGGGTGGGGGTGGCAGGGCTTTTGTGTTTCATTACTGGTCTTTTCCTTTGGGTCCTAATCTTACTTTGCCTCCTGGGGCTGTGGTGTCTAGTGGAAACCAGGTGTGCACACACTGTGCCTGGGGCCATGTTCCCTGTGGTCAGGGCATACAGCTGAGAACAGGCGGGGCTGGCAAGGACTTGGGAGGAAGCTGGCACACTTCTGGGATGTAGCTGGGCTGGGGGTGGGGTAGTGAGCTGCAGTGCCACCGTACTGTGGTAGGTCAGCTCGTAGGTTCTCTGGGCAAACTACCTGGCACCAAGCCTCCCTACCTGTGGACACCTAGACCCTCCTAACCCTTCCACATCCTAAGATGCCTCTTGCTTCACTTTACCTGACATCATCCTGGGTCTGAGTTGTTTCCTGGTGTGCTAAGCAAGCTCCTTTTAGAGCAGAGGTCCCCTGGCTTGGAGGTGCACTACACAGAACTTGACAGCCATGTCTGTCACAGATCTCAAAAACCATCAACATGCTTGTGCGCTGGGCTGTGGATGGCCCTGCCTCCTTTGCGTTCCAGGAGCACATCTCCAGGATCCCTGATTATCTCTGGTGAGTGTGGTCGGGAAGTGGCTGGGCGATGGTGCTGAGCGCTGACTACAGACAATGAGAGGGCCCTGGCTCCTGGGAATAACCCCTGGAACCAGGAGAATTTGCTACCTAGCAGAAACTTCAGATGGTTCTAGAAGGTAGGCAGGATTAGGAAGCCTGTGGATGGGTAGGGCAGGTCCAAGTTAGTATGAGGAAGGCACACGATGGGGAGGTTGTCAGCCCTGCCTGGCCCCAAGGTGGAGCCATGAGGCCCATGGCAGGAAGCTGTGCACTTGGGGAGGCAGTCTTTGCTCTGGGAACACGATGTTGGATGAGGCCAGCAGCTCCCACTGCCCCTGTGTGGTGAGCTGCTGTCTCATCTCTGGGCAAGTGTGGCCCTCATGCCCATGAGCCAGCTGAGCAGTGATGAGGCTGGCGCCTGGCCTCGGGACCGGTGTGAACACTCCTGAGGGAGGCCCATGTGGTGTCTGGCAGTGGCTGTGGGTCATCCCTGACATGGGCTTTTCTCCTCCTCACAGGTTGGGCCTTGACGGTATGAAAATGCAGGTAAGGGGTGAGTGGCCTTGGCTGCTGGTTGCTGAGATGCAAAAGTGACTCCTCCCAGAATAGATCCGCAGTGTGTGAAGAGGCCAAGTCATCCTCCAGTCCAGTCTGTGTGGGGCAGGGGCAGGGGCAGCTCAGGTGCCTCAGTTTCTGGGGTTGCCACCTATTCTTGAAGTTCCATCTGCAGCTGTAGTGTCTACTCTCAGCCCTGTTTGTCAGGATGGGCTAAGCCACTGCGGTGACAGGCCTAGGCGTGGCTCAGTCCCTGCAAAAGCACTTGTTTTGCAGCTGTGATGGGAGAGTGGCTGTGGATGGTGTGGACCTGTCTACCCTGCAGTCATTTGGAGGCTCCCCCAGCAAATCACTGAGGCTTTGTTCTCAGCTCTTGGCCCTTGGGTGCACCCTAGTCATCCCTGCATCTGTAGGTAGAGGGGAGACTAGGTCAGTGGGTGTGGCAAGGCCTAGTTACAGAGAGACAGAGTGTTTGCAGGACATAGCAGATGTGTGTTGTGTGGACAGCATTTTTCCAGACCCTTCCTGGACAAGGTGGACAGCAAATGCATTCCTTTTTGGACAAAGGTGCCTGACTGGGTCCTTGGCCCCCAAGGAAGGGTTCATGAGAGAGTTCATGAGAGAGCTGATCCTGTGACCACTCTGTGGGGTGGGGGGCTAGGACTCTGTCAGACATTTCAGAGGGCCCTGAACAAAGCTTACTGCACCTGACTGACCCCTCCTGAACTGAAATAAAGTGTTATCTGGGGAACCAGACTCCAGTCTGATTGGAGGCGGGCATTTCTGGTCATCCTGTGTCAGGCGCACTGCTGTCAGGGAAACACAGGAGCCTCATGGGATGGTCCAATCCTAGAAACACTCTTGAGTCACTGTGCTGGCTGGTGGCCCATGGAGGCAGGTTCTTCTTAGGCCCTTGCCAACTAGGAGGGTGCACAGGGCTCAGAGCATGGGGTAAGGTATCAGCTGGGTGAAGACCTGCACCCCTCAATTCTGGGAGGTGGCAGTGGAGGTGAGGTAGATGCCATGATTGCAGCAGCTCTAATGTCTGTCCCTTGTGTGCAGGGCACCAATGGCTCACAGACCTGGGACACCTCCTTTGCCATCCAGGCTCTGCTGGAGGTACGTGACTGTGTCCTCTGCAGTGGTCACCTCAGCTTCCTGTGTGTGTGTATTGCATGTCTCCCCTGAGGGACATGGCACTGTGACCACACACTGTCCCTTGTTCTCATGAGGCTGGCTCCAGAGACTCTGTGGGTGATACCAAGGAGGTGCTGGCCCTGGGTACTGGGCTGAGTCTGGGACTTGAGAGGGCAACTGGAGGAGCCAGCCAGAGGGAGCCGGGCAGGGTGGTGCCGTGGGGGTAGAACCTTGGAGGCTGGTTGTGTTTGGAGGGTGCTAGAGAGGAATGAGGGGCCCCAGGGATTTAGCTCAGTGGTTTCGCCACCTGCTGCACAGGCGCAAGGACCTGAGTTCGATCCCCGGTACCAAAAAAAAAAATCTTCCACCCTAAGAGAGGAATGAGGGTTGAGGGTATTGTGTGTTGGGGGAAGCCTGGGGGTGTTTCTGGCCAGTTGGGGCTACCTAATGCAGGGGCAGGTCCTCTGGGGGACAGTTGCTGGCTTCTGTCCAGGGCAGTGTCTCCTACTCAGTCCAATCTCCAGTCACATCTCGTTGACTTTTTGTGTTGAAAGGTAAGTGTAACAAAACACCCTACAACTGCAGAGATGTGTGTCAGTTTGCTTCTGGTTCCCAGCTGGGGCAGAAGTCACCAGGACATTGGGGCATTTGGCTCAGCCGTGTTGTGCTGTGCTGCTGCTATCTTCCAGGCAGGTGCACACCACAGGAGTGACTTCTTGTCCTGCCTGCAGAAGGCACATGAATTCCTGCGGCTCTCACAGGTGAGGCGGGTGCCCTCCGCACCTCTGCCCTGCCCAGCTTCCTCAGGCTGCTGTTCCCGTCTCCCACCTCGCCCTCCTTGCCTCACCACATCGCCACAGAAGGACTGAAGCTGGGGTGGGAGAGTGGGTGGTTTGGTGCTCTGGCCTGCTCTGCCCAGCAGTGATGGGGCTGTGGGACTAGCCTCACGGGTGCCTTGCTGCACTGCTGATGTTGGGGCCGGCAGCACTCATCTGGCTCCCAGGTGGCAGCGTGGGGTCTCTGGTGACAGTGTGTCTCTGTGCTTTCCACATATGCCCCTTGGCGCTGCCCAGGTCCCAGACAACCCTCCCAACTATCAGAAGTACTACCGCCAGCTGAACAAGGTATGTGTGTGCCTCCCTGCCCCAAGCTCCCCCGGAACCGAAGGCATCTAGAGAGGGCTGCAGCCTGGGAGTCCCTGTGTTGGAGCCGGAGGTCTGCTTGAATATGCCTGGGCTGTTGTGCAGACAGTGGCTGGGGGTGGGGTGGGCGGCTATGGACGGTCACGTTGCACTCCACAGGGTGGCTTCCCCTTCAGCACCCTGGACTGTGGCTGGATCGTGGCTGACTGCACAGCTGAGGCCTTGAAGGCTGTCCTGCTCCTGCAGGAGAAGTGTCCCTGTATTACTGAGTGCGTCCCCCGAGAGCAGCTCTGCGACGCCGTGGCTGTGGTGAGTTCCTGCACCTGCTCTCATGTCCTGCAGGCGCCTGTGCTCATCTTCACCCCCATTGGCTCTGACTCGGCAGAGGGGGCCCAGGATGCTAGAGCTCATGCCCAGGAGCATCAGGCCTGGGCTCTGGGAACCCTGGGCTGGCCACACACCCTGGGCCGTGGCTGTGGAGCTGGGGCCCGGCTTGCCCTCGGCAGCCAGGGGAGGCTCTCTGATTCTGGAGACTGTAGGACCTGCCAACTTCCACGTTCTGGCTCCCACGGCCGGCCTTTTCCAGGGCTGGGTGTCCAAAAGGGGAGACTGTACTTTTGCATAAACTCCTTCCGGCACGCCATTCTCTGGAGCTTACGTTGGTCCCGCCGTGTCAGCACTCACCAGTGAAGGAGTGCCTCAGGCCCGTCACCAGGTGGCCCCACAAGGCTGTGGCTATAGCAGCTGCACTGGGCACTCGAGGGCTTGCCCAGCATGCAGATCAGCTCACTGTCCCCTGCTCCTGCCCTGTTGGTTGTCAACCCTGGGGTGCTTCTAGAAAGCTCTGTTAGGACCTGTGGGCTCGGAGCACACTCCATTCCAGAACTCCCTCTGGTTTTAGTTGCTGAACATGAGGAATCCTGACGGAGGCTTTGCCACCTATGAGACTACGCGTGGGGGGCGCTTGCTGGAGCTGCTTAACCCCTCGGAGGTCTTTGGTGAGTAGCACAGATCAGGATTGACATGGTAGCAGAGGCCCCCCAGGGGTCCCTGTGCCATGGAAGAAGACCTGCAGTCCGGGGGTTTGGGTGGGATTTTGGCTTCAGCCTGGGCTAGGTCTTGCTTGTCCACAGGAGGCCATCGTGCATCCTGTGTACCCTCCCTTGTGCAGCCCCCAGCACCTGCAGGAGTTGTGGGGCACCCTCAAAGGCTGTGCTGTGGGCTACTAGGCTGTGTCTGCATGTTGCCACCAAGGTTTTGGTCAGGCAGGGCAGGCTCTTTTCTCCTGAGGACCTTTGGGTACCTACTGTCCCCTCCTTTCTGGTCTCTGGTGTCTTGCTTCCCAGCCTGTCAAATAGGTGTTTGAGGTGGGCTGCAGCTGTCTGCTGTGCTCACTGTCTTGACTGCGCCCCCTCTGTGCCCTGTGTGGTGCAGGTGTGCAAGCATTCTGCCCCTTGTGGCTGTGTTGCTTGGGCAGGTTGGGGTCATGTTGGCACAGGCTCTGAATTCTGGGAGGCTGTCACTCACCGTGAGCTGGCCTGCGGCACAGGCCCTGGGTGGCAGTGGCTCTCACAGGCCCTGCTCTGCTTTCTTCTCCCAGGGGACATCATGATCGACTACACATATGTGGAGTGCACCTCAGCAGTGATGCAGGCACTGCAGTATTTCCACAAGAACTACCCAGACCACAGGGCAGCAGAGATCAAGTAAGGAGGGCCGAGGCACCAAGCCAGGGCCACACCTCAGTCGAGTCATTCTCAAATGCAAGGCCTTGGCTGCCTCAGCTGGGCAGCTGAAGGGAATGGCTCATTTAAATATGGGAGTGAGCTGGGCTTTCTGGGAGGCTGGTGCAGGAGGATTGTAAGTTCAAGACCAGATTGGGTGACACTTAGCAAGATCCTGTCTCAAATTTATTTATTTATTTATTTAATTTATTGGGACTGGGGATCGAACTCGGGGACCTTGCACTTGCGAGGCAGGCAGCGGAACCACTGAGCTAAATCCCCGGCCCTCAGAATTTTAAAAAATAAAGTCAGAATCCCAGCCAGTAGAGGCTGAGGCAGAAGGCCAACCTGAGCTACTTCATGAGACCCTGTTTGAAAAAAAAAAAAAAAAAGGACGGGGCTGGGGAAGAAGCTGTGGTAGAGTGCCTCTAGGTTCCACCCCCAGTACCGAGAAAACCACCCCCCAGCCTTTTCTGGTGTCTCTGATTTTGAGCAGGAGACAGGCGAGAACAGCAGTTGTAACAGAAAAGGGGGTTTTGCCTCACTTTAATGTTAAAAATGAGCGCGCACACCTCACTCCTCCAGATAAATCCAAATAAACGACAGCTAAGCAGCCTTTGCACACCGAGGGGCAGCAGATGCTCAGAGCAGTAGATGGGCCCTGCTGCAGTGCTCGGGGGCCAGGGCAGGGGTTGTCGCTGCCCTTCTCACCTCCCCTAGGGAGGGGCTGCCCACCTGCCTCAGTCACGGGTCACCCTGCTTGTTTGAACTGTGTGTAAGTAGAACCCACAGATGACTCGCTGAAACTGGTGGCAGCAGTGACCCTCTGCTCGTGATCATTGGTTGAATGAAGGTGTCACATTACCCATTTGCCTGTCATTGACACCTGGGTTGTGTGTGTGTATATGAGTGAGAGGGCGGAGAGACAGACAGACAGACACAGACACTGAGGATTGAACCCAGGGCCTTCACACTGAGCTACATCTCCAGCTCCTCTTTTTTAAACTTATTTTTTATTTTGAGATGGGATCTTGCTAAGTTGCCAGGGTGGGGTGGGGGCTTGAACTCACAGTCTTCTGTCTCAGCCTCCCAGTGTGCTGGGATTATAGCCATGTACCACCATACATGTTGATCCTGCTTCTGACATGGACTTATCCCTGAGGTTTACTTTACTCTTGCATTTGTTTGTGGAGCTCTCAACAGTCTGCTTCCCTCTCCCATGTTCTATAGCTGCTCTCTTCTGTACTGTCTGAATGTTTATTTTGACCTATTTTCTAAAGGAGACGTATCTACTCTGAGACCGTGGCAGGGTAGAATGGGTAGGAACTGTGGCTCTTCTGGAGCGTTCACTGGGCTGACTGCTTGTGTTGCAGGGAGACCCTGGAGCAGGGCTTGGCATTCTGCCGGCAGAAGCAGTGGGCTGATGGCTCCTGGGAGGGGTAAGTGTGCCCAAGCTGAGTGTGGGGAGTGCTGGCACGTTGGATGCAGCTGTGTGTGGGGCAGGGACCTGTGTGCTGCACCGGCTGTCTCTCTGGCTTCCTAGCATACCTTGCTCCTCGTTTGATGCCTGACTTTCCCTAGTGTGAATGCTCACGTGTGTGGGAAGTGCTGTGGCCTGAGTGTGATTGTTCTTGCTCACCTGTGCAGTAGTTGTGTCTAGTGGCTGGAGCAGATGGCATTGCTGTTGGATTTGTGTGGCTGGCTGAGGGCGGATGTGTGCTTTTCTGATGATAGCCACAGACCTGTGCTGTCTGTGCAAGGTGCCCCCGTGTGCCCAGGCAGAGTGCCTGTGCCCTGAACCCAGGCTGAGGCCTTTCTCCTCTGCCTCTAGCTCCTGGGGTGTTTGTTTCACCTATGGAACCTGGTTTGGGCTGGAAGCTTTTGCTTGCATGGGGCACACCTACCAAGATGGGTAAGTGCCGGACTGCAATATGTTTTCCTTTGACGTTTGTTTTATATATATATATATATATATATATATATATATATATATATATATTCATTGTAAAATAACGGGGTAAGGTTAGTATCCCTGAAAATGTGAGTTCCAGGTTGAAATGAGGTTGTTTTCCTAGCTCATGAGCCTTAGCCATGGGCTGCCTCACAGAGCTTTAGTGCCCAGACCTTCCCTACAGTGCCTGGTCCCACACCCAAGTAGGAGAGCTAGGATCCAGTACACTTGCTGAGCCAGACAGAGAAGAGTGAGGCCTCAGGTCCTCAGGTCTCTAGCTGCCTCACCAGCTTCTGGATCCAGTGGGTGTTGGGAGCAAGGAGTGTACTGGGCTTGGCCAGGTACAGTGTGGACGCTCCTGAGCATGTCTCCAAGTGCCCCTAGATACCCAGACTGCCATGCCAGTGAGGTCATCTGCTGTCCCAGAGCATTTCTGTCTGCTCTGGAGCTCAGGAGGAAGGTCTATCTGTCCCCATCTGCAGGCCCCGCCCCAGGACCCTAAGGCAGCCAGACCTGGCAGGTGGACTCCCTGGGACAGTGTCCCAACTCTTCTGGTCTCCTCAGGGCTGTCTGTGCAGAGGTCTCCCAGGCCTCCAACTTCCTGCTGTCCTGGCAGATGGCAGACGGAGGCTGGGGGGAGGACTTTGAGTCTTGTGAGCAGCGGCGTTACGTGCAGAGTGCCCAGTCCCAGGTCCACAACACCTGCTGGGCCCTGATGGGACTAATGGCTGTCAGGTAGGGGCTTGGGTTGGGTGGAGGAGGGACACTCAACTGGGAGTGGGTGGCCTAGGCTGAGTGCAGCTGTGGGAGAAGATGAAATGTGCCCCAGGGCTGCATTGCTGCTTAGCTGCCACTCAAGTACACGAGGCTTGACCTTCTCTCCTAGGAAACTGACAGCACCTTGTGCCAGGCCACAGCATCCACCATGTCTTCTAGGATCAAATGTTTCCCTTTCTGCTCACCTCTTTGCTTACGTGGCCTTGCTTCTCAGGGTTGCTGGGAAGAGGACATACAGGCTGGTCAGTGTTGCCCACAGACACTGCAGCATTTTAGGTTCTGTCCGTGCACCTGGCTGCACGAGGGTGAGGACGTAGATTTGTGCTGAGGAGCATGCCAGCCCACCACGCTCCAGCAGGCTCCTCTTCCCCCAGGCACCCTGACGTGGAGGCCCAGGAGAGAGGAGTCAGGTGTTTGCTTGAGAAGCAGCTCCCCAATGGCGACTGGCCGCAGGTGTGTGAAGAGTGCAAGGCCAAACACTGACCTGGCTTGCGCATGGGTTTCCACCCCACCTCCACCCCAGGTGCCTCTTGGGGTTCTCTGGGGACTTGGGGCGAGCAAACTCTGCCAGCCAGAGGACTGTGATGGTGGCAGGTCTGGGATAGACTGCCAGGTCCTGAAGTCCTGAGTGAATCTTGCTGTTTATAAATGAAGCTCTGGCTAGGAAAGGGCTGGGTGGGAGCAGCCCCTGGGGCCCGACCCAGAGCATTGCACATGGCCCTGTGATCTCTGCCTGCCCCTGGGGCTGTGGGGCTGAAGAGCCTCCTTCAGAGGAGTCTGGCGAAAGCTGGTGGGGCTGCTGCAGGGTGAGTCTGAGGGGTATGTGGCTGGGTAGGAGAACTGCCTGTCTGCATGCCCTCCTGGCCATTGTTCAGTTAGCTTTCCTTGGTTGTACTTGCCCTGGACTGGGCAGCCCCATAGCCAGGGCCACAGTCTGGGGCAAGCCCTCAGCCCTGGTGGAAGCTTTGTGGTCATTTCTGTGTCCTTCCAGGAGAACATCTCTGGGGTCTTCAACAAGTCCTGCGCTATCAGCTACACGAACTACAGGAACGTCTTTCCCATCTGGACACTCGGCCGATTTACCAGTCTGTACCCTGAGAGAGCCCTTGCTGGCCACCCTTGAGAGCTACCTGCCAATGGTGGGTGGGTGGTGGTGGTTTCTCACAGGTTCCATGCAAGACCAAGGTGTCTTCGCCAGGTGGTGGATGTCCCTGTCTCCCTGTCTTGACCTCCAGCCTCTCATTTTCCCCTTCTACAGGCAGGAATCTGGGATTTGGTTTGAACAGGGATGGGTACAGTAAATGTTAGACACTTGATCGTCAGTATGGGTTTAGTTCTGAGAATGGCTGGGGTGAAGAAGGAAACAAGATGAACCATGAGCCCTGAGGGGAGCACCCAGCACCTTCCGGAGGGTTTTCTTGACCAGTCACTGTCCTCGGGAGCAGCTGTGCCTGCCCTACTTCTTACCCAGGGTTGCTGTGGAGCACCCCTGGGGCAGGCTCAGGTAGGCCACTGCTCCTGCCTCTTTTGTGAGCTGGGCCAAGGGATGAGCAACAACCCTGTGACGCTGGTGGGTATGGGATGGGCCCTTGTTCACTGAGAATGCCTCAGGGCTTAGCAAACGTCCTGAGTTTGGCGGGATGCTGGTGTTCTGCACTCCAGCATCTTGACAGTTGTCACATACAGGGAGGCTGCATGTAGCAGGGGACGGGTAGAGTGGTCACAGTGGTTACCCCCACCCATAGAGCCTGCTAGGCAGGTCTGGTACCTTGCTGCCAAGTCCCCTGCCAGTTGTGTGCTGAGCTGAGGTAAGGTTTCTGGGGTGATGCCTCTTGGGCTGCACCCTGAATCCTGACGTCTAACTCTACCTGTCTGCTTGTATACATGTGGGCCTCAGGATAGAATATTCAGGTGCTGGCTTTGCCTTTGACCCATGTGATAAGCAGTCACATTCTCAGCCTCCCCAGTGTTGCAGCTGCTCTTCCTGGCTGATGCCTCCTCTATTTGCTGTTCTCCAACCCTGCCACTTCCTAGCTTCCCCGGCCTGCCATGCTTCCGTAGGAAAGCCATGTTTGACCCTCTACCACCCTCGAGTTGCCTCTCTGGGGCTGTTCCAGAGGCTTTGGGCCACTTTCTGCCCAGCCCCTGGAGCCCCAGCCTTCATGTCCCCATGTGCGACAGCTCAAGCTCTCCGGCCTCAGGTGCATCCTGCATTGTTCTCCACACTGAACTTCCGTCCTCCCACCTGCAATATCAGGACAGACAGATCTGCCTCAGTAGTGGTTGCTGTCCCCATGAACGCTCAGCCCTAACCAAATCACTATAAAAAGCATACCCAGTCAGCTGGGTACAGATGCACACCTATAGTCAGCACTCTGGGAGGCTGAGGCAGGAAGATTGCAAGTGCAGTCCCAGCATGGGCAGCTTCATGAGATCCTGTCTCAAAATAAAAAATAGCAAAAGGGCCAAGGATGTAGCTCAGTGTGAAAGCCCTAGGTTCAGTCCCCAGTATTGAAAAAACAAGCAGATCAAAGACCTTAATGTAAAATGTAAAACTATTAAAAGATAACAAAAAAACCTAGGTGAGACGGGATCTTGCTATGTAGGCTAGGCTGGTCTTGAACTCACTGTGTAGCCCAAGCTGGCCTTGAACTCTTGGCAGTCGTCCTGCCTCAGCCTCCCATATGCTGGGATTAAGGCATGCGCCACCACACCTGACTTGAATTTAGTGATTTTTTTTTTAGATACAACATGAAAGGCATCATCCACAAAGGAAATAATTGATCAGCTGGACTTCATTAAAATTTAAAATGTCTGCTCCGTGAAAGACAATGGGCAAGAGAATGAAAAACCATATTCTGTGGAAAAATATTTGCAGAAGACATCTGATAAAGGACCTTTATCCAAACAAAACTCCTAAAACTTAAGAAAACCAACAACCCAATTTTAGCAAATGACCCAAAGACTTTAACAGACCTTGCCAAAGAAAGGTATACAGATGGCAAACAGGCTTGTGAAAAGATGCTTTACATCATGTCATCAGAGGAATGCGAATTACAGTGGGATACCCCTAGCACACCTGTTGGAATGGCAGAAATCCAGGACACCATACCAAGTGCTGCTCTGGATGTGCAACAACAGAACTCTGGTGGGAATGCAAAGTGGAGCAATCACTTGGGAAGACAGTCTGGCTCTGAAAGTATACAGCCTTACTGTACTACCAAGCTCTCACACTCCTTGGTATTTAATCAAAGGAGTCCACAGGAAATCCTTCACAAAAACTTAGTTTTACCCATAATTAAACTTGGAAGCAGCCGCAGTAGATGAATGGATAAACTGATACTCGATGGACTATTCAGTGCAAAAAAATGAGTTATCAAGCCAGAGAAAAACAACCGTGAAGTCTCGCCAAGTGAAGTCAGCCTGAAAGGGCTGCATGCTGTGTGTGACTGCAGCAGGTGACATTCCAGACAAGCCACAACTGTGCAGACTACCCAGAGAAGTGGTAGGCAGGGGCTGGAGGAGAGCTAAGGATGAAAAGGCAGAGCGGGGCTTTATGGCCCTGAACTGCTGTATGTGACTGTAATGGACGTGTCATGTCAAGAGGAAGCCTGGTGAACGCTAGGCGGGTGATGATGATGTGCCAGTGCAGCCCACTGACCAACAAGTGGGCCCTCGGGTGTTGGGAGTGAGGCTGTGCACGTGTGGGAGCAGGGTGTACCGATTATCTCCATACTTTCCTCCCGACTTCTCTGTGAACCTGAAGCTGCTCTTTAAAAAGGCTTTTAAGAAGATTAGTCCACAAGGGAAATCAGAAAATACTTCAAGCTGGATGAAAGTAAGCATGATATCAAAATTTGTGGGATGTATCTGAAGGGTACAGTAAATGAGTGAAAAGTTTAAAGTCTGCGCTCTAAGCTTCTACTTAAGCTTGAAGCCGAAATAGATGGGAGGAAATACAGAGGTCAAATACAATAAAATAAATGAAACCAAAAAAAATCAGGAATTAGGGTCCATCACTGGACCCGAGACAGTGGTCCTCTGCCCCAGCTTTCTGTCCAGCTTGCTCACCTGGCCGTCTACCTTGAATCCACACCTCACCCTTGCCCCTTTGCCGTATCCCTGCTGAAGTAGTCCTGTCAGTGCTGCTGCTTTATGTTCCTTATTTCCTACCTTTACTGGGTCTGCCTGTGTCTGGAGGGGAGAGATTTAGATGGGCAGGAAGGCCCATCTCAGCCCTCATGAAATGCGTATGTTCCTTGAAAGGCAGTTACCAAAGTTGCCGTGTGAAGAGCATTTAAGTGGCCTTGTATCTAAGAAATTGAACTGGAAATTTAAAACTATCTAGAAATCTAGGCCTAGATGGTAGCCCAGTTAACTTCTGTGAAACAGAAACAAACGAGTCCAACGATGATGGGTCAGAGCACAGTGGCACATCCTATAATCTCAGCACTGAAGCAAGGGGCCGCAAGTTGCCTTAGCAACTAAGATCTCAAGGTGGGGGTAGACAGGCCTGTGGCTGGAGAAGATACAGGAAAGCTGTGGGGTTTTGAATTCAGGGGAGCTGGTAGAAGGAAAGTGATGCCGGCTGGTGTTGCCCTCGGAGCTGGGTGTGGGGAAACCCCTGACTTGTGTCTGACCCCAGCCCTTGCCCCCTCTCCCCTGGAAGCTCTCCCTCAGTGGGCTTGAGTTCCCATCACCCTCAACTGCATGAGGACCCTACGGGGTCACTGAGGCTAGTCCTGGAATACAGGACCAGCCACTTAGAAGTCAGTCCCAGGGGCCCAGCACACTGCAGATCTCGTGTGGATGGTCTGGAGAGTTGTCCCCTGCTGCCCATCTCTAGCTAGGCCTGCTGGTAATGACCAGCAGATGCCCAGCGCTCGCCTGTGGGGTGGACACATGCTGCCTAGAACTTGTTGGTAATTCTCAGCCCCATCAGGACCCCCAGACCTTACGGGGCCACCGTGGGGCCCTAGGCTGATCTCCCTGCCACCCATTGCTCTCGCATGCTGGGTGAGCCCAGTAACCACCTGCACACCAGTTTCCATCCGGATTCTGAGGGTCCCACTAGCTTGCCCCGTGAGTCAGGAGGTAATATGGGATCCACTGTCTCATGGGTACATGTCACTCGGGGTGAAGGCCAAATCCACTGCTGCGAAGGACTTCACACAATGGAGAGCTGACACCCACCTGCCCAGCAAGGCTGTTCTGTCTCTCCTGGAAGGTGCTTCTGGCAGGATCTGTCCTTGGGGTTGTGGGTGCAGCCCCACTGCAGGGCTGCTTGCGGGAGCTCAGCACACCACCTAGAATGTTTACCCCTCCGTTGTCTTGCAGACCCCCTGGTGTTGGTGACACAATCCACTACCCAGTGTGAGGTGTTTTGTGTGCACGGTGTGTGGCTCCACTACATACCTGGGGCCCAGCCTGGCCTGGACATCGGTTAGGAGGTGTCTGGGGGCCATGGGAGAGGTGAGGTGGTGCTGCATCTTTAAGGGTGGTGACGTCACAAGGCCATGGAAGCCCAGGTGGCTGCGGAACTCTAGTCGTGGCTGTTTCTGTGGGCTCTGGATTTCTACCTCCATGAGCCTTCAGGCCTGCCCATGAGCTCCCAAGGACAGTCATGGCTGAGGGCAGTGAGCTGATGACCAGGCTCATGAGTGAGAATGCGGACCTGAAGAAACAGGTGCGCCTCCTGAAGGAGAACCAGATGCTGAAGTGACTGCTCAGTGAGAGCTGCCAGGATGGTGGCCGAGGGGCCCATGACCTCCTCTTCCCCAAGACACTTCCCCTACCCTGAGGCCTGTTCCCCAGGGAGTGGAGGTGAGCGTGGCCCACAGGTGGCCAGACGAGCCCATGAGGGTGCAGGTCAGGGGGCAGTGGTGGGGCAAGGCCTTTCTGCCCCGTTTCCCTGGGAAGGCCTTTCGGGCCACAGTCCACACCTGGGGACAGGATCTGGCAGATAACCTGCTGAACTTGCCTCGAGTGCTACTGGCCTTGGCAGGGGCCTTGCCCTGCTTCTGTGCCTCTTCCCGTCCTGGGACTGCAGCTGGCCGGGTGTCCCCTCACACATCCTGTCCACTCACATGCCATCGGCCAAGGCAAGGCACAAGGCTGAGCCCGGTGACGAGGCGAGTTAGTGTCCATCCCAGTGGGAGGCCCTGCTGTTGCCTCCTGGGAGAGTGGGTGGGGGAAATGGCACTGTGAACTCGTTCATCAAGTAGAATCGACTCCAAACTTCTAGGGCCTTTTACACAGAAAAATAAAAAAACCCCCAAAAAACAAGGTTTGATACTTTCTGCAAAAGTAGTTGGTTCTGTTTTAGAGGTCTTTGGGAAAAGTTTCCCTTTCGGGGCATGGTTGATGGATGTCACTTTGGCCTTTCTTTGGGGTGGTGGATGGCCAGCAGAACCCCAGTCAGCACTGCTGGAAGCAGCTGTGACCGAGTGGGGTCAGCTTCCGGCTGGATATGCCAGCCACTCACACTGCTAGGCCATGGCGGGGACAGGCATGCATTCCAGCCTGCCCAGTCGTCTGTGACCAAGCAGATGGCTAGCCAGTGCCCTGTGGACCTTGCTGTTTGTGAGAGCCATGTGGCCAGGCAGAGGCCGGTGCCCATGTGATGACCTGAGGTCAGCCAAAGGAAGCTCTGGGGCCCTGTTCCTGGTTGATCACTTCCTGGCCACTGTCCTCTTGAGTGTACCCAGCACCAGAAAAGGTGCTCTACATCCCCCAGTCCTGAGGTGAGTCTACTGGGCTTGTGTGGGCCAGCGTCAGGCCACCACAGTGCATATAGAGCCCCTGGAATGAGGGGTTGCTCATGGGGCCTTAGCACCTGTCCCTTGAAGAGAGAGCTTGGACACCTGAGGTTCCATGCAGGGAGTTGGGGTGGGGAGCAGAGTTAGTACTACTAGGATGTGTCTCAGAGGCCTTAAGACATGTATTGCGTAGCACTGGGCCACATGTGACAGGTGCTGGTGCCAAAGTCATATTGAGTTGAGGTTGCAGGCACTGAGCCCAGGTCTTGGTGGTGATGATCACTGTTGGAGGCTCACAGCTCATCCCACCTGCCAGGTCCTAGGCCAGAGCTGCATCTCCCAACTGTGCCTAGTGTCCTGCCCTTGGGCTATCCCCAGGGAGCCAGGTGCCCAACCTGAGGCCACCACATCTTTCCAGTGTGCTGGAGCCCACTGAAGCATGTGGGCCAGGCTGGCCTCAGGCTTTGGCCATGTCTGCCATGAGCAGGAGGGCCGGCTCAGCTGTGGATGGTACCATCCTCCTCCCTCTATGCATCAGCCCATCAACCCTAGGCTCCTGATGCTGCATTCTGAACTGGTGCTGACCTCAGTCACTCACAGGCCCATGAGCAGGCTTGTCCTCAACAGGGCACAACCGTGGTCTTGGGGGCTGGAGTTTGGAAAGCCACTGGCGAGGCCCTGCACAAAGGGAAGTCTATACACAGGAAGGAGCTACCACACGGCAATGGTTTGCACATCTCCAAGAGCCCCATAGCATCTGTCTTCAAAACAGGCTGTGTGCTTCAAAGTCAGCTTTTCTAACATTCCCAACATGTGCTGTGTCTGCCTGCCGCAAGCCTCGGAGGCCGTGACCCTTCAGCTTGCCCTGCCTGCCGTCCCACCACCATGGGCAGCCCGACCCACAGGTCCTGGCACTCCTGATGGGTCTTCATGTGTGTATCTCATCTCTTCGGTGTATCCAAACGGGCATACTGTTCTGCAATTCGACTTTTCCGGCCACTGTCCGTGTCTCTCACTCCGCTTCTGGCTCTTGTGTCTGACCAGCACACTTTGATGCTGGATGCTTTGGCTGGGCCCCATGACAGACAGTAGCATGCTCTCAGGTCTCTGTGGCCACAGACAGTCTTGCCGTAAGCAGCCGTATGTGCGCCCCTTGCTGCCTGCGACCTTGTGCCATCTGGAGAAGTCCTAGCCTGGATTCTTTGGGTCCAAGGCCGTGTTCGTTTGAAAAGTTGAAGCAGACACTGGAGGCTGTGGCATTGACCCTCCACTGTGGAGGAGTGGGGTGCGTGGCATTATTTCTTCATTCAGCACCACAGATGTACCTATGGGTCCCTGTCAGATGCCTGGACCTGGGCCTCCTGGGTTTGGGAGCCAGTAGGACGGCAGCCTCTGGACACAGACTGGGCACTGGGGAAGCGTCCGAAATGGCTTATTTTGTTCAGTTCTGCAGCCTGTTTCTGTGTCCTTTGGCTCTCCCAGGGCTGTCGGGGAGCCTTGTGCCCCCTGTGGCTGCCGAGCTCTGTAACCTGCTGCCTTTCTTGGGTCTGTCCTGACATATTCCTGGATGGGGTACTATGTGGATTTTTGTCTGGTCTTCGTTTTTGTGTGAGCCCAAACCACAGTTTTCTTTCTGAGGATTTTCTTTGTGGGAATTTGATATCAGCATTATGACAAGTTTTTAATCTTACTCCAGAGTCTTCAGTTTTTTCAGTATTCTAACCTTATATGATGTAGGAATCATGAGTTATTGCGGAACTTGAAAGACTTTGTCACATTACTTGGGCCTGCAGTCCTTTGGGGAACATTTATTTATTTATTTATTTATTTAGGTTATTTTTGAGACAGGGTCTCACTATGTAGCCCAGGCTGGTCTTGAACTCACTATGTAGCCCAGGCTAGCCTTGAACTCACGGCCATCCTCTTGACTCAGCCTCCCAAGAGCTGAATGCGCCACAATGCCTGGCTAGAGTAGGAAAATTTGTTGAGAGAGATGGCTCCTGAGAGATAGGAGGGGACCCGAAAGTGGGTTGCCCTATATTTTTCTTGTTTATTGGCTCCTTTAGGTTTTCTTCTTATTGAGTCATTTAAAAATACTTCTCCAGAAGAGCTCTCCTTTTTTAGCATTTCTTTTTGTTTTATTTTATTTTATTGGTACATTTTCAGTATACAATATAATGACATTCATCATTGGAGATTTGCACCTATACATAGTCTCTCTTGGTTCTTATTTTTCCCCCTTCCCCTGCCCTCCCTTCAACCCCTCCATTCCTCCCTATTTACAAAGACTTTGTTTCCATTTTTCCATTTTCTCACATTAACTCCATTCCCTTCTTTCCTTTCCCCTTTCCCTCCCACTTCCCCTTCCCCCTTGCCCCTTTTCTTCCTATTTCACATTATCTATTAGACCTTTTAGTCCTGATTGACACTTTCAGGTTCTCACACCAGAGAAACTACTCAGTATTTACACGTGTGTCCTGTTTATTTCACTGAAGAGTGTGGCCTCAGCATGCGGTCGTGGTTCTAATTGGCACGCAGTGGTACATAATGTTCTTTCACAGTGTAGGGTGTGGCGTGGGGCTTGAGGATTGAGGACCCCTGGCCTCCCACACAGCAGACAGAAGGCAAATTTTGCAGATGAATTTTCTTCTTTAGAACAGTTTTTCCTTGGGAAACATTTTTGGGGCCAAATTAGTTTGTTCCTATAAATGTACATTTTTTTTTTTGGTACCGGGGATTGAACTCAGGACCTTGCACTTGCCAGGCAGGTGCGGCACTGCTGAGCTAAATCCCTGGCCCTATAAATGTACATTTTCAGACAATTTTTTGATATGGTTCTTAAAAATAGTTTCTAACGGGCCAGGGATTTAGCTCAGTGGTTCCGCCACCTGCTTTGCAAGCGTAAGGTCCTGAGTTCGATCCTCTGTACCAAAAAACAAGGTTTCTTAAATATGTATTTACTTTAATGCTAGGAGAATAAACTCCTGACTTGAGGATGGAAAAGGACTTCATAAGCCCTACAAGGAAAGTTAAATGTGACCAGGAACTAGGGGAACATGGTATAACATCTGTGCCGAGAGCACAGCATTGCCCTGCAGCTGCGGGAATCAAAGAAGGTCAAACACACACACACCTGAGCCCAGGTGCAGCCCTCAGGGGCTCATGTGAGCAAGGAGACAGCTGGCAAGGCTGCTGCAGCTTTGTCTTCATAACGAAATGGGTGGAAAGACACTGTGTGCTCCCACGCTGGGAAGTGGTGAGCTACCCTGCTGGCTACCAAGTGGCTGAGCACAGAGAAGTCTCAGAAAGAGAGTTGCTCAGTAAAACATATTCGGACGCTACCATGTAGGAGATTTGAAAAGCGCATAAACGTGGCCAGGGAGTGTGGTCTGGGCTCCAGGAGCTGGGATGGTAAGGCCGGGGCCCGAGCTCGTGTCTCACTGTGCTCTCTGCACGGTGGGAGTCTGAGGGCCTGTGCCTGGCTTTGACCCCTTCCTCCCACCCCAGGTCCAGATTTTGGGAGGTTTTCCAGTGTCCCTGATGTGGCCTCCCCGCTGCCAACGTCGTCCCTGGAGGACCTGCTGTGTTCACATGCTCCCCTCTCCAGTGAGGACGAGGCCTCTCCTGGCTGCGTGACCTCCTCCCAGCTGCCCTTCAGGTCCTTCCTCAGCCCCCCTGAGCTACTCACTCGAAGTGACAGGAAGCTGTCCCCACTTCTGAGCCCCTTGCAGGACCCACTGGCAGACAAGGCACCGCTTGAGCCCAGGGAGATGCTGCAGCCTAAGAAGGTGTGTGTCTCAGAGGGCAACCCACCGGCCAGGGACAGGACCAGGAGGAGCTACTACCTCAGCAGTACCTCGCGTGTGTTCAGGGGCCCTGATGGGGCAGGCCACGTCTGGGCAACCCTGGCCAGCCAGGCTTCTCCAGCAGCACAAGGGCGGGGAGAGTGCTGGGTGGGCAGAGCCAGGGCTGTGTCTGTTCTAACCTTTTAGGAAAGCTGATTTCTTATCCTCTGTTGAGTAGCAAGAGTTCTTTACATATTCTGGACACAAGTCCTTTTGGCATACATGTTTTGTTGACGTGGCCCTCTGGTCTGCAGCTTTTCCATTTTTGTGTTTTTGAGGGGAGCAAAGCTGTTGAATTTGATGATGTCCAGTTTAGTAATTATTTTCCTTGCAGTTAGTACTTTTTAAGTCCAATTTAGGAAGACTTTGTCAAACCCAGAGCCACAAAGATTCTGGCTTGTATTCTACAAGATTTATAGCTGAGGCTTTAAATTCAGATCTCTGATTAGTTCTGTGTTATTTTTTGTCTGTGATGTGAGGTTTGCATATAGACCTCCACTCCTCTAGGATCAGTGCTTTAAAAAGTGGTCCTTTCCACTGACCACCCGGGCTTGTCGGACATCAGAGTCACCCAACATGAGCAGGTGTCGGGACCCTCCTGTGGTTCCCTGGACCCACCTGTCCGTGACCACCAGCCCTGGGTGCTGCAGCTGTACCGAGAGGCTGTGATGTGGACAGTATGATGAGCTTTTCTCTGCCTTCTTTTTCCTTTTTTTTTTTTTTTTTTTTTAAGGCAGCGAGGTTTTACATTTATTAAAGTTAGGAAAAGCAGTATCTTCTGAGGAGCGAGAGCAGGGCACTGAGAGAGTTCACAGTGGCCTGCCTTCCTTTTTCAAAGTTGTTCTCCGTCCTTCACATTTCCACATGAAATTTAGAATCAAATTGCCCATTTCTTTAAAAAAAGGCCTGCTGGGGTTTTGACTGGATTATCTTGAGTCTGTAGGTGAAGCAGACCAATTCCCAAGTAAAGGCACCTTCAAAACATTGAATATTCTTAAATACTCAGTAGCATCTGCAGCAGTTCTCAGCCATAAATTATAGTTCTTTATACACAAGCCTTGCAGATTTTTGTCAAATTTGCCCTTTGTGTTTCACATTTTTGATGCTGTGATAGATAGCATTTTTTTAATCAATTTGATATGTTTCTTCTATCTAGTAACATAGTTGATTTTTTTTTTTTGGTATCAACCCTTGTGATAGCTAATTTTATTATGTGTCAACTTGTTTGGGGCTCTGTATCCAGATACTTGTTCAAACATTATTCTGGGGGAGGCTGTGAGGTTGTTTGTAAATTAACATTTAAATAAGCAGATTGGCCATGGGGTGGACCTCATCGGATTGTTGAAGAAGGCTTGAATAGACCCTTTTCTGAGTGAGGGAGAATTCCTCCTTTCTTTTTTTTTTTGGTACTGGGGATCGAACTTGGGACCTTGCGCTTTCGAGGCAGGCAGCAACTGAGCTAAATCCCCAGCCAGAGAATTCCTCCTTTCTGACAGCCCTCTTAGCTCTTTCTGAATCTCAAGCCTGCTGATTACAGATCTTGCTACTTTCCAGTTATAAACCTGTGAGCCAATTCCTTATAATAAATCCTTCTTCAAGACAGGTGCGGTAGTGAATACCTGCAATCCCAGCCCTCTGGGAGGCTGAGGCAGGAGAATGTCAAATATGAGCCAAACCTGGGTAACTTAGCAACTTAGACCTTGTCTCAAGATAAAAGAAGGTCTAGGGATGTAGCTCAGTGTGAAGACCTTGGGTTCACTCTCCAGTACCACATGTACACACACACACACACACACACACACACACACCATTGGTTCTGTTTCTCTGGAGAACTCTGACTAACACAGTTCTATATCCTGCAACCTTACTAAACTCATTTATTTGTTCTAAGATTGTTTTGGTAAATTCCCTAGCATTTTATACATAGATGATTGTGTTATGAGTGAAGATAAGTTTATTTCTAATTTTTATGCCTTTTATTTTCTTTTTTTGTAACGGTGGGTGTCAAATCCAGGGTTTTGTGCCTGCTGGGCAAGTGCTCTACCACTGAGCTGCACCCCCAGCCCCAATGCATCTATTGCACTAGCCAGAACCCCTAGATCAGTGATGGTGAACCTTTTAGAGCTTTTAATGATAGCAAACAGCTGGCTGCAGCACGAGTGCCGTAGATTTGGCACCACTGCTCCAGACTAGTGCTGAGTAGAAGTGGTGATGGTGGATATCCTTGTCTTTTCCTGATTCAGGGGGAGGCTGCTTAGTCTACCACCATTAAGTCTGAGGTTAGCTAAGGCTTTGGTAGGTGAATGGATGTTGGATTTTGTTAAATGTTTTTTCTGCATCTGTTGAGATGAACATTTGGTTTTCATTTGCAGTCTGTTAATATGATGTATTAGTCAGTTTTGCATCACTATATTGACATACCCAATACAAGCTACTTACAAAGTAAAGAGAGGTTTATTTTGGCTCAGGGTTCTGGAGGTTCAGGTCCAAGACTGGGTGATGTCCTTGTGTTTGGGGCAGCACATGGCAGGAGGATATTTTAGAGCTGGGAGTCAACATCTTGAGCCAGGAAGCAGAGAGAGAGAGAGAAAGAGAGAGAGAGACCAGTGTTTACAGTGACCTCTGGGGGCTAGGGGCCTCCCACTAGGCCCCATCTCTTCAAAGCCCACCCTAGGGGCCCAGCCTTTGCATATGGATATTGCCCAGACCACAGCATATGGCAAATCAAATTGATTGATTCTTGAATATTGAGGCAACCTTGCATTTCTGAGACAAATCTCATTTATTGTGATAAACATTTTTTGTATTGTTGGATTCAATTTGCTAAAATTTTGTTAAGAATTTGTGGGATCCATGAGGGATATGGTTCTATCATTTTCTTATAATGTCATTTTCTGGCTTTGATATCAGATTGTTGACCTCAAAGAATGAGATGGGTCCTGGGGCCCAGCCCCTTGCTCCACCCTTGTGGCCAGAGGTCCTGGGTCTCTAGGCTGGGGAGGGACAGCTCAAAAATGCCTGAGGCCACAGGGTACCAGCGGAGGCTTCTCTGTGTGGTGTGGTGTCCTCTGTGTGGGCCCTGAGTGCCTTTGGGTGGGCTGGGGCCTGGGGCTAGCCCCACCCAGACACAGCCATCGAAGCCTGCACTGCTGGCCGCTCTCAGGGGCTCACCGGCTGGCAGCTCCGGAGGGGACAGACCCTGCTTGGAAAAGCCCTGAGGCTTCAGAAATGGGTGTGGATGCAGGTGAGGGTGTTGTACGTCCCTCAGGGTGGAAGCACAGTGCTCAGGAGAATGACTCGGAGTGGCATGTTCTGGGGAGCAGTGACATGGGCTGTGGAGGAAAGGGAGGTGGGGTGAGGGGCTCCCGAGCACCTCAGTCTACAAGGGCTTCATGACAGAGGTCGAATTCTGCCCACTCCAGCCCTGCTCTTTTCTTGCTTTGACTTCTCTCAAATTCAGATGGCTAATTTTTCAAAGAGCACATGGTTTTGAAAGATATCAATGCAGATGGCATTGTTTGATGAATGACTCTAAAAATGACAGTAGCTGTGGCGGGGAGGGGTCTTTGGAAGCAGATGGACAAGGGACCCAAGTGTCCCAAGTAGTCTGCCAGCCCCACAGTCTTCGCCACAGACCTGGAAAAGATGGACAGAGTTCAGCCTAGCTGAACTCCCTTAGCTGCCTGATGTCTCCTGGGGCCACAGCACACTCTGTCCATCCCGAATTCCCTGGTGGCAGGGGGCTGCTCCAGGACCAGCAGTGGTGGCCCGGCCCAGCCAGCAGCAGGCCAGGGCTCCCCAGCATCTAGATCATTCCTACACATCTCCCACCAGGGGGAGCCCCCGGGAGCACTCTGAGAACAGTTCTCTCTCTTCAGCCCCAAACACCAGTTTTCTTGTAGATTTGTGTTTGTCGTTACAGTCGGGCTGGGAGGGGTGGCCTGTGAGCTGTGTCCGGGTCCTCACCCACCATAGAGATCCAGAGCTTCGCAAGCACAGAGAGGGACGGCTGCATCGTTGGGGAGATCGCCTTCCAGCTGGACTGGCGCATCCTGGCCTACGTCTTCCCAGGTGGACCCGGCTCTATGGCTTCACCGTGTCGTGTCCAACATCCCTGAGAAGATCAAGCAGGTGCGTCGCGATGGTGCCCCAGTGAGGGCGGGGTCCGAGGAGGGCTCTGGGCTCTGTGTGTCCAAGCTCTGGGCCCAGCAGGCCCAGGGGTGTGAGGCCTCCGTCTCCCCTCTCAGTGGCCCAGATGGCCCTGGTGGGCAGCCTGGCTGCCCTGACATGGCCCTGCACAAACCGCCTGGCCACAGACCTCCATCAAGTCCCTGGATGGCTCGGTGGATGAGAAAAAGCTGTGTGAACTGACGCACCGCTACCTCACGCTGACAGCATGGCTGGAGAAGCTGGGCTACAGATGTGAGGTGCACCCAGTGTTCACTGAGTTCCTCATCAACACCTATGGCATCCTCAAGCAGCGGCCTGACCTGCGCGCCAACCCTCTGCACAGCAGCCTGGCTGTGCTTCGGAAGCTGGTCATTGACATTGTGCCGCCCAAGTTCCTGGGCGACTCCCTGCTGCTGCTGAACTGCCTGTGTGAGCTTGCCAAGGAGGACAGCAAGCCACTCTTTGCCTGGTGAGCCAAGGCCTTGCCCTTCCTGCAGTAAACGTATTTGTTCTGAACCAGGGCCCGCCGTGCCTCCTGCGTGTCCCTCTGGGGCTGCCGTGTGGTGCTGGCGGTGGGAGGGCAGCCCCCATGGCCTGCACCGCCCTGAGCCCAGCCGGATGCCTGCCTCAGTGCACCAGGGCCTCACTGAAGCGTGTCGGCTTGTCTGCCTCACCTCTGGCTCTTTGAGGGCAGGGAGAGGGCTTGGGCTTTGCTGGCCGCAGGAGCTGGAAACCTTGGGAGTCTTGGTGCCTCCTCTGAAAGGACCAACGAGTCCTGACCCCTTAGGGTTCCCTAAAGACAGAGCCAAAGCAAGGGTTCGGGAACTGGCAGGACGGCTAGGAACAAATAGGGCTGGTGCAGAGTGGAAATGCAGCCCTTTGGTCAGATGTTTGAAATTCCAGGGTGTGACAGCCAGGACTCAGTCCCTGTGACAGCATGGCTTGGCCCTGGGCAGGCAGCTTCTCCAGAGCGAGAATCAGGGAAGCAGCATCGTGGGAAGGGGAGCTGGTCCACCCTGGGGACACAAGAGACCAGAGCGGCAGGAGGTGGAGTTTGCTGATTGGTCCCCACCCTACTGTCACACCTCTGCCTGAACGTGCGTCTGTGTCTGGCCACCCCAGCATTCCCCACTGTCCTCTGAGTGCCTGTGATGCCTCTGTCTCACTCATGAATGGTTCAGGATCAGAAGCCTGAGCAGACCCCTGCTGGAGGAAGCCCAGGCTCCTGGGGGACCATGTGGTGTCCTACATGAGTCCTAGTGCCCGGGAGTGGGGGCCTGGCTGACTGCAGTCGCTTGTGCTCCTCAGAGCCTCCAGGTCAGCACTGTGGGTCACATGGCCCTTTGGCGGTCCCTGTTCATGTGGGCAGAGTGGCTGGGCATTGAGGGTGACCATGTCAAATCAAGGTTGCACCAGGAGCCACATAGGGGGAGAAGCTTGGAAGTGAGGTGAGCACATCCACATGGGGGATGTACCAGGAGCCAAGTGGGAGGGCAGGCTGTGGTGTGAGAGTGGCCGCTCCACAGCAGAGCTGCATCAGGAGTCATGGGGTGGGGAAACTGGGCAGAGGGTGACCAGGTCCACACAGGAATGCACCGGGACCCATGTTGCTAAGAAACCAGGCAGCGAGGGTGACTTTGTCCATGTGAAGCTGCTCCAGGAGTGAGTCATTTGACCCAAGCAGTTGGGCACATTCACAGTAGAGCTGTACCAGGAGCCGTGGGGGTGGAGAAAGGGCAAGGAGAGTGATTGCGTCCCAACAGGTTGAACCGGAAACTCTGAAAGTGGAGAAGTTAGTTAATGACCATGTTGCCATGGGCTCACCATGGGAGCCTTCTGTTGGAGAATGAGGACAGTGAGGATGACCGCACCCACACAGGCTGCACTGGGAGCCATCGGGGTGGAGACGCTGGGCAGTAAGAATGACAATATCCACATGTGGCCAGACCGGAAGATGTGGGTGAAGAAAAGGGTGAACAGTTCCACACAGGTCTGCAGTGGAGCCATGCACGTGGAGAAGTTGGACAGTGACAGTGACCACGTTCTCAGGTGGCTGCACCATGAGCCATCTGGTCCAAGAAGACTGACAGTAGTGGTGATCATGCCCACACTAGGACATCAGCAGGAGCCATGTGGGCTTACAAGTCTGGCAGTGAGGGTGACCATGTCCACATGGGGCTGCACCAGGGGCTGTGCTGGTGGAGAAGATGGGCAATTCTGGTTCCCACATCTATATGGGGCTCTACCAGGAGCTCCTGATGGGTCCTCCAGCACAGGGTGCTGAGACTTCCCGCATTTATTCTTGTTGTAAGAGTGAGAGGAGATGGGACATGGTGAGGGGCCCTGTGGTGACTCAAGCCAGCCTGGAAGGTGGAGCTGACGTGGCTGGGTCCTGGAAGCATCCTGCTTTGTAGATGAGGTGGGCGCACAGTCTGGGCCTGGCTTGTCTGCAGCCCCAGCCAAGTCTAAGCTGTGGGGTTGAGCTCCACCTGCTAGCAGCTTCGTGGACTTGTTGGGGATTCTTCTGTGCAGGAAATTGGTCTGTTCTCCACATTTATTTACTGAGCCTGTCATTTATTCACAGACTCCGGGGTTTTTGCTTACATTTGAGTTGTGATCCAGTGCTATTCACCCCTGCATTCAGTTGGTTCCAGCTTTGAGGGTACCTTCGGTGTTCTCCTGTGTCCACTGACTGCCTTGTGAGGGCTGGTTGTTGGAGTCTGTTTTCCAAGCACCTCTGGACTTCCTGGTCAGATGCTTCAGGCCCATCTTGGGTCCTCCTGATGTCCTAGAGTTGGGAGTCCTGGTCCCTTCCCTGGAGAAAGTTAAAGTGCCAGTTAGTTGCATTGCTTTCCCTATAAATGGTGGGGCCACCTAGGACTTCTATTCAGAGCTATTTATAACACCCACTAGTTTCCATAGTCTCAGAACTGTCCCCAAGAACCAGGGCTGGCATCATGCACCCTATCTCTGTTGTGTGTCTGGTGTTCCTAGCCCTAGCCCAGGCCCGACTCCATGGGGAACACGGCCCAACTGTGCTGGGCCCTCCTGACCACTGTTTCTGGGCCCTGAAGGCTGTGGTCACTCACTGTGGGTGCAAGAATGGAGGTGTGGGGCTTCTGGGCCACCCCCAGTATGCATAGCCTTTCCTTGCACCCACCACTGGGTGTGTTCTGGATGCCCAGCGCCATAGGATCCTGGGTGAGGCAGCTCTGCTGCCATGAGCAAAACCACAGCCTGGGGACTCAGGCCACATGCATTTGTCATTGTGCGTCCTGGGGGCTGCTGGTCTGAGCCAAAATGTGTCACGGGGCTGGTTCCTCCAGAGGCCCCTTCCTTTGGCTGGAAGACAGCGTCTTCTCCCCGCACCCTTGAGCAGTCATCCTTGGTGTGGGGCTGTGTGCTGGCTCCTTAAAGAACACAGGTGTGTTGGATTAGGGAACTCATTTTAACTGAATCAGTTCTTTAAATCAGTTTCATCTCCGAATATGGATGTGTCCTGAAACCATGGGTATTAGGGGTTCAGCACAGGGATTTGGGGAGGACACAGTTCAGCCCATGAGAGACCCGTCCTCTCCTCCCAGCCTCTAGATGTGGGGCCCTGGCTGGGGGACTCTGCCTCTGCTCCTGAGAGTCTCAGCTCGTGCAGCCCCTCCTCCCAGGCCCATGAGCTGCTGCAGGGGAGATGGGGTCTCCAGGGAAAAAAAAGATCTCACTGGGGCCCATGGCTGCCCCTGCACCATTGTAGGGAGATGGAGCCTCACATCTTTGGTTGTGGGGCCCCTCCTGGGAGAGATGCCTGTGGAGCTTTAAGGGCACCCGACATGAAGTTTGGGGTGAGGCAGGGCAGCAGGGCTGGGGTGTCCCCACACAGCTGGGATGGCAGGGTTCTGGTGTCCCTATGTGGCCTGGACAGCCACGTGATGTGGGCCCCATGCAGAAGGAAATACCAGCTCCATTCTTTCATTCATTCATTTTGTTTTTGTGAAACTGGGGGTTAAACCCAGGGCCTCGCGCTGAGCGATCCCCAGCCCTATTTTAGAATTGTGAGACAGAGTCTTGCTGAGTTGGCCAAGAGGGACTCAAATTCATGATCCTTCTGCCTCCGCCTCCTGGGTAGCTATATACAAAAACCACTCACCACACCAGTGTGTACCGTGTGCAATCGCTAAGCTGCACACCCCAGCAACGCCCACCCAGGCAGAAACCCAACACTTGCTCACTGAGCACGAGCACCCACACACGTGTGCACCCTGACTCCCGGGCACACTCCTCACTCACACTCACGCATACTGTCCCCATGCCCTTCGTGCTGGGCTGACTTCAGTGGAGGGCCTGTGCTAGGAGACTCGGGCCAGGGTCACCAGGGGGGTCAGTGGGTGGCCCTGGGCCAAGCTGAGACGGAGCCCCAGCTGGTGATGCCCCTCAGCCAGACTGTACCTCTCCAGGGCCTTTGTGGTCCTCAGCTGCAGGCCCCCAGTCCAGTCTCGTGCTGCTGGGGAGCCACCCCCCCCCCAACCCTGGTTAATAAGAAGCCCACTGTGGGTGGTGCCTGGGGCTGTAAGGACCTTGCCACCCCAGAGCAGTGGTCCTTGTGCCTCCCTGCCCCTTGAGAGCAGTCCAGACCAGGGTGTTGGCCATGTCCCAACTGGTGGAGTGTGTCCCCAACTTCTCAGAGGGGAACAACAAGGAGGTGAGGCCTGCAGGCTCAGTGGAGGACAGGGTGGTGTTTGGTGGGGATTCAGTCAGCCTAGCCCTGCCCTGGAGCCCTGGGTGCTGCGGGGGGGGGGGTGTCCTGTGCAGATCTGGTACCTGCTGGGTCTTGGTGCTTCCCTCTGAACAGGGGGCCTCAAGGACTGTCCCAGGGTCTCTCTGAAGTCACGGAGGTCATCCACAAGTGACTCTCTCCTGTCCTGCACTGTCACCAGCTCTTAACCTAGAAGGAGACTGAGCCAGAGGCCAGGCAGGCCACTGAGGACCCCAGGAATGGGCTCTGAGCCCCTGCTCCTTCCTGGAGGTCCCTGGCCTTCCACCCGAAGCCCAGGCTCCTGCTGAGAGGCCATGGAGGGGGAGATGGCCTCTGTAACTGGCCAGGGGGTCACCTGTGTCCCTGGCAGGAGTGGCCAGGTCCCCTTCTCCTGGGCCTGGAGCGACCCCGCTGCTGTTCAGCACCGTCTGGCCTGGGTCTGCCCTGAGCCCCTGCTCGGGCCACAGCTGACCCTGGCACTGTCTCCAGGTGATTGATGCCATCTCAGGGGCCATTGCACAGACCCCGGGCTGTGTGCTGCTGGATGTGGATGCAGGCCCGTCCACCAACAGGACCGTCTGCACCTTTGTGGGGCGGCCGGAGTGTGTGGTCAGCGGCGCGCTCAATGCTGCCCGAATAGCCTGGCGGCTCATCGACATGAGCCAGCACCGAGGTGAGGGCACAGGGCGAGGTAGAGTGAATCCTGCCTCAGGGCCCCTGCTTGTGTCCTGGCTGAAGGGAGGCTCAGGGTTGTGTCCTTCTCTCTGCTCTAGCCCTGGGGCCGCTGATGTCCTCTGGGTTCCACTCCCTGAGACAGTGTCCGGTGGAACAGAGAGGGAGGCCAGGGTCCTGGGCAAGAAGGGTCGGGATGCCCTGTCTGGGGGAATGGGCACTGCCCTCTGGATCCTGGGTCCTGAGGTGGCCAGCAGTGGTTTGGAGCAGGCTTTGGGGTGGGGGCAGAAGATGTGGTCCCAGAAACCGACCTGTCAACTCTGCAAAACCAAACAGGATGGGGGTGGCAGGCAGGGGCAAAGGTCAGTGGAGCCCAAGCAGGTCAGAGGCCAGAGCACCAGCTGGCCCCAGGGAGGGGACCCAGTGGATCAGAGGCTCATTGGTGGCAGGAGGGGCCAGCCCAAGGTGGAAGGTGGGGGTCAGGGCTCTGACACACAGCTCTGTCCACTACTGGGGAGGGAGGGATTCTGGGTGGACCAGGGGTACATGTGGAGTCTGGCCAAGACCATACTGCTGCCCAGCTGGCATTTGGTGAGGGTGAGCACCAACCGGCATCCTTGAGAAGTTGTGCCTTTTAGTGGAGAGAGAGGTTGGCTTGCCCCACAGGTGCCAAACTGCTAAGGCTCCGCTGTTGGCCTGAGCTCGGGGCCTCCACGGTGTCCTCTGGTCCCTGAAGGGCGCCAGCCAGGGCTTGGCAGGGGTGCCCAGAGCTGGCCACTTCCCTTGGCCAGGGAGCCAGTGGGGCAGGTGACCAGGGCTGTCCCTCAAACCCTGCCTGCCCCCTGCAGGGGAGCACCCTCGCATGGGTGCCCTGGACGTCTGCCCCTTCATCCCGGTGAGGGGTGTCAGCATGGAGGACTGTGTGCTGTGTGCCCAGGCCTTTGGCCAGCAGCTGGCAGAGGAGCTCAGCGTGCCAGGTGAGTGCCCAGGAAGGGCTCTGCTGCAGCTTCCTGAGTACCATCTGCAGAGGTTTGCTGCCCGCAGTGTGCCCAGCTCTCTGCCTTTGAAGCCCCTTGAAATTGTAGCTCATAGCTGGGTGCAGTGGTCCACGTCTATAATCCCAGCATTCTGGGAGCTGAGGCAGGAGGATGTTGAACATGAATAACTTAGGAACTTAGTGAGACCCTGTCTCAAAAATAAAAAAATAAAGGGGTGGGGATGTAGCTCAGTGCAAAGGGTTCAACCTGCAACAGAACAGAACAGAACCCCAAAGAAACACCCCTAAAGGGCCCCTAAAACACAACAACAAAACCCTACAAGTGAACAACCCCGTAACGCAGGAAATTCCCCGTGTCCCTAACAATGCAATGAACACAAAAGAAACCCTGGTAGCCCAGCCCTGCACACCCAACCCTGCAGTGCCCAGCAGCAGGGGTCATTTGGCTGTGCTGTAGAGCAGCTAAGGAAGGTGAAGCAACAGACCTTCAAAATCTCATTTTAGGGCATTGACCTAACCAAGAGAATGACAGGGAGCAAACAGATACAAACGGGGGATGGGGCACGCCCGTCGCCCAGAGAGTAGGAGCCAGCTGTGTGGGTGGCACAGATGGGGCCCTCAGGCCTGGCCGGTGCCGGGTTGGGCTGTGTGCATGGCCAGCTCTGTGTCCTCTGTGTCCCTTCATCTGTGGCTACATTTGTCACAGGCTGAAAATGACTAGCAGGGAACATAAGGGTCCTGTCAGCACTTCCCACCACCGCGCGCCAGCCCTCGTCCTGTGGGCGTCAGGGTGTCAGCAGCGTGGGTGGGAGGCTGGATGAGTCCGCCAGTGGCCAGCCGTGACCCGACCCCTGAAGCCCAGGAGTGGGGGAGGAGGTCGCCTGGGTGGAGGCTGGGGGGCCTGCCCGCTCCCCTGACTGCTGGCTCCCTGCAGTGTACCTGTACGGCGAGGCAGCGAAGGTGGCCGGTCGCCGCTCCCTGCCAGCCGTCCGGGCCGGAGAGTATGAGGGGCTGCCTGAGAAGGTGCTGGGGCTGCACCAGGAGGGGTGGGCGCCCTGTGGGATGGGGCCGGGCTCCTCCTCACCAGGCGGCCGCTCTGCAGCTCAAGCAGGCCGAGTGGGCCCCTGACTTTGGCCCTAGCACCTTTGTCCCCAGCTGGGGGGCCACCGTTACGGGGGCACGGAAGTTCCTCATCGCCTTCAACATCAACCTGCTGGGCACCAAGGAGCAGGCCCACCGTATTGCCCTCAACCTTCGGGAGCAGGGCCGAGGGAAGGACCAGGCGAGTGGCTGGGGCATGCGCAGTAGTTCCCAGGAACAGAGACCAGATGGCCTGGGGCTGGGGGCGCTGTCAGCAGGGGTCCTGCCTTGGAGGCCAAGCCCTGGAGCTGGCAGGGTGGGGCTCAGGTGCTGGAAGCTGAGGACTCCGAGCTGTGATGAACACCATGCCGCGGGTAAGCCCTGCGCGCCCCCAGGCCACAGGACAACTGCCTCTTGGCCCCAGGTGCCCCTGTGTCCCCACATGGTCCAGGACCCCCTGGGGCCTCAGAAGCCCCACCAGCAGGGCACAGCACTTTTAGCATCACTCTCAGAGTCTGGGTCACACGCAGATGACACGGACGGCTGGTGAAGGAGGTAGGGACCCAGCCTGCCTGTCCCCTCCCCGGAGATCGGGCCCCTGGCCACTGAGGCCCAGGATCCCAGTTTACCACCACGCACCGCCATTGCTCATAGCACCCACAAAGCAAGTGACCTTCAGGGCCTCAAAGGTGAGGTTGGACCCCCCCGAAGCGGGACAGGAGACAGGTCCCACTGGCCTCATGTCAATGTCTCCAGGCCTCAGGACACCGTATGGGCAGAGCACGGTGCCCAGATGGGTGGCCACTCCTGCACCTGACCTTGGAGACCCAGATTCCCTGTGAGGGGCCTGTCCCTGCCCTTTCCTGTCCAGCCTGGGTAACAGAGGGACAGAGTGAGGAGCTGCAGTGCCTGCCTGCTGCAGGCTCTCAGTACCCAGCGGCAAGAAGGTGGGCAGGGCCAGGCGGTGGCTGGAAAACACTTCTCTGCAGCCAGGCCGTCTGAAGAAGGTGCAGGGAATTGGCTGGTACCTGGAGGAGAAGAAGCTGGCTCAGGTGTCCACCAATCTCCTGGACTTCGAGGTCACGGCACTGCACACGGTCTACGAGGAGACCTGTAGGGAAGCCCAGGTGGGCAGAGTGGGCGCCCGTGCCCCACATCCCTGCGGCTCAGCTGCCCTGTACTGACACCACTGCCCACAGGAGCTGAGCCTCCCTGTGGTGGGCTCACAGCTGGTGGGCCTGGTGCCCCTGCAGGCCCTGCTGGATGCCGCAGCCTTCTACTGCCACAGGGAGAACCTATTCGTGTTGGAGGAGGAGCACCGGATCAGGCTGGTGGGTGCTGGGTGGGGCAGGCTGGCACCGAGCGTGGGCTGTGTGGGAGTGACCACCCCTGTGGCCTGGTGGGCTGTGTTCATCCCAGGTGATCCCTTCAGCTTCCCGAGGCATCTGTGCAGAGCTTGCCTCAGGCTGGCAGATTCTGGCGCCCGGCTCTGGGGCCTGCAGCTTCTTGGCCCTGGAGGCTGTGCCCGGCCAGTGTACCTGTCACTTCTGCTCTTCCCAGGAAGGGACCTCTGGCACAGGGGGTGGGTGTCACAGGCGAAGGGCTCTGCGAAGTGCAGGGGTGGTTTTTGGTGGACTGAGTTCTAATCTCAAATGGGAGGCACAGCTTTCTTTGGATCTGGGTGAAAGTCACTGTCCCTCACACTCTAGGGACAGGTGGCAGGGCTGGTCCCAGACTAAGAACTTGCTAGACGCTGGGATTGGAACCTCAGCGGGCTGTGGGGCACATGGGGCCAGTGGGCAGCTGCTGTCTCTGGCCTCAGTTTCTGGTGGTTGCAGGTAGGGGGTGCATCCCAATCTGCAGGGGCCTGGTCAGCAGGGCTCTGGGGTATGCGGGCTGCTGTACCCTGCCTCAACCCCCAGAAGGCAGGACTTGGGGCAGCTGAGGGGGCCTGGCCTGTGTGGGCAGGGCTGAGCCCAGGTGCCCACTTGGCAGGTGGTGAGCAGGCTGGGGCTGGACTCCCTGGCACCCTTCAGCCCCGCGGAGCGTGTCATCGAGTAAGTGGTCCCATCCCCAGCCTCCCTTCCCTGTTCTCGGAGATCGGCTGGCCTGGGGGCCACTGTGAGACTCCAATGGGCCCAGCCCTGTCCCCGCCGCTGAGCCCCTGCCCCGCAGGTATTTGGTCCCCGAGGGCCCAGAGCAGAGCCTGCTGGACTTGTCCCTCCGAGACTTTGTCCGTGAGGTGGGCGCCCGCTCAGCGGCCCCTGGCGGCGGCTCAGTGGCTGCAGCTGCTGGTGCCATGGTGAGCATGGGGCTGGGAGCTCCCCCGGGGGGCCCCAAAGAGAAGGAACCCACACAGCTGTCCCCAGGGTGCGGCGCTGGCCTGTATGGCTGGCCAGGTGACCTACGGGCGGCGCCGCTTTGAACACCTGGATGCGGCCATGCGGCGGCTAATCCCACCCTTCCACAAGGCAGCGGCCCAGCTGGCCCCACTGGTGGACGCTGATGCCCAGGCCTTTGCTGCCTGCCTGGTGAGCAGGGCCTGGGGAGAAGGTGGGGGCTGGGGGGCCTGGGGTTCAGGTCCTCAGCCAGCCCAGGGCCTGGGGGGCACAGACCACAGTGACCCCACACAGGCTGTGAGCTGGGACCCCAGGCCCCAGACCTGGAGGAAGAGACCCAGAGGAGACCATGTCAGGAGCTGGGTGGGGGCAGGCACACACTGGAGGGGCCTTCAGCCCCAGAGTGAGAGGGAGCCACATGGGGTCAGGAGATGGGAGCACCATCTGCAAATGTCTGTCCTGCTGTGGGTTATGGTGAGAGTCAGAGTTAGGATTTACAGTTGGGGTTAGGAGTAGGACTGTGGTTAGGGTTGAAGTTGGGGTTAGGGTTAGGATTATGTTATAGTTGGGGTTGGGGGTTGGGGTTAAGGTGAGGGTGAGGGTTAGGGTTAGGGTTACGGTTAGGGTTAGGGTTAGGGTTAGGGTTAGGGCGAGGGTTGGGGCTTGGGTTAGGGTGAGCATGAGGGTTAGGGTTAGGGTTAGGGTGAGGGTGAGCATGTGAGTTAGGTGAAGGTGCGTGTGTCTATGTGCTCTGTCCTTGCCCTCTGCAGTCTGAACCTCTGGATTTAGCTTTGTTGAACCGATTTGCCTGTGTCACTTTAAATCGATGTTGACCCCAGGCCACCTTGTGCTGTGGGAGGGGATTCTGGGGCCCACCACACCCTCAGTCTCCTTGAAACAAGGGCCCAGAAAGTGCTGCTGACTGTCCTGTCCATGTCCCCCATGTGCCCTCTGACCTCACAGTGTGGCCCCCTGACCCCAACCGCCCATGCCAAGGACTGTGATCCACAGATCCTCACCGAAAACCTCTCTCAGTCCCCTTTTTCTGGTCCCCTGGCCTCTGGCCATCATCATGCAGCCCGGGAAAACGATGGCACTGGAAGTGTGGGAACCTGCTGCCCCTTGCCATCCTAGGACTCTATGTTCTACCACTGTCCCTCAAGCATGGTCATGGACATGCTGCTGATCTTTCACCTGTGGTTTTGCTCTTTTTCCTGTTAGGAGGCGATGAAGCTGCCCAGGAACACACCTGAGGAGGGTAACAGGTGTGTGCCAGTGCCCAAGAAGGCCTGCAGATGAGTGTCCATCCTCATGACCCATGGGGCTCTGTGTGCTCGGCCCTGGCTGGAGGGCTGGGGTCAGAGTGCACCCCTGCCCCTGGCCCAGGCCACCCTCCCCTCCCTTCAGACATGCAGCTGTCCTGCAGCAGAGGCTGAGGCAGGCAGTTGAAGTGCCCCTGGCGCTGGCGGAGACGGTGTCCCCACTGTGGCCAGTGCTACGGGAGCTGGCCCTCTGTGGGAACCTGGCCTGCCGGTCGGACCTGCAGGTACTAGGGACATCGGGAACTCCTGGGTCCCTTGGGCGGTCTCCACCCTCCCCCAGGAAGAGGACCTATTTTAGGTTCTTGTTCAGGATTGAACACAGCCAGACAGTGATGGACCCACTCTCCTCCCTGCTCCCCTCTATTCCCATCCGGCCCCTAGAACAGACCTGAGACAGCTGGTAGTGATGCACACCACTCCTGTCCCATGCCTGTGTCCGGTGTGGAGGACGTAGCATGGGGCAGAGCTGTGACTGTGGCCTGTGGCCACCCTACAAACACACAGTCCACAGGATCTTTACAAGAAAGAGGCCCCGTGTCCAAGGTCTGGTCCTGGGGTCTGAAGCTGTTGCTGGATGCCCTGACCTGGCCTCTCCACAGGCCCCGGGGAGCAGTTCCTGTGAGGTGGGAACTCTGCTGCCCATGCAATTGGAACCGGTCCTGCTTCCCGGTGTCCCTGCAGGTAGCAGCCAAAGCCTTGGAGACCAGCGTGTTTGGTGCATACTTCAATGTGCTCACCAACCTGCGAGACATGGCCGATGAGGCATTCAAGGAGCAGGTGAGGGGCCAGGCCTGTCCAGGGCACAGGGCTCCAGGAGGCTGTTGTCTCGGGATTTGTGGTAGTGTCCCCTGCCCCATGTCCCCTGCTCTCCAGAGGCCTCCTGAGCAAGGAAGGGACCCAGAAACCCATGACCCGGGGGCTGAAGGAGCTGTGGGCTCTGGGGAAGGGTGTTCTCTCAGCAGCCATGGCTGCCAAGTGATAACTGTTATTGTTACTATGATTGTTTTTTTAAAAATTATTTTTCTTTTATTTTGGTACTGGGGATAGAACTCGGGTCCTTGTGCTTGCCCAACAGGCAGCGAAACCACTGACCTAAATCCCCGGCCCAAAATTATTATTCTGGAAGTAGAGCTCAGGATGTACAATTCACCACGTTGCAGTGCCTGTTCAGTGGCCTTTAGCACGCTCCTGACCCGCAGCTGCCACCTCCACCTCCCTGAGGTCCTCCCCATTCCCAGGGAAGCCCCACCATTTTCAGACCCTGCCACCCCAGCCCTGCTCTCAGGCATCTTAGGTACTTTTATGATTTGGGGCTGCTTTCTGGCGTGGTGCGGTGGCCCATGGCCTCTTCCACCTTCCCCCAGCCACGAGTGCTGTCCCTCTGGCTGCGGGTCACAGCTCTGTCTCAGGGTCTGTGAGCCTGGCTGTCCCCGAACTTCTGCCCATGCTGGGAGACCTGAGAGATGCTGCCCAGGAGCCCCAGGCACCCGAGTGGGCAGGCCGGGGGGAGAGCAGGAGGTGGCTGTGGGGTCCAGGCTGTGGGGACAGCTGCAGTGGCCCAGGCAGGCACAGGGTAACCTCCCTCCCACCTCGTCGTGTCCCTCAGATCCACCAGCGCATCTCCAGCCTCCTGCAGGAAGCCAAGAGCCAGGCCGTGTTGGTGCTGGACAGCCTAGAGGCCCGGCGGGAATGACAGCCAGCAGGGACCTTCCTGTCCAATGAGGCCCTCATTCCCCTTTGGGCGGGGCTCCACACATAGCTTGTTCCCTAGGGTCAGAGGGTGTGTGGAGAACAGGGTGGGGCTTGGGCCAGGGCCTGTCTGGGTCCCCTGCAGGCACAGTCTGTCACCCTCAATCACCTGTGGCCACCAGTAAAGTCTGAACACCCAATGTGTATGGGGTGTCTGGGCTTGGGGCAGGGACAGGGGACCCTGTGGTGGGAAGAGCTGAGGGTGCCCAGCTGCAGTGGGGCTGTGGGCACCAGGCTCAATGTGGCCGCACAGGGCTCTGATCTGGGACAGGAGCCGCCAGAGGGCACAGGACAGCAGGCACAGAGGCTCTGTCGGTCCTTGTGGCTTCATAGGGCTGCATGCCTCAGTTCCCTGTGGTGATTAAAGGCTCACTACCCTGTTATTCCCAGCTGGCTCCTCCATGCACAACCCACCAGCACAACTGTCCTTGGGGTTCGTTCTGCCTGAACTCAGCAGAAGCCCGAATGCTAGTGGGACAGACTTTACTGCCTTCACATTTAAATGCTTGCTCTGGAGAGAGCACCTGAGGGAACTGACAAGAAAAAGAAAACACACCCAACAGGCACTGAGGCCCACGGCCCTCTGCGTCCGACTGAGGGGTAGGAGCTGTGAGCAGCCCTGGTCCTGGATGGGGTGCAGGTGCCTGTATGCGAGGCCAGCTGCAGACGCAGGAGTCCTCATGCCCTGCAGCCCCTCAGGGTGCAGCTGTGCCTCTCCCATGGCTCATTAAGGCTGAGAATCCCCAAGGGCGGCGATTGGGGTCCCATAGTGCTTGGGACAGGGTGGCCTGTGGGTCCAGTTCCCGGGCTCTGGTGTGGCTCATGCTCAGCTCACAAGTGCGTGCTCCCAGGTGCTGGTGGCCACTGCAGGATGGACCCTGGCCCAGAAGCTCAGCCTGCCCCACCCTCTGCCCTGCCCTGGTTCTTGGTGGCATACTCAGGGGTGGGTCTCAGATGTGGGTCTCAGGCACCATGCCAGTCCTGGGTGTGGGGCCAGTGGGCTCTTGAGGGGGACACACTCAGGCCTTTCTCAGATGCTGGCTCCTAGGAAGGAGCAGGGCATGGGATTAGGGGCCAAGCTGCTTGGCTGGAGCAGAATCTCCCAGGGATGGGCACCCCCTTTATCCTCATGGGTGTGGGGACCTGGTGGCCCTGGTGGCCACTGCTGTGAGCCGTGTCCCTGCAGCCCGGTTAGCCCTAGTTGGGGCAGAGCAGTAATTCCTGGGCCAGCAGGAAGCAGGCAGCAGCTTCTCCAGTCTGTGGTCACTGCCATGCTGGGGAGCAGGTGACAGAGCCATGTGTCCCTGCCCTTCATGCTCAGGACCTGGTGACCCTGTGACCTCTGGAAGAGGCTAAATGGAGGACAAGGCTGAGCCACAGGGAGGGGTCACAGATGTGGCTTGGGGTGGGGACAGATCCCACTGCTCTGCCTGGCTGGGCCACGAGGATCATGGAGCTGGGTGGTGAGGTCCGTGGAGCTCAGCGGTCTTGGACTCACTGTGCTGAGGTGTGCACCCTGGGGCTCGATTCCAGGGATCCCTTGTTACCCAGGGGAGGAGAGTGTAGGGTGGGCTGGGTGAGCTGGTGAGCTGAGAGCCTCCTCTCAGGGACCTCAGTGAGGGTGTGCAGTGCTCCTGCCATGCCAGCCCAGCGAGGGGCTCTGCAGGCCACTGTGTCTCTGGTGTGGTCTGGGTGCCATGGCCACAGGCCTCCTGTGGTGCCTGGGCAGGAGTGACCCAGCGCTACACAGGGTGAGGGGCACAGGCAGCTGGCTCTGATGCTGTCCGGGGCTGGCTCTGCCCTGATCCGTCAGGTCTGAGATGCCACTACCACTGCCTTAAAGGCCCCTGGGCCCTGTCCCATCCTGGGCCCTCTGTCTTCTTCCTCCAGTCACGGATAGCCTAGGCCCTGCCCTGGGGTCCTCCAGGCCATGACAGGGAGAGATATTTTGGGACTGAGGGGCCCCTCTGTCCCTCTTCCATGGGCCAGCTCCACCCAGCTACAGACCCCACAGCCTCTGCTGCCAGCCTGGACCACAGCCCTGGGTGTCGGTCCCATGGGGAATGAGGTGCCACCTGGGCAGGCCGGAGAGGCCCCACGGTGTTCACGCCTGGTCAGGCTCCCTGGTTGCTGGGGCTTGGGCCTGATGACGTCAGTCACTGGTGATCCCATGGTGCAGGCCTGGTGTTGAGAAGCCCAGCCAGCCTCTGCACATGTCCCCACTAGGGGATCCCACCACGCTGGGGCCAGGGCCACCCTTGAGTCAGCTCAGAGATGCCTAGTGTGGGCCCCGCTGTCCTCACAGGGCCACCATGGTCCTCATGGTCCCTCACTGTCTTCACAGCTCCCACTGCTCCCCCACAGACTCCACACTGCACCCATGGTGGCCCCTCCCTTACAATCCTCTTGGGGGTGGGCTCTGGGCTCAGCCCCTGCCTGGCCTCTGGCCTCCCCTGGGCCATGTCTTTGGGCAGCTTGGGCCTGGCACGGTGACCACAGGTTTGTCTACTGCTGCAGAGGTGGGTTGCAGGGCCATGGGGCAGGAGCAAGGAGGTGGCTGCTATGTGGGCAGAAGGACCTGCAGGCAGGGTGACATCCCCTCCTCTTCCTGGATCCTGGGGCCAGGCATGCACAGGGAGGGGATGCATAGCAGCTGTGACCACCTATGCAGCCCCTGCAGCCCCATGGCCTTCAGGTTATTTTCTCCAGATGCCCTAGCTCAGTGCCATCAGGGAGCTGTGGGGCTAGGGTGCTAGTCCCACACTGGAGGTTCCATGTGGACATGTGCTGGAAGGTTCTGGGCTGCAGGCTGCAGAGCCCAGGCCTCTGTGAGGACCAGAGGGAGGGGATTTTTGTGGTACATCAGGCTGTTTCAACAGTATGCATGTTGGAAAATACTGGAAGGATCAGGCGATGTTACTGTGGGGAGTTCACACCCAGGTTTTCAGAAAGGCCACTGGGGCGTCTCTGCAGAGGGAAAGACTAGTGTCTGGGGGCTCAGGAATTGTGGGCAGTGCCTCCCTCCCTGTTCAGGGGCTGTGTCTTTGGGCAGGTTGGGGGCACAGAGGCCACCAGCACCTCACCTCTGGCCCAAGGGGTCCTTCTTCACAGCTTAGCTAGGTCCTCTCTAGGGGTGTCCATCCTGGAGCTGGGGAGGGCTTCCTAGGAGCTGCAGGGGCTCAGAGGTGGCCCCACGAAGATCCACCATTCAAAGCTTCATCCTGAGCTCCCACGGCAGAGGAGGTCATGCCCAGCCATGGCCTGGCCCGCTGCCTGCCCTGTATATCTGAGTTGCCCTCAGAAGCGCCACAAAAGCGGCTTAGAGGGTCCCAGGGCATGCTATCTTCGGCCTCTCTCCAGTCCAAGCCTAGACAAGGGCCTCCCTGACCAGGTCTGTTTGCCACTGTTCTCCATCCCTGTAACCCAGAAGTGGGTGGGCTCTCAGCAGGCTGCAGGAGTGATGACAGCTCATGCGAATCATCCCTTCCAAGTTCTGACTGGGGTGGTTAGCTGGGGTCATCTTTACAAAGAGCCAACAGGTGAGAGTCCCTTAAGGGCAGGCGTGCCAAGAAACTGAGACACTAAGAGTGCCTAAAATATCCCAGAGGCAGCCATTCGGCGGCCTGGGTGGGCTTCTTCCCAGGCCAGGACCGCACAGGGTCTGGGATAGATGGCTCACAGCCATCAAAACAGAGGACCGAGGGACATGAGTGAGGAGACGGGGGCAAGACCACAGAAGTGAGGAAGTGTGGTTTGGGCAAGTTGGGGTAACGTGGTTGGTGAGGGGAGGACGCTGGCGTGGGGACCCTGGTGTGAGGACCCTGGTGTGAGGACCCTGGTGTGGGGACCTTGGTGTGGGGACCCCGGTGTGAGGACCCTGGTGTGAGGACCCTGGTGTGGGGACCTTGGTGTGGGGACCCCGGTGTGAGGACCCTGG